CCATTGTTCTACTTATTGTTGCTTGGCTATGGTCTTGGCTTTCTTGTGGACTTCTTTTATTCATGGGTTGTCCCACCTGAGATGACGTTGAACTTTTAACTTGTGAGCTCGTAATTTCCCATCTCTAGCTTTATTTTTCCCCCTCTCCCTCACCCAGTCTAACGGGCTTCGGTTTGAAGGAAAAATTCTAGCCTCGAACTCTTGGGAACATCTTTCCTGAGACTTTGAAATGCAATTTTACGACCATATTGTTAGTAAAAAATATTTGGGCCAAATTTTTAGGCTGGGTTAGATGAGCTTTTTATAGGTAGAAAATAAATATTCCACATACCTACAAACGAATGCAAAGTCACAGTATATCATCACATATCATAAGACTTTTGAGTCTGCTTCGTGAACCGGTTCGAAATTAGGTTTTGAATACTAAATCAAATTTTTTTTTATATTTCAATCAATTAATCAATCTTTCTTGTGAATTTAACTAAAGACCAATATCCCAAACCAATCTGATTTTCCCAAACTTAAACTATGAACCGGTTGAAAACAGCAGCATCCATTTCCCGCCCTAAACCGAACCCAAAAACACTCCGGCTATAACCGTTTAGGACTTGTTAACTTAACCGTTAACCGTTTTGGCTACTGTGTTTAATTATTTAAATGAAACTCGCTCGATGCTGCGTTGTTGTTTGCAACGTTTGTTTGTTTGTTTGCTTCCTCCGCTCGCAATGTTTGCTTTGCATTTGTTTGTCTATTTGATTGTTTGCTCTTGGCCTTTGTTTGCCTTGGCCGGTCGGTCTGCATCAGCAGCTGCGACAGCGACAACGAAAACGACGGCAAAAGTTGAAGTTCATGTTTCTTTAGTGGCTCACGGCTAAAAAGCACGCACAAACAAATCACAGAGAAATCAGAAAAGCAGCGGAATAAATACTATTTGAATGCTGGAAAAATCCTCAAATATTTAGTTACATTTTCTAAAACGTAAAGAAATTAAATCAAAATACAAAATATTATAAAAAAACCTTTTTTTCCGAAATGTATATGAATTAAAATAAAATATTTAATATCATAAAATAGAATCATTTATTTTTCGATATCTAAACTAAAACCGCACCAAATTTGATGTACTCATATGACAAATAACCGAGTTACGCTTGTGCGTTTCTACAAAACTCCTTGGTAATCTCGGATGTTTTGAAGCCTTGGCCATAAAAACCACTAGAAACCGCCAAGACGACCTTGTCTGGCTTAGGGTCTAAGCAACGAAATCGAAGGTTTTCGGCTCATTGTTAATTGCCATTAATTTTATATTATTGTTATTATTTGTTGTTTTTTTTTTTAAGTTTTCTGCACAAACGTGGCTTTGGCTTTGGCCATTTGGCTTAAGCCCAAATAATGTGAGTCACAAAGCGTTGAATTGGAATGAGAGGAGGAGTGAATTGGGTGTGGTTAAATTAACTCAAATGGTTTGTGCCCGAGCAATTGCAAAACAAATAAAAGCGCCAGCGAAAACTCATGTGCGAATAATGCGAAGTGTAAATTGAGCATTTAAATGAAACGAAACCGCAACAAATCCGAATCCGTGTGGGTAAACATTATATCTATATCTATGTGTATACTCGTCTTCAATGAAGTATGCGCTGCGAATATTTAATTGCATAATGTGACCAGACTGACACACTATGCGTTAATAATCAACAACAAATTTACCATCATCATCATTAATGTTACCATTAACTTTGGTGATGCTAGCTTAGAGTTTTTCCCGCCAAATGGTTTTTTTTTCTCACTATGTGGTCTATAATTCCCAACTGGTTAAAGCCGGTAAAATACAAAAATACATTTAGATAATGCAATAAAACCTTTAAAAATCCCGCTAAATTAACCAGAACGGTGCATTAACTTTCTTTGGTTGTAAATTTTACAGTTTTATAAAAAAAATTATAGAAAAAAAGCATCTCTGTTTCACACCATCATCATTATCTTGGCTAATGACTAATGGGCCACGGCAGCCAGTGGAACTCATGTAATGGCCAGAAAGAAAAGAAAACGCCAGTAACAGACGCACAACTTGAAAAAGCGAAATGAAGAAAGGAAAACAAGAAGCTCAACAAAAAGTATTCAATTATGCAAGCGAGTTACAGTTAGGCGCCCACCAAAAAAAGAAGAAAAAATAAATAAAAGGGGTAATACCAGGGGGCTTTCAGGGGGTAAAAAAGGGGGGAGCTGTTTTTGGAGCTGCTGCTGGCCAACATTTCATTTCGATTTCGAAGCGAAAGCGCAACGCAAATTGCAATTGAATTTATTTTTGTGTTTTTACCTTACTTTATTTTAGTTTTCTGTTTTCTGGCGAAAAACGTGTTGTGAAAATATTGCAAGTAAGCCGACTGGGGTGGATAAATAATAAATAATTGATTGTTTGATTGATTGATTGAGTGAGTGACGACAGTAATTGGCAAACTCCATTCCATATGCATTGGAATCGGAATTGCAATTGGAATGGTGTGATGAGCGGACAGCTGGACGGTGGACGGTCGACTAAGTGCTCGCTTTAAAGCTGCTCTGCAAAAACGGGGGAATAAAAGGAAAAAATAGCTGTCAAATCAAACAGGTTGACAATGCTTTTTGCTAAATGGCCAACTGAAGTGGGGTGAAAACTGCCACCGAGTTAAGTTTTGCATGGGCTGCTGATTTTTCGCACGTTCCACTGGTTTATGCGTCCCTGAAATTCGCGATTAGCCTGAGAATATTTGAATACTAAGAACATTGTAAAATAATGGTGTGAATATTTCAATTTTTTAATTCAAATCAACCTTTTTTTCGCCTACGATGGTAATTTAAAAGTACTTAGATACAAGTTCAAATTTTTTTTTATATTTAACAAATATTTACACCTATTTTAGTCTTTATGAAATTATATTACTGGTTTATTTTTTTATAAATTTAAATAATAAAGCATCTCTATTTCTCAGTAAATAAAGTAAAATTAGTAAAAAAAAAAAAAAGTTATAAAGTAACTCATGAAGTTTTGGCCAGTAACACGCATAAACTTGGCATAAATGGCGCTTTTTATGGGACAGCCGAAGGCATCAATCAAGCCAACAAGTTGAGGAACTTTATTTTTATTCGCTTCTCGACGCCATTTTTGTTGAACGTCATTTTGTGTGTGTGCATATTTGAATTATACTTTTTCCCTTTTTTTTTGTGCTAAAACGCTTTCAGTTTGATGGTCAACTTGCTCTCGTTTTTTCTGTTTTATGAACTTTCTGCGTTCTGTGCGGCCATTTGAACACATTTGAAAACATTTGAACAGTCACGCCTCCTGCAAAAACAAAAAGGAAGCCCTGCAATTTGATGGAATTGAATTGCTGCCAAATGAAATTACAGAAGTTTGTACAACCACCCCGGAGAAATTGATAGTTTCGGTTCAAATTGAGGATAACCATGGGTTTCGGTTTCGTTGATTTCCATTTCTCTAATTGAGCGTTAAAATTGAGTGATTCGAAAGGCGGACAGCAATTGAGGATAGTAATAACGGTGGTAAAGTGGTTTTAATAGTTCTTTTTTATACGGAAGAAAGGACCAAATGGAAAGTGCTGAAAAAAACAAATTATTTTTTGGTATTTCATTTGTTTATGCTTCTATTTGGTAATTACATTTTTCTAATGTATTTGTTTCTTTTCGTGTTTCCTATGTAGATTTCAATGTAGTGCTTAAAAATATCGATATTTTAGATATTTACACAATATTGATTCGTTATTATCGATGCATATTAAATATCGAGAAATATTAATAATAGCTTTATTTCAATGTCTAGGTTTTCTTTTAGTTTTATTTATTTAGAGATTTATTTTGCTTTTGTTTCTTAAATATTTTATCTAACAAGTGTCTCGTTTTAATGCCAAGCATTACTGGGCATACAGTCTAGAATTAAGTCACATTTCCACCGACGGCGACTGCATTTCCGTCATTTTAATCCTTTAATGTGCAGCAGTCCTCTTATTTTTCCCGTCTGCCGCCCGTCGGGATGTGTGGCAGCATCTGTGTCCCTTTTGCTAGCCAAATCCATTATTCCCTCTTTATTTTTTTTTCGTTTGCCTCATTTTCGCGCCAGTTTCGAGGGGGATCGACGAGTCCTGCGAGAGGGTTTGCATGGAAATGGCAGTGGGCGCCAGCAGAGCTCATTGTTTGCGGTGTTAATATTTGGCGTCTGGCACCAGCAGACGGCGGCAGAAGCGCCGACAGTAACACTGTAAAAAATTAGAAAAATTAAAAAAAAAAACGTACAGTTGCAAAGCAAATAAATTAAGATATTTAAAATATATAACAAAATATATATATATTTATTTTAAGTAGGTATATTAATTTTAAAAATTTTAAATATCAAATACCTTTTAAAAATCGTTTTGATCAACGAATAATTATGATTTTCAATTATCAGGGAGTTTTTGATTTTTGATATTTATAAAAAGCACATCTTTTACATTTTTTCTCTCTGTGCAAATGGGCCGAGCAAGAAGGACAACAAACCTGGCTGCAATCAACACCCACTCATGCTGTCTCTATCTGTATCTGCATCTGCATCGGTAGCTCCATCACTATCTGCATCGCCATCATCCTCATCATCATCATGTGCCATTTAATTGTCACTCGCGTTACTTTTTGTTTGTTTCGCTGTTGTTGTCCTTGTTGCTTTTGCTGCAGGTATTGTTGCTGTAATGTCATTGCACTTTTTGTGATAACTGAAAATGACGGAGAATAAACTTTAAATGGAAAAACGTAGCAGAGAAGTAAAAAAAAAGGGATAATGGTCGAATGGAATATTATTAAATAATAAAAGTTATAAATGGGAAGGAGATATATTATTATAATTTAAGCTTTCCAATAGTTCGAACTAATAATTAATTAAGTAAAGTATATCAACTAATAAATGTTCAAAATAAATACCAATTTATATATTTTACAATATCTTATCTCCAATCCCATTCCTCCTTCATTTGCAGGACGTTCGATGTGCAGATCTAGCCATAAGCATACCCAACAATCCCGGCCTGGACGATGGGGCCTCCTATCGGTTGGACTACAGTCCGCCCTTCGGCTATCCGGAGCCCAACACGACGATTGCCTCCCGGGAAATCGGCGATGAGATCCAATTCTCACGCGCCCTGCCCGGCACCAAATACAACTTCTGGCTGTACTACACGAACTTCACGCACCACGATTGGCTCACCTGGACGGTGACGATAACAACAGGTGAGTGGTAATCGAAAAAAAATATATTAAGTTTAAGTTAGGAAAATAAACGGTTCTTGTTGATATAACCAGCATATATTACTCATACGCAGAGTTGGCTGAATCCATTTATTTCATTTTAAACTTATTTCTTGTATAGCTTAGTCGTCGTGTTTATTTTTTTTTGTTCTATAGTATGTTTAGAAACTCACAAGCAAATGTTTAAGAAAAAAGTTTGGATAGTTTGGAAATATTACTCATACGCAGAGTTGACTGGGTATATTTTCGGTGTATTTCCACAACAAATAACTCGTTTCTTGACCGTTACAATGGAAATATTGATCCAAATATGGATTGTCATACCTTTCTGAACTCGTTATTAAGTTTCCTAACGATTGGCATTTAAACCTTGACATTTTATTGATTTTTAATTTTTCGCAAAAAATCATGAGGTATCCCCTTATAAAAAAATTAAAAATTGGCGAAAATTTAATTTTTCCAAAATCACACGGAAAGTGTTATGGATTTATTTATATTTTTGTTATCTGTTCAAAACTGTAAGTATTTTTGGTGTAGGACCATTTTTGGCCAAGTTACAGCAAAAAAACAAAAAGAAAAATCCTTTCTTTCCGGATCTGTATTCAAAGACTAGGGGCACAGTGCCCTACATATATACATATATATTTATGTATCTTTTAACAGATCGCTAATCTATATCTATTGTTGTCTCCCTTTCACCCACAACCTCTGCATGTTTTTAGTAAAAGTAGTTACTGTGACTGGTTTTGTTTTGTGTTTTGTCTTTACCCCAGTCTTTATGTTGCTTTTGCTATTTTTGTCGATCGTCGGGCGATAACTTGAAATTTTTGTACACTTTCTTCAGTTGACCAGCTTTGTTTTTATTGTGAAAAAAACAGCAGAAAAGATAAAAAGGGGAAGAGTGTTTTTTGCGGAATTTCTTGACAATGCGTTGGCTCTAATAACATAACTGCATTTTTATCATTATTGCAAACAGTAAAACCAACAAATATTACAAACAGTTAACGCTTTTTCTTTCCTCTTTCTCTTTTCCCTTCTCTAATAACTTTTCCCCACTTACCCCAAAAACGAGACCCTTGGGTAATTTATAGGCAAAGACGGGCTCTCAACGCCCTCTTCTTCTCTTTCACTCCAACCCCCTTTATAAGAACCCCTCTTTGGTCGCACTTTCGCAGGTGTTGGTCAAAGTTTCACCCTCTGTGCAGTTGGGAAAATATCAGAGAAGCTTAGCAAAAAAAAAAAAAAAAAATATATTTTGTATCTATTTCTGTCTTTTGAATTTGTTTTATTATTATTAAATATTAAAATAAAAATTAATAAAAAATATTGGCTACAGTTTCTTATAATTATTTAGAGAGAAATAATCATAACAAAAAAAACTTTTCTAATGTTTAGACAATACATTTTTTTTTTGAGTGTAGACACTCCCCAAGCTCCCAAACTCCAATCAGCCAACTTTCGTCCATGTTGTAAGTACTTCCCCCTTATCCGCTTTCCTGTTCTTGTTCGTTTGTCTGATTGATTTCGTTACTTAGTGCGATTTGCTCATTAGCCAGCTTACAAACATTTGACGAGGGGGTGGGGGAGGGTTGGAAAAAGGGTGGGGGAAAATGGGAAATATCGAACTGCAATTAGCGATTTGCACTTGCAACTCGTATTTGGTTTCTTCGATTGCATGTTTCGTTTCCTTTTTTTTTTTTTTTTTTGCTTTAACTCGCAACAGGAAAAGGCAATTAGATGGAAGCCATTTCGCGGACAAGGCCAAGTATCATCAGCTTTTAATCTTTAATCTCTAATTTCTAACTATTTTGAATAGGGTTCAAAATGCTTCTCAAGGGCTTCTTCTCACTTTGAAAAGAAAGCATCTAATGGAAATACGGAATTTAAGATACAAATGCCCCTTTTATTTAATTTATACAATTTTTTATTTAAGAAAAATTATTTAGCCATCATACATTTTTTTATTATCTTTCCAAATTCTTTTAGGGTTTTGAGTCTTTTTTGGGAGCTGATATATCTGTTATTAAAAATATTACAAACAGGTTTAAATATTAAATATTTATTTTTATTTCTGCTATAAATTTTTTGTACTACATATTCTTAATTTTATATTGATAAAAATTATTTCTATCCCTTTTTCAGCTCCCGATCCGCCGTCGAACCTCTCTGTCCAGGTGCGGAGCGGCAAGAACGCCATCATCCTGTGGTCCCCGCCCACCCAGGGCAGCTACACGGCCTTCAAGATCAAGGTGCTGGGCCTGTCGGAGGCCTCGAGCAGCTACAACCGCACCTTCCAGGTCAACGACAACACATTCCAGCACAGCGTCAAGGAGCTGACCCCGGGAGCCACCTACCAGGTGCAGGCCTATACCATCTACGATGGCAAGGAGTCGGTGGCCTACACCAGTCGCAATTTCACCACAAGTGAGTCCCTCGGTGTCCATCCAAAATAAACTACCCACATAATCCGAATCATTAGATCTTTAAATTATTTGTTCTACTCGGTGATGGTAACTAAACTTGATTAACTTCTTTGTCTCCCGTTTTCATTGTAACTAAAAAAACAAAAAAAAACAAACAAAAAACACACACTCTCTCGCAAAATACGACTTAAAACTAACAACAAAGGTCGAAGGACGCGGCATAAAGAATTGCTGGACATTAAGATCCTAAGAGGTAATACTTAAGCTAGTCTTCCCATCGAAAAACCCAACCAAATTGTAGTAATTTTGCTTAGAAACTGGTTAGGTTAACAGAGAAAAATAAAATATCATCATGAGTAAAAACCAGTAAAAAAAAGTTCATTGCTAAAATATTTTTCTCTGTTTACCTAGCATCCAAACTGACCTCAAAAGCACCTCCTTTGCACAGGCTACAGCCCAAAATTGCATTCCAAAAATTCATTTTTGATCCGACAATTGCCAACCGCAGTGCACTTTCTCTCCACCCAGATATGGAGGAGGCTTTTCCCCTTTTTCCCACACTTTTCTCACAGTTTTCCCAAACAATGTGCATGTCCAGCCGCAGCAAAGCAACCGAAACACACATAACAGTGGTCACTTTGTAAATAAAACGCATGTTGGCGCTTAGGAACTTTAATTCGGAATAATTGTACTAAAAAGGCTTGTGGTTATTTTAATAAAAAAAATTACGCCTTTTTCAGTTGTAGTTATTATTATAATATATTGAATGCCTCTTTCATATGGCTTAATTTTATTATTATTAAACATAGGTACTCAGAAACTTTAAGTGAAATAAATAATTTGGCTTTTCTAATATTTTTTTGAATACTTGAAAACTTTTTTTTTTCTAATAATTTTAATTAAAAAAAAAAAAAAATGTATATCTTATTTTTTAAAAATCGAATGGTAGAAGAACATGTAACCCTTATTTTTTCTTAATCATAAAATTTATTTAAATTCTTAATCCATTTGGTGTTGGAATTTACTTGATTGACAACCACTGTGCAGAAAAGATTCTCTAACTAGCACACACTAACACACACACTTCCTGTGGCAAAAGACCCCATAACTCTGGCCCGTAACCCCAAAACTCCTCCCCCCCAAAAGCACTGAAACTCCCGACCCCGAAATATTGCGATATTGCGACCACAACTAACGCAAAGCAACTTCTCCATTTGCCATCTGCCATCCGCAATTCGCAATCCGCAGAGCCCAACACTCCGGGGAAATTCATCGTCTGGTTCCGTAATGAGACGACGCTGCTGGTCCTGTGGCAACCGCCGTATCCGGCGGGCATTTACACGCACTACAAGGTGTCCATCGAGCCGCCGGACGCCAACGACAGTGTTCTGTATGTGGAGAAGGAGGGCGAGCCGCCCGGTCCGGCGCAGGCGGCCTTCAAGGGTCTGGTGCCCGGCAGGGCCTACAATATATCCGTGCAGACGATGTCCGAGGACGAGATCTCGCTGCCGACGACGGCACAATATCGAACGGTGCCGCTGCGACCCTTGAACGTGACCTTCGATAGGGATTTCATCACCTCCAATTCGTTCCGGGTGCTTTGGGAGGCGCCCAAGGGCGTCTCCGAGTTCGACAAATATCAGGTTTCGGTGGCCACCACCCGCAGGCAGTCCACCGTGCCGCGGAGCAACGAGCCGGTGGCCTTCTTCGACTTTCGCGACATCGCCGAGCCGGGCAAGACGTTCAATGTGATCGTGAAGACGGTCTCCGGCAAGGTCACCTCGTGGCCAGCCACCGGCGATGTGACCCTGCGACCCCTGCCCGTTCGCAACCTGAGGAGCATCAACGATGACAAGACTAACACCATGGTCATCACCTGGGAGGCGGATCCGGCGAGCACGCAGGATGAGTACCGCATAGTGTGAGTATTTTAACCTTAGGTTTAACCTTATTCACATTAAAAATTGAGCCTTTCATAGCCAGATTACATTAATCTTAACATACTTAGTATTACATTTAAATAAAATAAAGGAAAGCTCAAAGAAATTGTTATTTTAAGCTAAATGTTTATAACCTTAGGTTATTTTAACCAGAGGAAGAGTAAATTGAGCTTTAATTCAGTTTTTTAAAGTCAAAGTAAATAAGTTAAAGTAAATTAATTTCTAATCTCCCGTTAAGTGTTAGTTAAGATAACCCGAACTTAACCGGAGGAATATTATTATTATTAATTATCACTTATTTTTGCCACAGCTAATACTTTGTATAATACTTAAATAAAATAAAGTAAAGCTCAAAAAATGTTCATGTATATCCAAAAATGTATAACCTTAGGTTATATTTAACCGGGAGAAAAGAAAATTGAGCTTAAATCCAGTTTTGTGGGGTTATATACAATGATTTTGTAGAATAAATTCCTAATCTTCCATTAACTGTTAGTTAAGATAACCCGAACTTAACCGCAGAAATATTATTATTATTAATTATCACCTATTTTTGCCACAGCTACCATGAGTTGGAGACATTCAATGGAGACACCAGCACCCTGACCACAGACCGAACTCGATTCACGCTGGAGAGCCTTCTGCCGGGCCGCAACTACTCGCTATCCGTGCAGGCGGTCTCCAAGAAGATGGAATCGAACGAGACCAGCATCTTCGTGGTCACCCGCCCCTCGTCGCCCATCATCGAGGACCTGAAGAGCATACGGATGGGCCTGAATATCAGTTGGAAGAGCGACGTGAACTCGAAACAGGAGCAATACGAGGTGTTGTACTCACGCAACGGAACCAGCGATTTGCGCACCCAGAAGACCAAGGAATCGCGACTGGTGATCAAGAATCTGCAGCCGGGAGCTGGATATGAACTGAAGGTCTTTGCGGTTAGCCACGATTTGCGAAGTGAACCGCATGCCTACTTCCAGGCAGTTTGTAAGTGACTCTATGATCTTTAACTATCTTAAAGATTTTTAATCAATTGGAAATCATCCTATCCAGATCCCAATCCGCCACGCAACATGACCATCGAGACGGTGCGCAGCAACTCGGTTCTGGTCCACTGGTCGCCGCCGGAAAGCGGTGAGTTCACCGAATACTCGATTCGCTATCGAACGGACAGCGAACAGCAATGGGTGCGCCTGCCCAGCGTCCGATCGACGGAGGCGGACATCACCGATATGACCAAGGGCGAGAAGTACACCATCCAGGTGAACACGGTGAGCTTTGGCGTCGAGAGTCCCGTGCCGCAGGAGGTGAACACGACGGTGCCGCCGAATCCGGTGTCGAATATCATTCAGCTAGTTGACTCACGGAACATCACGTTGGAGTGGCCCAAGCCGGAGGGTCGGGTGGAGTCGTACATCCTTAAGTGGTGGCCCAGCGATAATCCCGGTCGTGTGCAGACCAAGAATGTCTCCGAGAACAAGTCGGGTGAGTTTGCGATCGAACGATCGATCGATGGATTGATGGAGCCTGAATATAAACCGGAACCATTCTCACATCCCTCTGTCTGAAACTGCTATTTATCCTATATATAACTTAACTGATCCTTTAGTTTTCGGACTTTTCTAACTTGATTTCTGAAACTCTGAACTCCATTTTCCAATTTTGTAAATTAATTATCCCTGTTATAAGGAGATTCCCTATTTTGGAAATACTTTCCTCTACTTTAAATCAATCTTTAATAAAATTTTATCTTTCTATTCAACAAATACTAGTATATCTGGTATATCTAGTATTTCTGGTATTTCTGGAATTTCCTAATACATGATTAAAACTATATGACTTTCCTGGAACTCTTTCTTTATCTATATTTTTTCTTTACAACAAATTCCAATGTACCTGGTATATATAGTATTTCTATATATATTTTTCCTTTGCAACAAATTCTAGTATATCTGGTATATCTAGTATTTTTCGTATTTCCTAAAATATTATTATAACTATATAATTTTCCTGGAACTCTTTTTCTATCTATATTCTTACTTTACAACAAATTCTAGTATATATTTGGTATATCGAGAATTTCTAGTATTTCCTAAAACTTGATTATTACTATATCATTTTTCTGGAACTCTTTTTCTATATATATATTTTTCCTATATAACTATATAATTTTCCTGGAAATTTCCCCACTCATGAAATCTTCTCTCGATTCCTGTTGTGATGGCCAATCGGTTTCCCCTTCAACTGCAATCTTCTGGAGCTTCTCCTATTCTGTTCTGTAACTCTAACCCTTCCCCGTTCTGCTTCTGTGTGTCATCCACAAAACAGCCGACGATTTGTCGACGGTGAGAGTGCTGATCGGCGAACTGATGCCCGGGGTGCAGTACAAGTTCGACATCCAGACGACCTCCTATGGCATCCTGTCGGGCATCACCAGCCTCTATCCGCGCACCATGCCGCTCATCCAGTCGGACGTGGTGGTGGCCAATGGCGAGAAGGAGGACGAGCGGGACACGATCACCCTGAGCTACACGCCCACGCCGCAGTCGTCGTCCAAGTTCGATATCTACCGCTTCTCCCTGGGCGACGCCGAGATCCGGGACAAGGAGAAGCTGGCCAACGACACGGATCGCAAGGTGACCTTCACGGGTCTGGTGCCCGGACGTCTGTACAACATCACCGTGTGGACGGTCAGCGGCGGAGTGGCCAGCCTGCCGATTCAGCGCCAGGATCGCCTCTATCCGGAGCCCATTACCCAGCTGCATGCCACGAATATCACGGATACGGAGATCTCACTGCGCTGGGATCTGCCGAAGGGCGAGTACAATGACTTTGATATTGCCTACCTGACAGCGGACAATTTGTTGGCCCAGAACATGACCATCCGGAATGAGATAACCATCAGCGATCTGCGACCCCACAGGAACTACACCTTCACCGTGGTCGTTCGTTCCGGCACCGAATCCTCGGTTCTCCGGAGCAGCTCACCCCTGTCGGCCAGCTTCACCACAAACGAGGCGGTTCCGGGTCGAGTGGAGCGTTTCCATCCCACCGATGTTCAGCCCAGCGAGATTAATTTCGAGTGGTCGCTGCCCTCCAGTGAGGCGAATGGCGTGATTCGCCAATTCTCGATAGCCTATACGAATATCAACAATCTCACGGACGCCGGAATGCAGGACTTTGAGTCGGAGGAGGCGTTTGGGGTGATCAAAAACCTGAAGCCCGGCGAAACGTATGTGTTCAAGATTCAGGCCAAAACGGCCATCGGTTTTGGACCGGAGCGGGAATATCGACAGACGATGCCGATATTGGCGCCACCACGTCCCGCCACCCAGGTGGTGCCCACCGAGGTCTATCGCAGCTCGTCGACCATCCAGATTCGCTTCCGGAAGAACTACTTCTCCGATCAGAACGGCCAGGTGCGCATGTACACGATCATTGTGGCGGAGGACGATGCCAAGAATGCCTCCGGCCTGGAGATGCCCAGCTGGCTGGACGTGCAGTCGTATAGCGTCTGGCTGCCCTACCAGGCCATCGATCCGTACTATCCGTTCGAGAACCAGTCGGTGGAGGACTTTACCATCGGCACCGAGAACTGTGACAACCACAAGATTGGCTACTGCAACGGACCACTGAAGTCGGGCACCACCTACCGCGTGAAGGTGCGAGCGTTCACCGGAGCGGACAAGTTCACGGACACCGCCTACAGTTTTCCCATTCAGACGGGTAAGTGGGTAGTAAACCTAATCGGAATTGAGTAATATTAATATTTATTTTATTAATATTTATTAAGAGATAAATAGCGAACTTCCTTATAGCCATAACTATAGTATAATACAAACCCTACTTATATTATAAATTTCATTCTATCTATGTCTTACCTTGCATATTCTGTTATATAGAAATGCTAAGCTCACCGGGTAAGCGATGACTAAAGTTTTGTCCTTAAAGTTTTCTATATTATTTGGCATTTTCTTATAAATGATTTAGTTTAAAGATAAATAATAATATTATATTTAAATGGACTATTTTTTTAGTTTGCTTGTAATATATTTAGTTTAAAGAGAAAAGACTTTGATTTATACCCATACATTATTAAATATAATATTATGTTTATTTTTTGTTTCTTTATAAATTATACAGTTCAAAGATAAAAGACGTTTGTAATATTTAAAATATTATATTTACATTAAATATTATCTTAAGTTTTTTTATAAATGATTTAGTTGAAATATTTAATGTATTTAAAATTAGTAGATATTTAATATAAATTTTTTTTTTTTAATTATTATAATTTGTAATATTTAAAATATTATATTTACATTAAATATTATTTTAAATGTTTCTATAAATGATTTAGTTGAAAGATTTGATTTATTTAAAATTAGTAGATATTTAATATTTATTTCTTTTTTTTTTAATATTTTAATTTTCCATTTACTTTTACCGTTATTAATAACGCCCACCTACCGTCCACAGATCAAGACAACACCTCCCTGATCGTGGCCATCACAGTGCCGCTGACCATCATCCTGGTGCTCCTGGTCACCCTGCTGTTCTACAAGCGGCGACGCAACAATTGCCGCAAGACCACCAAGGATTCGCGGGCCAATGACAATATGTCGCTGCCGGACAGTGTGATCGAGCAGAATCGCCCGATACTGATCAAGAACTTTGCGGAGCACTACCGCCTGATGTCCGCCGACTCGGACTTCCGTTTCAGCGAGGAGTTCGAGGAGCTGAAGCACGTGGGCCGCGATCAGCCGTGCACCTTTGCCGACCTGCCCTGCAATCGGCCGAAGAACCGGTTCACCAACATCCTGCCCTACGACCACTCGCGCTTCAAGCTCCAGCCTGTGGACGATGACGAGGGCAGCGACTACATCAATGCCAACTATGTGCCCGGGCACAATTCGCCGCGGGAGTTCATCGTCACCCAGGGACCGCTGCACTCGACGCGCGACGACTTCTGGCGGATGTGCTGGGAGAGCAACTCGCGGGCCATCGTCATGCTGACCCGGTGCTTCGAGAAGGGACGCGAGAAGTGCGACCAGTACTGGCCCAATGACACGGTGCCCGTCTTCTACGGCGACATCAAGGTGCAGATTCTCAACGACAGCCACTACGCCGACTGGGTGATGACCGAGTTTATGCTGTGCAGGGTAGGTGCTTTGAATAGGAATATCTGTGGCATAACTTGAATATCTCAATCTCTGATCCTTAGGGCAGCGAACAGCGCATCCTGCGGCACTTCCATTTCACCACCTGGCCGGACTTTGGGGTGCCCAATCCGCCGCAGACCCTCGTCCGCTTCGTGCGCGCCTTCCGCGATCGCATCGGGGCCGAGCAGCGACCCATTGTGGTCCACTGCAGCGCCGGAGTGGGAAGGTCGGGCACCTTCATCACTTTGGATCGCATCCTGCAGCAGATTAACACGTCCGACTATGTGGACATCTTCGGCATAGTGTATGCCATGCGCAAGGGTAAATAATTGGGAGAAACTAAAAGAAATGGCTGTACACGATACAGCGGCTGTTTTATGAAGATTAAAAGAAAATAAGGAAATTATATTTTTTATATAAATATTTATTTTTCTAATTATTTTTGAATATTTTAAATATTTTACAATTATTTTGAGGCAACCGCTGTGCCGTTTACAACGAGCATTTATTTAAATAATGGTTGTAAACGATACAGCCGCTGCTATAAAAATATATATACATTTTTAACTCATATTTAAACAGACCTAATTAAATTAAAGGCTTCATCAGTAATTAATATTATTTTTTTTAATAATTAAAGGCAGCCACTGCACCTTTTACAAACAGTGTTCAGTACTTTTTTTGAACCAGAATTTATTCTAATATATATTTCCCATTTTAGAGCGCGTTTGGATGGTGCAGACGGAGCAGCAGTACATCTGCATCCACCAGTGCCTGCTGGCGGTGCTCGAGGGCAAGGAGAACATCGTGGGTCCCGCTCGCGAGATGCACGACAACGAGGGCTACGAAGGTAGGTCTTTGGCCAGGGATGTCTCTTAAGTTTCCCCCCAGCCAACAACAAACCGTTCGCTCGCACACTGACTAACATAAAAAAAAAAGAAAAAAGAAAAGTAAAAACCCAGGACATTGTGGGTCTTGCAGCCAGCTGTTTCTATTTTTTAGTTCTTCCTTACTAGACTTAAGCTTTATGTTTCCAATTTTCCATTCTGGTGATGGGTGACTAACTAACTTTGAGCAAAATCATTTTCCTTCATTTACCCAAAAAAAAAACAATGCAAACGCCGCAGGCCAACAAGTGCAGCTGGACGAGAACGGCGATGTGGTGGCCACCATCGAGGGTCATTTGTCGCACCACGACCTCCAGCAGGCCGAGGCGGAGGCCATTGACGATGAGAATGCGGCGATACTGCACGATGACCAGCAGCCGCTGACCAGTAGCTTCACTGGCCACCACAATCACATGCCGCCCACCACATCGATGAGCTCCTTCGTTGGCGCAGGGGGCGGCATTAACAATGTGGAAGCGCCGGATAGATGACATTCGGTTGTCAACCAGAGTGATAACAACAATTCGGTGGTTATCGTCCTGGTTGACAACAAGCCCAGCTCGATGATCTGCAAGGACAGCAAGGGCGGCAACATCGATGTCCTGGAGCAACAGCAGCAGCAGCTACAGCAGCAGCCCATCCAGGGAGCCCACACCATGACCACCATATCCGCCGTCAATGGCTACAATACGCTCCAGCATAGACGCAAATCCCAGCTGATCACGTTCAGCTCGTCGTCCTGTGATATCAAGAACAGTCTCAGTCATGAGTACATCAATGGATCCAATGGATCGTCGGCCAATTCGAATGGTGCAGCTCCAGCTGTTTCTGGTACCGGCAGCAATCGAGCCAGTCGCGCCAATGTCCGACTGAGTTTCGCCGAGGAGGATGTGATGATATTGCCACAGAATCACCAAGAGGACGAGGTCTTCACGCGCCGCCGTTCGCTTCTGGAGGTGGAACTCGGGGTGGAGGTGGGCGAGGATGGTGAGCTGGTGCCACACGAACTGGAGGAGGATCTCGAGGAGGAGGAGGAGGAGGAGGAAGAGGACGACGATGAGGAGCTGTATATGCACGACGAGTTCGAGACGCACATTGATGCCAAGTCGAACAATGCCAACGACGACAGCGGCGGTGGGAGCTACGAGGACTCCCATGCGCTGCACTCCTCGCTGGGCGGCAGCAATCGGAATAGTTTGGAGAAGGACGACGACGACATCGAGGTGGATGTGATCAGCACGGACGTGAGCTGCTACGATCAGCTGCTGGGCAGCAGTTGCAATACGCGCAACGGCGACGACGATGACATAGCCACGCTGGTCGGCGATGGCGACTATGCCACCACCAAGCTCTGCAAGGCCTCCAGATTAACTGGTGGTGGATTGGCATCCGCTGGAGCAGCAGCAGGAGGAGGAGCTACCGGAGGAGCTGTCGGAGGAATCGGTGTTAACGGTGGTGGTGTTTTAAACAATGGTGTTGGTTCCGAGGCTGGCGGCGGCGGCATCATCTATGCCAATCCGTTCATGGGTTTGTAGACACTTTCGCAAATCCCCGAGGTGGTCAGCAGTGCATTTCATGGATTTTTCGTGTATATAAGATAGTAATCCTTGTGTGTCATGAAATGCACTGCCTCCACATCTCTTAGATGTCTTGTGTATACTGCCTGATTGAGTTTACCTGCATGCCTACCTGTATATATTTCAGTTGATGTTATTTTCTAACCCCGCATGAGCAACCTAATTGGGAAAAAGCCCTAATGAAGCCTATTTGAATGTCTTTCAGATGACGAGGGCATTGCCGAGTCGGGCATGTAAGCCCATTCCAGAGCCCAGGAACTCCAGAAACTCCAGCCCATCCCAACCACTCAACTCAACGAAACTCAACCGAATGGAACCCAACCCAACCAGCATGTGGCAACTACATTATTATTTACTTAAGGAGGAAAGTGCGGAGGATCAACGCTTGATATTATAATTGGATATATGTGTGTACTACACCGGATACTACTGGATATATATACTCTACACCGATCTATCGAATGGGAATGCAGCAATCTCGCCAAACAGAACGAACACGCATCAATTTATACATTTTATATATATCTAAGATAACGAAGGATCAGCGATCGGCGAACACTGAATACTGGAATACTGATTGTATTTTTACGCTAGCCACAATTTGATATAAACTATATATCTTCCAATTTTTTTGTACACCTAATGTTAGTTGAAATATGTATGTGAGCGAGACGAGCAAATTTTTGTAGCAAACTAAAAGCGCTAAATGTTTACTTTTTTATATTATTATATATATAAATACTTGATAAACATATACCTAATATTAGGCCTAAACTAAACTAACTATAAATCGCACACACTCATACACTCACACAAACACAATGCAATAATTGAGTTACATAGTTTTAAAGAGGAAGAAATGTTAAAACATTTGGCTGCAACCGTCGGAATCGCAAGAGATGTAGTGTACAATTTTTAATTTGTCGTATATGTATGATTTTTTTTCATTTCTGTTTTGTGTTTAATTTTTTTTGTAATTTTTATCCAAGCGTAAGCTGTGTATGTATGTGCTACATTTTTGTTTAATTATATCAAGTTTTATTTAAAAAAGAAACCAATCAAAGACCATTTTGCGTACTCATCATTTGAATTTGAATCATTCATATGGGTTCAAAACAGCGGGCCCTGGAGATCAATACAATCAACAAAAAGTAATGTAAATCACCGATGATAATTTTAAAAATGAAAGAAACATTTTCACTTACTTTTGACCGTTTGTGATTTTATTATTAATGAAAGATCAAACTAAATTTATTAAATTTTTGTATATATTTATGTAACCTAACGATATGTGAGAATTTTTATCTTAACTTGACTTTCAAGCTCTTTAATCTGTTAGTTTTCTTTGGAGACTTTCTTTTAATATCAAAATTTAAAAAAATTATACTTATTTATTTATTTTATTTTGTAATTATTACAAATCTCGTTAGATAAATTTCAGAAGGAAGAGAAATTTGGAAGGACAACTGATAAACAGACAGCACAAATTGAAGAACAGGAACAAATGACCAACGCATTTCGTAAGGCGATAATCATTTACACGAAAACCAATATGAATAACAGAATCCCACGCAAACTGTAGACTAACTAACGACAAAGTTAAGGGCTAGTTGACATAGCCGGTGCCAAAGCAAGAACAAAAGTAAGACAACAACACCTACACACGACAACTAACTGTAACAATAGCAATAAATTTAAATGAAAACTGTAGTCAAATAATTTGCATACATTTGTATTTTGTCCAAACTTAGTTGAAATGATTAACCGAACTGTGAGCGAGTGCAATAGAAATCGTTTTGCTTCTAGATTAGTGAAAATACAACGAAGCCCCTAATTTGAATACGAAACGTACCCAAAATCCAAAAGATCCCCCCCTCTCAATATAAATAAATACATATATTGCAAAAGCTATAGAAGATGAAACTAGAAAGTCTGTATTATGCATACATAATATAACATACGACTCCATTATACACACGCGTACTAAGGCCGACGAATAACATATGCATATACAATATAGACATATATTAAATATATATCATTGTAATAATTTGTAATGTTTATCAGTAGAATTATGATCCGAGGTGGAGCAGACGAGTAAAACGCATGCAGAGATCCATTAAAGTGTACTGTAAAATGTGCGACATCTAGTTTCGTCTAAATTTATTAAAGGTTTTTGCATTTTCCGAGGGTAAGTCATGATAATTAAGAAATTACAAAAGTTTAAAATACTAAATTATTTATTTTCCGTGTCGTTTGCATCGTTTTTTGCTAGTCTTATTTGGGAGATCTTGAAGAACTCTCTCTAATAACATTGAAACATATTGATAATCAGGAATTTAAAGAACCAAAATATTTAAAAATCTATGAAATTTGGCTACAAAGGGGAAAACTAACCATAAATTGGTAAAAATTCAATTTAAAAAGTGTTTAACATTTGGCTACGATCGTGTTAGTATTGCATACTTTTAGGTCCATCTTTTTGCACAGGGATTGTGTGAACTAGCAACTAAATTGGCACTGAGAAGTCGACGGTGTCCCGCTACTGAGCAGCTGCATCCGGAGCCTTCATGGCCAGCATGGCGTCCAGTTCGCCCTGGATGTTCTCGAACTGATTGTACAGCTCGACAAGTTCCGGGTGCGTCATCTCGATGTTGATATCCTCGCCGACGCCCGTCTTCATTTGGAGCACGGCCAGCGGCGTCTTCTCCCGCTGCTGGCAGTGCGAGGAGACCTCCACGTTCAGTTTCCAGGCCACATCCTCAATGACATTCGACTCGTACCGCTTGCTGGCCAAGTTGTTCATAATGGGCGTCGTCTCGCGCACCCACAGCCGCAAAATGGCATCGATCTTGGCCTCGTCCTCCAGCTGGAGCTTCTCGCGCAGCTCCCGCTGCAGCAGGCTGGGCTTGATGATGAACGTGGAGATGCGTCGCAGGATGTAGGAGAAGGTCTTGATCAGGAGCAGAAAGTCCGGCCGCGGCACGCCCACCAGTCGCTCCAGTTCCTCGAGCGTGTACTCCGGCTCCGAGCTGCTCGTGGGGTTCTCCTCGGTGCTGCTGTCCGCCCGTCCGGTGGTCGTCACGCTGGTGCCCACCGTACAACTGGTGGCACCCGGCGCCGCCGCTCCCGAGGCTCCGCTGGGACTCATCTGCCGGTGGGTGTACCACAGAACCGTGGTGAAGGTCTCGTAGGGCAGGGCGTTGATGATCTTGATGCCCTCGCGGGCTCTGGTAAGTGGTTACAACCCAGTTAATAGAAAATATGATTAAAAAGTTAATACCACCAACCTTTCGGTGATCTTTATCCAGTTAATGCTCATGATTCACGTATTTCCAAGAAACATATAGTCGATAGATCTCTAGATGAAGCGCTTATATTATCTTTTTCTTATTTGAATCTTGCTTATTTATTAATTATAATAAATAACAAACAAATGTAGACTTTGTTTATAGAGAGCAACAAAAACAACAAAAACTATCGGACTGCCAGCTTGAAGCGTTGCCACTCAGATTTGAAAGCCATCCAATAATAACGGTAAATAAATAGCTATTATCATTTTGTTATTAGAAGGTTACTGGTTTCATTTAATTTGTTTATTAGGCAACAAAAGAAATTATAAATTTAAATTAATTGTACGACAATTTTAATAATTAAAATGAATCAGTACTTTGAATAGATCATATTATTTCCTGCCCAAATTGTTTTTAATATTCAAATGTGGAAAATCCAAGCTACCATTTTTTAGCAGCAGCATAATAAGTATAGTTTTTTAAACTGTGCTTTTTCAAAAATATAAAAACCCCACCAAAAAATAGCTAGCTTTAGCGTGAAACCCAGACCCAGTGGCAACGCCTCAGCCGCCTATCGATAGTCCGCTCGATAGCGCGCACAATCGATAGGCAGTATTTGTGTATTGGAAACGCGGCTTAACTTGATGCAGATTTTTCCGCTGATTCGGCTGCAAATGATGCACTTTTGAGGCGCAGCGAGTGCACCCACGCCCCCGAGTTCGAGTGCAGTTGCAGTCGGGAAAGTTTGGAAAGTGCGCGGAGCGTGGAGAGCGACGAATTCGGCCAGCGCGTCGAGCTGAAAGGAGCGGAAAAGAAAAGTGACGAAAAGCGGGGGAAAACGGCGGATGAGCGAAAATCGGAAAATTGAAAACGAAACCAACCACCGACTTGTTTAAGCCCAGCATCTCAAAAGTAAGGATTCCCGACTGAAGATCCGGTGAAAACGCGAGAAAAACAAAAAACGCCAACAACTAACGGAACTGTGTGTATATGTTGTGTGCCTATGTGTGTTGTGTGCCTGCCGTCGTGTTGGTGCCGTCGTTCCTGTGTAAATAAACAAAACCCGGCTCTTTCCAAATACCGTTCATTCTCTCCGCTTTTCCCCGGGATTTCGTTAATTGGCAATTTTCCATTTGGCATAGCATTTATATTCCAGCACCTTTTTGGGTGCATTCTGTCTGTATCAGAGTTCTGCTTCCAGCTTGCCGTAAAAATCGATAGCGCGTCGTCGGTTGTTTATTTTATGCTTCGTCTGCATTTTGCAGCCCCTTTTTATCGCTCTCCCCTTTTTCACCCACCCCTGCACACACTCACACTCGCCGATGCATACACACACACACACACACACGTACACCAGTGATATGGAAAATTAAAAATAATAATTTTTATCGCGGTATGCAAAATGCAAAGCTGCAGAAACAGAAGCAATTGCAATTCCAACAATAATAACAATCTAGCCATGCAATCAATTTCAGCGAAACAATAAGAATAATCGTTCGTTTTTGGCTTTCAGTTTCCCCGCTTTTCCTTTCCATTCCCCCCTTTCCCTTCCCTGCGATTCGGTTTTATCGCATTTTCCGCTCATTATGGCAGTTTAGCATATTTATGCTGGAAAAATATTGGGGTTTCTTTGCTTCTTACCTCTGTTTTACGTTTTGTTTGGCTGTCGGGCTGTAAAAACAACAGTTAATCCAATTAAGAAAAATAAAACTCTAAATGGCGTCGTCGCCACGAATTTCAGATCACCTAACATGCAGATTTTATCAGGTTTTGAAATCTTAAAAAATTAAGGTTGAGTTTTTAAACACCCTTAAGTCTGAATTTGTCTAATATCTCTTAAAATTAAATCACATGTTGAATTGGTTTTATCTAATTTTAAATTTGTGGTATTTGTTTATTTAGCCAAGAAAAGCTTCTACGAAATATTAACATGTAGGTTGACCCACAATGGCTAGGAAATATTTAGAATTCTTTCCAAAATATAATTGAAATTTAATTATTTTAGATTACTATAAATAAGGAAGGAATAAGGTTATCTTTGACACAACCTGAAATTATTTTCAAATTAAAAAAAAACAGGAATTTTATTTTTTTATTTATTAAAGTAGTTTAAATTTAAAAAGGAAAGTATTTCAATCCTTTAAATCATAAATTCTTTTATAAGCTGGCCACAGAAATAGCGAATCCTAAGGTAGCTTCATCGGTTGACTACGATTTCCATGGTTGGCCAATCTTTTGGGTCGGCAATGCCCTCCTCTTTGCTTTGTAGAGGAGCTTGGGCAGCGGGCACTAGCAATTGGCACCAGCTTCGAGCCAGTCAGTCGGCCAGACTTGGTCTTTGGGTCGAGATGTAGAGCTGGATAATGTGGCATTCTATATAGGGGATACGGATACGTCTGACATGCACTAATGCCCCGAATAATGCCTCTTGCAGACGGGGATAATGGAGTCACAGAAGCGGCCGTCGTTGCATTTACTCACGGATGTGCCAGCAGGATCGGCAGCTGGAGGAGCTGGACCTGCAGGATCTGCAGCTGAGATGTCGCCCACTTCCGGCTTCCTGCCAGACATGCCGCAGTGGAAGAAGGACCTCATCCAGCGGCGGAAAACGAACGTGGCCCGCACCCAGGCGGCGTCCATCGCCTCGCCCACCGATGGCAGTTGTGGGGCTTTGGCGGAAGCCACCGCCGCTCCAGGTGCAATTGCAGGTGAGTGGTGGTTAGACGAGCTGCGATACTTTCACTTGAAATGCAAATTCGAGGTATTTCAAAGACGAGTATTTCTGGAAAAGTGTATTATTAAATAATGAAAGTATTTGACTATTTTTTTTTTGTCGAGAGATATTTAAAAGTTTCTATAAGAATTTGAAAATTTTTTTTAGAAAGCTTTAAAATCAATTTTAATTAAAGTGTTGAAAATAGATCTGTTAACTTTCAAGGTAAAAAGAGGCAATCAAAATTGAAAAATACCTTAAACAAAGAATAGCTGAAACTGATATGATTATTATGCATAAATTAAAAAATTAAAGTGGCAGTATTCGAAAGACTTATGCAATTGCTCAGCTGGCACTTAAGCAGTCGTGAGTAATGGTAACAAGTGTTTTTAATTTGTTTTTGCCAGCAGTTACGATTTCAACTACCGGGAAACTTTCGAATTAAGCGCCGCACCTATCGATAGTTGGTTATCGATAGCGAGCAGAGTTGTCAGGTTGCGAACAGGGGTTTTCCCCAAAACAAGTTATGTTTCACCATTGTAATCTTTGTTTTTCGACTGTTTTTTTTTATTTTTTCGCCCCACCAGATTCCACGGAACCGGCGACAATCATTAGCACTAGTCAAAAGAGAAATATGATCGGTTCAGAGGAAAAGTGTGAGAAATCTTCCATTTCCAATACCAATTCCAATTCCACTGGAGGTCATCACTCTGTTGTTGCCGTCTCCCTTTCGCCCGAAGCGGCAACAACAAATGTAACAGTAACACCAATACCAAAGCAGCGATCGAGTTTACTACTCAACACGAGAAGTCAGGAGAAGGAGGGAGAGCGCGAGATTCTAGCCGAGAGTGCGGAGAGAGAGAGAGAGACAGAGAGCGAACGCGAACAGCCGGCTGCCGTGGTGGTGGTGGTGGGTAGCGGCCGGTGTGGTGAAGTTGAAACTGGCACAACTGGAGCAGCAGCAACATCGTCGCCGTCGTCGTCGTCAGCAAATCAAAATCCAAACCCAAATCACTTGAAAACGAAATGCAAACCGGGACAGAGCGTTGCTGAGGGCAAGCCTTCAGCGAAAGAGACCACCATTTCCATTTCCAGCGAAAGCACCACCAAGAGCTGCAGCAAGACGAAGAGTATTTCCGATAAATTGCAGAGCAACAAGTTTATAATTCAGCAACAGCAGCAGCAGCAGCAGCAACAACAGCAACTGTCGCCCACAAAGGTAACGGTAAAACCGACAATGGTCGCCATGCAAGAGATGAAGAAGACAACCAAACAAAATGGCCAGCACCGCCACCTAACGGCCAAAATAGGCACTGCCAGCGGGCCAGGCGGCGTGGATGTGGATTCCCAATCGCCGAATCCCATTCCAGATTCCCTGGACACCGGCGAGGATCTGAGCTACGGGCCCGGCATTGTGTCCAAGCTGCGCTGCCGCTACCTCAGCCTGGCGCTCCGCGAGTCTCGCCAGCAGAGTAGCAAGCAACGCCTCCAGCGCTCCACCAGCCTGAATACTCTCCTGGATCGCGACGACGACGAGGTGGATGTGGAGGTGGAGCCCGAGGTGGTGGCCAGTAGTCAGGTGCGTGCCAAATCCACACCGCCACCGATTCTGGGTGCCAAACCGACCGGCAAACCCAACAGACAGGACAACCAGCAGCAGCAGCAGCAGCGTCCGGTGAGCCTGGGCGCCAATGGAGGATCGGCAGCTGTTAACCCGCCCCTCACCTCGGAGGATGCCCAGCCAGGTCAGGTGATAGCCAACGGATCAGCCAATCGATCGCGTCACTTTAAGCGCGGCAACGAAGTGATGAAGCGGGCCCGCTCCGTGGAGGCCCTCCTCTGCGAGAAGTCGCCGTGGAACAGTCAGCGGATCAGCACCGCGGGAACACCTTCACCAACGGCCATCAAGGCCAACGTTGCCCCCTCACCTGTTGTCACCTCGCCCACCTGCGTCACCATCGAGGATAAGATCCACAATGCCCGCGAGCGGCTGCACAGCGGCACGGATACGGCGCCGCCCAAGCGGCTGACCTCGATTATCGACGACACCGAACGGCCGCCACCGGATCTGGTCAAGCAGACGCTCAAGATGTTCGAGGCGAGTGCCAATCGGCGACCGCGGGCCGCCCATCGTTCCAACGGCGTGGGCGGAGTGGCCAGCAAGGTGGCGAGCTACAAATCAATCATCAAGGATCAGGCCACGCCGCCGCCGTCGTCGGGCTTTGCCTCCTCGACGCCGCTCAGGAATCCGCATCATGTCCATCCCGATATAATACCCCGCCAGGTCGACTCGCCCGTTTCGGCGTTGAGTCTGATGATGCGTCGCATGGAGCTGCAGGATCCGGAGACGCCCGAAAGGGATACCACACCGCAGAGCGAGGCGCCAAGCGAGACTGAGCGAAACGATCGCGATGAAGGCGATGTCGATGGCGAGGGCGATGGCGAAGGCGATGACGACAGCCCCAACAACAACGACGATCACGACGACGACAGCAGCGACAACAATGAGCAATGCGATAAAATGGGCGCGGCGGCAGGCGGCGGCGGCGATAAGCCTAAGCCCCCAGCGGAATCGGCAGCGGGAGGCGCCCAGCGATCATTCGCTGCCTCGACGGAGAACGCGCATGTAGCCAGCGGGAGTAGCAGTACCAGCAGTACGACAACCACAGTGCGGAAGCTCAACAACAACAGCAGCAGCAGCATCAGCGATTCCAGCGGACCAGCGGTGACCAAACAGATTGGTGTGATCCGGCCGCTGTTCAATAGCCAGGGAGCTGGGAGTACGCCACTGACGAGTCGCGAGATCGAGAAGAATCGCATCAATGAGATGAAGAAGTCGACGGCCACAGAAGCCGGTGCGGGATCGGGATCGGGATCCGCAACGGGATCCTCGCCCACCGCTAGTCTCGACACCGTGATAAACACCAAGGAGGCGGCCAGCAGCGAAACGGATGCCAGCGCCTCGCCACTGTGGACACTGCGCAAGCTGAGGAGCAGCCAGAGTCAGGGAGCCGGCGGCGGAGGAGGAGCCAGCGGGGGATCGGGACCCAGTTCCAGCCATCATTCCACGGAGAACACCTCGATGGTGTTCAACTTCTCCAAGAGCACCAAGGAAGTGCCCGACTACATCGAAAGCGACGTTGTGATTTACAGGCGCAAGCGGGAGCTGCCCAAGGTGAGTGTAGTTCTACACAGAAACAAAAAACGGATATGAAATGGGGTTATTTCTATCTTTTTTCATATCAAATGTCAAATTTAAGACTCAAACAGATCAACATGATATTTTATCATATCATAAAAAATACCAAATTTTGTGTTTTTTGAGCAAACATAATCTTTATTCATATCAAAATGATATGAATAACTTGATCTTAAAAAATATCAAATTGACCGTTACAATTTTTTTTTTCTGTGTATGGGTACTATGCTATCCCTCCCCACCCTTTCTTTTTTTTTTCTTGTCTCCCCTTTTTTTTTTGCAAAATCTTCCCCGGAAGAGTCACCCAGCCTTACGGATTATTCATGCTTAACAATTACCCCATGAATTATTATTTTCCCCCGATAGTAATTTGGTTTCTTGAGCTCTCGTCCCCAATATCTTTGTTGTTATTATGGTTTATTTTCCGTTTCTTTCTCGCATATTTTTTTTATTATTTTTTTTTTTTTTTGTGTCATACGGCAGCCATGCCATATAAACAAATATGAAACAAAGCACACAGAGAACAGCGATCATGCGCATTTCGAAAGTTCAACAAGGCAGGGCGAGAACGGAACTGAGGAACTGCGGCGAACGGTGGAGAGAATCCGGTGGGGAAGTGACAAAGCGCAACTTGGATACTCTTTCTTTCTTTCTTTCTTGCGAGAGAGAACGTATATATCTTGACTTTTCCTTTCTGGGAATTAATCATGAGGGTAAATACGTCGTTGAAAAGCGTTAGTTTTGCATGATGACTGAGTGAATTGCTCACATTTGATAAGGGATTCCTAGTTGGTAGAAATCATTGAAAGAGCTTGAACAAATATCAAGAGTTTGCTATTTCTCTATATTTAAAAACATCGATGTTATCGAAAATATCGATAAATTTAAAGCTCTTATCATTGATCATAACTTTCCTTATGAGTTGTCTTTGATCTAATTGATCTGTACGAAGAAACCTCAAAAACTATTAATTTTCGTCACTTTCTAAGAGATTATCGATCCCAGTGACTTTAATGAAGTTTAGAAAATCATACCACCCTAAACGTTGCCTGTAATTCCTGTTATTAGACTTAGGATTACCAGAATCATGGGTTTCTAATCATTCCCAAAGTACCAATTTATTACCTGTCGGCAGCAAAATCACGGTCTTCATAAATAAGTATCTCACAAAGATTACACAGCTCAGTCGGCTAATGAACATTACTCAGAGGGCCGATCAATTAGGGATCTTCGATCGTCGACTGCTACTGGAAATGGAAATGGCAAGCCCCTAATAGAGATCGAAGCTTGCATCACAGCTGGGAATAGTTCGATGTGATCTTCTGCTCCGAGTCAATTAAAATTCGCCTTGAATAGCTCTCCGATCGATAGCCCCGAATCGTGTGCGACATGAGCAGATGCCCCTCCTATATGCATATACATAAATCTCTCTATATATATATATGTATATTTATATACACATATCTGCATATTCTTTCCCAAAGTCTGCTTTGTTCCCAGCCAGATGCAAGTCTCATCTTCTGGCAGTCTTCTGTCTTCGCTCCTCAGTCTTCGGTCTTCAGTCTTCAGTCTTCGGTCCCTTCTTCTTTTGGGTTCTTCTTTGCCTGCACTTTTCGACATCGGAAGAGTGGGAAACCAGTTTTGAAGCATGCATGTGGACATGAGAAGATATTTCTGCTCTTCCTGCTGCTGCCAGCAAAACGGCAAAAGTCCGTAGAGATATGTAGAGATATACACTGTGCACATGAGATATTATGTGTCTGTGGGGAACTTTATTCTTGGGGAGCAGCCGGTCCTCGGGATGCCGGTTTTGTTGGGATGCAAGTATGGGCTGCTCCCTACAGCTGTTGCTTCTCCTCCCTCAAAGCCATGCTTAAATTCCCTCTACTTTAAAGCTTTTAAAAAGATTTGTCTTTATCTTAAGCCTAGAACTATATAATATCACTAGAATTCTTTGTTTGGTATCATATCAGTTTAAAAATTCGAGAAAAGCCCAAATTTTATTTTTAGTAGCCATATAAACAGGGTAATTAAATGTATTATTTTAAATATCCTGCTTTAATATTAATATTTTTATTAATAAATATTTTAAATGAACTATATAAATCGAAATACCAACCAAAGGCAAAGAATTCTTCGTAAATAAGTCATATTAGACTTCAAAAATTAAAAAAAAGTTTTTCTTTTCCAAACAAAAATTTTGAAATATTTTTGAGATATAATCCTAAAAATATACAATTATTAATTCAAATATTTGAACCTATCTTGTGGTTGGAAAAGCCCACTGCACTGACACTATTTCATACTCTATACCTCTCCCTTAGCTTGAGACTTTAGCTTTCGGTTCGGTTGAGTTTTCCTCTTGCCGTCTTCTCGTTGGTAAACCCGTTTTGTTTGTGCTTTGTGCCGTTCTCTTCGCTCTGTCTCTGTTGCCATATCTCTCTCTCTCTCTCTCGACCACTCTCTACCACTGAACTCAATTTTGTCAATTCTTTTTTGAGGCTCACTTCTACTTACCGTGTTTGCTTTTGCCTTTGCCTTGTCTCTTTTATCTCGCTTTGAACTTTATTATCTGCGCTATGGGTATATATGGCATATAGCATATGGTATATATGGCTGGGGGTCGATTTGTGCCACAAAAAAGAAGAAAAAAAAAATGGGCCAAAAAAAAGGGGGGGAATATTGACTGGGAACTGAAATCGGAACCGGGACTTGGACTTGGAACTCTCCTGGACCTCGGAACCCCTGCCGTGAGTCACAGATGACCCATAACATAACGCTGATCAAGAGTGAGTTTCCATGAATTTCACTTTTCGAACACATGTGACCTGAAAACTCGACAGCTTTGTGGAATAAATGGTCCTCCTACTTCAAAATTATCGGGAGACAACCATTATAATCCAAAGAAAGAAAGAAAACGAGTTATACATCATCGAAAACTTCAAAAGAGGCGTGTTCAGAAGATAATATCTTAAACAGCAGGAAAACATCTTGAATGACTTTAATAACATTTTCAAAGTGTCTTGTTTACCTGGGTTTTATTTCAAAACAAACAAGACATTACCGATAAGGATAATGAGTATTTTTATTAGGCTGTATAAATTTAAATCTTTAACTTCTGTGTGGGCAATGCCAATATATTTTTACCCTTTGTTTATAGAGGAATTCCCATAACTAATTATTATTTTTTCCATCTATCCCTATTAGCCAAATGAGCCTGGCTTCGTGCTGCTGGGCGATCTCTCCGTGGAAACGTCAACGGACACGGACTATGACGACTACTCCATGTGCCCGCCATCGCCGTGCGATGTGGAGTTCGAGAATGCCAACATTGTGATCGACGGCAAGTCCAGCATACGCCAGAAAGCCAAAGATTCTTCGGTATGTAGGGATGGATCCCCAAAACCCCATATATATACACCACATACCACATACCTTACTTGGGAGTGAGTCAGGTGCGGGGTTTTGTTTTTGCCACCGAAAGATAGCATTGGTTCTTTTTTTTTTTTTTTTTCCAATTTGGTGTGTGTATGTGAAAAGGATAAGATAAGATTATTTGGTGGGCCCCTTGGAAAGGAGGGGAATGTTTTCGAGTGCCAGCACAAACTGTTTGACCATTCAATGGGGATCGATGATAAGGTATTTATGCTCTTGCCTTATATAACATTTATCGACTGGGTCGTGTCGCCTGTCCAGGGACTATTAATCAACCCGCATTAGGTTCGCCTTAGAGCGGGATTTGTTTCCCCTTTTTATACCCTTGCAGAGGGTATTATGATTTCAGTCAGAAGTTTGCAACGCAGTGAAGGAGACGTCTCCGACCCCATAAAGTATATATATTCTTGATCAGCATCACAAGACGAGTCGATCTAGCCATGTCCGTCTGTCCGTCTGTCCGTCTGTCTGTCTGTCCGTCTGTCCGTCTGTCCGTCTGTCCGTCTGTCTGTTTCTACGCAAACTAGTCTCTCAGTTTTTGAGCTATCGGGACGAAACTTTCGCAAAAGTCTTCTTTCTATTGCAGGTAGTATATATGTCGGAGCCGACCGGATCGGACAACTATATCTTATAGCTCCCATAGGAAGGATCGGAAGAAAAAAGCTTTAAAAAATTCTAGCTTCGGTGTTTTTTGAAATATTACCTTCTACTTTTGGGGATGTTATTTTTTAAATATTTCTGAATTTCGAATTAATTATTTAAAAAATCGGACTACTATATCATATAGCTGCCATAGGAACGATCGGAAAATTAATGGAAAAGTAATAGGAAATAAATTCTAGCTTCTTTGGTTTTTATTGTATTATCTTCTACTCTAGGATATAACTCTTTTTAAATATTTCCGAATTTCAATTTTAATTTGATCAAAATCGGACGACTATATCATATAGCTGCCATAGGAACGATTGGAAAATTAATGAGAAATATTAGAAAATTGAACATTTTTGCGATTTGTTAATTAATAGGAATGATCTGCAAGGGTATATAAGCTTCGGCTGGCCGAAGCTAGCTTCCTTTCTTGTTATTTTTATTTTTCTGTTTGCCTGGCGCTAACTTATTTATTTATTCCTTTATTCGGGTGCGTTCCATCAGTGTGACTGATATGGGAACTGTATGGTATATATTGTTGTACCATTGTCTTTAGCCTCAGCAGCCTCAGCCTGAATTTCCGAATCAATTCAATCGTATCGTTGGGGTTTGTTCTCCTCCGATAAGGAGCCCGATTTCTGCAGTCATTCGGGGTTGACTCATTGATATGCCATCGATAAGGCATCGATGAGTAAGTGCCGAACGATGGGAGTTGCGTTTAGAACAATTTATTTGCAATTACTCCAATGTCACGGATAAACATGTTATTATCATATAGCCACAAAGAAACTATAAATCTGCATTGTCTTTTGCTCGTCAATGGTTTAAATATTTTAAATGTTTATTTATAACAACGATTTGATCCAACACTTTCGTCTAACCTTGAATTTTTATGACCTACAGAGAAACTATTTAGTTTTGGCAATATATTTGATGATTTGTGGCATCGCCTAATGTAAATCTTCGATGTGGTTATGTAAATTAGGACGAATCGTTAAAAGAAAACAACAAAAAATATAGGAATGAAAAGAGTAGAATTTGTACAACTCGAGGTGGTCTCTAAATTAAATTGTTTATGTAATCCGAATCAAGAATTGATATCCAAAGAGTTTTCGTCTAATTCCAATGGCGCCATAAACAAAGCGAATACCATATCGGTTTTGTTATCACCAATGTCAGAGAGTCTTAAAAAAATAGTTTATATTTAAAGGGAAATAAAATTATATGTAGTATCTATAAAGTGTGATCATTCTGGTAAAGTATAGGTATTTTAAAAGTTTTTAGAATGATATTAATGTTATATTTTAACCATTTTAGAATCTATTATAATCACTATTTTCTTTGTTTTTTATTATACGCCAAAATGATGTATTTGAAATGTGGGAATTTTGGATTTTTTTAAGAGATATGGGTAATGTTAATATTTCTCTTAAGGTTCTCAAATAGGGAAGTACATTTTTGTATATTTTTTTTTAACCCAAAACCATTGTAATCCTTCCTCTTCTTAAAGCCCATCGTAGTGAAAGTAATTCCAGAAGCAAACACTGATCAAATTTCTTACTCACTTCCCACAGTTCCGCGTGCAGTTCAACGACACGCTGACGTCGACGTTTGAATACCCCTCCGAGGCATCGATGACCATCGAGGATCCGCCGTACGCCGATCCGTTCGGGCATGTGAGCAAGCACCACCAGATGCTGCTGGCGGAGCAGATGCACAGGCTGCAGCACCAGCAGCAGCTGGAGCAGCTGGAGCTGGAGCAGATGCACCAGCTGGGGCTGCAGGAGCAGCACCACCATGTGACCGTCGACGAGATCATCGAGCTGCCCACGTCGACGGCGGGACATGGACATGGACATGGATACAGGGCGGGGGCGGCGGGGGGCGGACCGATGCTGGGGAATTTACCGTTGGGTAAGTAATATCTGTTCCACATCCGTCCATCCAAGCGTGCATTATTCACGTGTTGTTATTGTTATTGTTGTATGTACGTATGTTGTATGTTGTATGTGGCATGCAGCAGCGAACGATGGAATGGCTTTTTGTCTCTCTGACTCTGTCTCACACTCTGTCGCTGTCTCTCTCTGCCTGCATATCTCTGTCTCTGTCTCTGTCACTTGCCTTGTCCTTAATCTTGATTTACCATCTGTGCTCTTGAGTTCTGTTTACCATCATTAATACCCACTCATCCATCACCTCATCGCCGCGATCTCTTTGTTTTTGAGTTCAACACTTTCGTTTACCTTGGGTTAATCAGAGGGGGGGAAGGGGGTGCGTTGCTTTTCGCAAACAAAAACCAGGGGAATAACCAACAGAATATTAAATGTTTCCCAACGAAATACAACAAAAAGCTAGGGATTATCAATACAGAAAGTTAGGTTCAAGATCTGCAAAAGGAATACACATGTATAAAAAGAGAAAATTACAATATTTTACATAATAATAACACTAATATTATTATCATATGATCTTGGCAGATAAAATAACCGATAACAAGAGACCCAAGGAAATGATATAGCATATGACTGATATATAGAGCTTGAAAATTATCGATATTTTCGATATTTTCACCATATTGATGCGATAATTTATCGATATACTTTCAAGCTCTACTGATTAGCACAAACGAAGGCCTAGAAAAAGAAATCCTACCGAAACTCAAGACCCCAAGTCCTCACTAAAGAATCGGGTGTATAACAATCAAGGTTTCTGCACTTTACAGATGCTGATAGAGCCACAGACCCACCTGTCTCCGTCTCCGTCTCCGTATCAGTTTCCGAGCCCGCTCCAATCTCCGCTCCAGCCTCAACTTCCGTAACCGTCTCAGTTCCCAAATGTGGCGCCAGGACCACGAGCTCCGGCTGTTGCCCCTGGCCAAGGTTCCGTTCGGTCCTGGGCGCTCACCTTCGCCGGCTGACCAGGCGCATCAGGTGGGTGGTGCAGCCTGAAGCTGAAGCTAGCAGCCCTTTGAAAGCCCCTTGTTCCCCCCTGCTCTTCTATATTCTACTATATATATACGCTATGTCACAGCTCTTGAAGAACTAAATCAAAAAGAACACCCAAAAACCGAGTTCCAAATAGCAAATTGCTTCGGTCTTTTCCGGCTGAAAGGCTCTCAATTTCGCCTCACGCATATTTGCAGATTACCCAAGTTTAGGGAAGGGTATTATCTTGCCGCAGTCGCAACAACAACAGCAGCAGCAGCCAGAAGTGGCAATCCCAGCAGCAGAAGTGGAAACCACCGAGCCATTGCCACCACCCACAATCGCCAAGCGCCCACAGCTCCCGGCGAAGCCACAGCCTCATCCACAGGTGCGTAGGGCCAGGCCATCGGTGCTGCTGAAGCCGCAGTATGCCTGCTTCCTCCAGCAGGATGAAACCACCAAATCCCAGCCAGCTTCTGTTTCGGCTAGACCGCGGAAGGCAGCCTCCTTTACGTTGGGCAATCAGCAGCGCCAGGAGAAGGAGCAACTACAGCAGCATCATCAGCAGAGTAAATATGATAGAAACGAAGGCTCGAGGAAGTGTCGAGGAGGAGGAAGTGGTGGCCAGAGTAGTCCAGCTCCCGAGCTCCAGCAGCGGCGACGTCGGCCCAGTCTGCCGTCGTCGCTGGCTTTGTCCAATGCCAGCTCGGCCCTGCTACAGGCACGCATTCCAGGCACCACGCTCTACTATGTCTGATGGCCAAAGCACTAGTCTCCAAAACTCCAAAACTCCAGATCACCAGAAAACCAGATATCCAGTTATCCAGAACTCCAACACCGATTTGAAACCGCCAGCGAAACGTAGGCATTGCCCAAGCTTTACTCTATATGTTTACAAACTAGGCTAAAGAACACCCATCATTCCCTGGATACCTCTTGGTGACCCCGTTCCGCTCCCAAAAAAAAAATATATATATATTGGTTTGATGGCCGCTAAAAACTGTAAAGTGTAAAATGTGTAACCCTGGGCAAATCCAAAAACCAATAACTCAATGCGGAAGCCAGGAAAAAAACAACACAACACCAAACAACCCGAACACACGAATCACAACCACACAAAAAAAAAAAACACTGGGGCAAGCGGACACTCGAAACACACGAATATAATCGATTAATAGATGCCTAGACGATGCTTCCTGATGCACTGGCGCCGTTTATGCGGAGCTCTGGATGACGATCAAGGGGAATATTTGGAACTGAAGAGCACAGAATACGAGCGAAGGATGGAAGAGATATTACCAATGAAGGACTAAGCTTGCGTTCCTGAATTCCACCAAAAAACAAACCACAACCTTATGTATAAGATGATCTATGGTCCATAGTTTCCCTTTCAAATTTCTTAAACATGCTATTATATTGCTATTTCGCCCTTATCAACTTGATATTATCGAATCGATATTGCCGAAATATCGAAAATATCGATAATTTTCAAGCTCTAGTTTCAAATTGTAGGTTACCTTTTTTTTTTTGCCTAATTCGGGTATATAAAAGCTATAAAAATTATTTTGAGAGTCAAAGGGGCGTGGGAAAATCTTAAATAAACTCCAAATTAAGCCTCCGCTTGCAGAACGACTAATTCCGAACAATGTGACGGTGTAAACCGAGCCAAAACCGAAATGTAGAACCTTAGTTAGTGACTATTTTCATTCGATTGAATTGAATTACCTGCGTTTGTATCTTTGTGTGTTTTCCAGTCGGCGTTAGTTATGTGTTATGTGCCTTATGTATGTTTGCTTTGCTTTGTTCAGTTCGGTATGCAGTTGTGGGGCATGTATTGAATTGCAATTTGCGATTCGAAATTGTAGCTAGTTACGCTAACCCACCTCCTCACCCCCTCTCCCCACTATTTCCCCAATGGTTTTCATTTCAACAGCCTTTTGTTCAACTCACCGCTGTCGCTTTGTTTTGTTTGCATTTGCGTTTACTTCCATTCCATTCTATTTTCTATTCTATTTTTTGTTCATACTAATTTCTTTTTGCAGATATTATTTAAATGTAACAGATTACATAAGCAAAGCGTTGAAATAATATCTATTGTATACCAAAACCAAAAATATCTATGATAACAAGCAAAGGCAAATAAACCGAACCGAAACAGAATAACCGATTAACTGCAGCCGCTGAACCCAATGAACCGCAATATTGCGAATAACCATCAAGAAAACTTAACTGAAAAACTGATTATAAAGCACCAAAGCCAAAAAATAACCCAATAACCGATTAAAGGGCGAACACTGCAAAACAGCCACACCTCTAACCCAGTGCACTTGCTCTGTCTGCTCCGCTGGGCAATCAAAACTAATCGCCAATTCATATTACTCTTAAGGTAACTAACCCAGTTTAGAACACACACATCACCCAGACACTTGGCACATCCCAGTCATCATCCAATCATTTCCATCTCCATTTCCATCTACGGCTCAAATTTCGTTTTCATTTGCTTGACAAGATCCAGATCCACCATCACCTCACCTCACCTTGATATATATTTTATCCCCATATGGTGCCACCTGTTTTTATACTACTTTACTAACCCCCAATCCCAAGGACGAGGATTGAAACCCGCTTTAAACCACAACCAAATCACCACTAATCTTGATTTTCGAATGCTTGCAGGCTCCAAGGCTCTGGGCTTCTACACGCCCATGAAGGGCGTCTCGCCGATGGACAACCTCTTCCAGCTGGGCGTCACCCGGTACGCTTTGCCCGAGAGCAGCAGCAGTGGGAGCAGCAACGGCAGCCACAGTCCGAGCAGCAACGGGAGCAGTCCGGCCGGAGCTACCGCCGCCGCCGGCGGCCAGCTGATGTTCAACGGGAACGGCAGCATCGTGGGCTTCGGCGAGGGACTGATCAAGGGGCAGCAGCAGGAAGACTCAACGGCGGAAGCAGCGGCGACGGGAGCAGGTGGCTCCACCTCGGCCGGGGACGAGGATGACTATGACCATCTGACGGCGACGCCGGGCGCGGGAGTTGTGTACAGCGAGGGTACACAGAAGACGGATCTGCTGTATTAAAAACCGGAGCAGGGAGCTCTTTTCTACCGGTTTCCAAGCCCCAAAACCCAAAACCCGCCCCAAAACCCAAAACCATTCCCCTAAATTGAAAAGCGTGCGCTTAGGTGAAATATCAATTTCGGTTAGACACAAAAAAAAAACGTAGAAAACAACGTAAACCAAGTATGGCAAGAAATCCATAAAGATACGTATATAAATAGATATTATTTGTAAGTTTGTAGGCCTAGAGATCCGATGTGTATGTGTACAACAGCAAGCGTGTGTGTCTGTCTTCTTTATATATATATATATATAAATATATGTGTTTTTTTTTCGATAAATTAATAATTATATTATTGTAATGTATCCACGGCACTGAATGAACAACTTTGCTGCTTCTATTGTATTTGTATTGTGTATTCCATTTACGGCATTTTGATAGTAAATATACAACAACAACAAATCAACGTATTTCCGACTGCTGCATCCCGAAGGTAACTTAAATCTTAATCTACGAAGCGAGCGGTTAAGTCCGCCGGAGTATTAACTTAATGGATCTTGAAATGGTCCCCTCTTGTGAACCATTCTCCCCTTACGCGAACCTTCTTCCGCCCCGAAAAAAAAGAAACAAAAATTATACAAATTTTAAGTCCTCCCCAACCGGAAGAATGCAAAAGAAAATGTAACATTTGCCTCATAATTATTATATACATTAGCGCTTATTAAATATTTTTTACAATTGTATTCCGTAAATAAATATAATATACATCAACATCGAATCGGTTGTTTTGAGTAAAGGGATCAGATAAATGGAATTAAATCGATTTTCGCCTATTTGGTGGGGCTTTTTTGGGACTTCCATAATATATAGTAGAAACAAGAGAGAACGCTTTAGCTGAGAACTTCGACTATCAGATAGCCGCTGTTCAAGACGCGGCTTTTTAATTTGGGACCATTTTTGTCCAAGTTACAGAAAAATATCCATCATAAAAAATCAAATTTTTACCAAAAATCCAGATATTGATTTTTCACCCCAAAAAAACAGTATTTTCGCCAGAACAATGGAAATCCAAATATGAAATGCCATACCTCGTCGAACTCGTAATAAAATTTCCAGTCGATCTGCATTTAAACTTGGAAATTTTTAATTTTTTCCATTTTTTTGCAAAAAATCATGATGGTACCCCTTGTCTAAAAAGTAAAAATTGGGTCAAAAATGTATTTTTTTTAAATCAAACGAAAAGTGCACTGATATTAATTTTAAGGTTGTTAGCTGCTCAAAACAGTAGGCCTTTTTGATTTGAGACCATTTTTGTCCAAGTTACAGCAAAAAATCTATAATAAAAAAATCACATTTTTACCAAAAAACAATAGTCTAATTTTTCACACCAAAAAAAAAAATTTTTTGTAAAAATGCTTATTTTTACTAAAAATCTACGCGATAGAAAAACATTTTTCGAATTTAAAAATAAAGCTTGAAAGATCAATTCAAAAAGGGGGAAACCCAAGAAATAGGTGTGTGTCTCCGATATGGTAGATGTACTCGCTATATTCTATCGAGCACCAGCCCTGGTTGGGAGCATGTCTTTGCTAAGTTATCCATCCCTGGATACCATCCCTAGTAAACCAAAGTTATCGATATCGCCAAATCACCCGAAACATCGATAGTATCGCCCAAACATCGACCTCAGTCCAGCTCTGATTTGTGATTGTGTAAAAATACGGGGTTTTATTGTTGCATTTGCAATTTAATCCGATAAATATCAGGCGTGGAGTTATGCGCGAGAAGTCGTTGCCAGCGACCAGAGAGCCGAGCGGCCACACGTGTATGTGTTTCACTGGCGGTGCGGGCGCCAACTCCGCCAGAAAGCGTACTACTTTTAACCTTAGTTGACATTGAAATGTACCCGCTTAGTTGGATGTCCACGATGGTGCGTGTGTGTGTGCCTGTGTGTACGCTGTGCGGCGTCTGTGTGCGCGAGTGTGTGTGTGATTGCAAAGGAGGATGGGAAAACGAGAGCAAAGCAAAAACAAAAACAAAAAGACCTGCTGCACACAGTCTGTTTGTATGTGCGGGTGTGTGTGTACGAGTGTGTGTCCGTATGTCAAAGCAAAACAACTGCAAGAAATCAGCAGCAGCAACAACAACAAGGAGAATATCAGTGATAAGAGTGCAAAAACAACAACAAAAGTGCACCCCTTTGAAATTCAAACAAAAACAAACTGTTGTAGTTGTGTAATCATTCACAACCCCCCACACACGTACACACACGCACCCGCCAAAGCCAAACATATATTAGTAAATTTTAATTCTATTATTTTTGATTTAATTTTTGCCTGTTATTCAAATTCAAATCGATCTCTGTTTGTAGTTGGCATTCGTTATTAATTAAATCAGCCGCCAACAGCTGAGCGCGGGAGCGAGAGCGAGAGAGGCAGAGAGTTAACCGATACAGGCCACTTCCACTTCCAACCGAATCGGAGCAGCGCCGTCGGCAGAGGCAGCGCAGTCAGCAGAGGCTTGGTAATTAAAAGGAAAGACCGAAAGACCCAAAGCGAAAAGAAAAGAAGAGAAGAGAAAGGAAAAGAACGAAAGTCGCAAAGTCGGAAAGTCGCAGTCTCAGTCGCTGAGACAGAAACAGAGATTCCACTCGTGTCGCACGTCCGTTCGTTCCCACATTGTCGTTATAAAAATAGCAACGCCTTAAACGATCGCATCAACCTCATCAGCAGAAGACCACTAAAACCGCCTCTGTATCCCCATCCCCATCCCCCTACCATCCCCATCTTCATCAGCGATCACCGTCATATGATAATCCTTTACTAATCCCAGCCTTCTCACACAACAGATTCCCCTGCCGATTCGGCAGCCGGCAAGATTTCACTGGATCTAATGGCCAAGGACGAGGAGGATGACCTGCTGCCCGACAAGGATGCGGCCAAGGGCTTCTATGCCAAGTACGAGCCCAAGGAGATTCTGGGCAGGTGAGGATCCCTAGATACAAGTCATTACTGACCTTAAATTTAGATCCTTAAGTTTTTAGATCAAAAGTTACAAAGACGATCTTAAGTTCTAAGAATTAAATAAAATATTTACATTTTTGGTTTATTTATTAACTGAAATATTTAATTTATTTTAAAAGACCTAATCTTGCAAGAATCCTTTATCCCAAGGAGATTCTGGGCAGGTGAGGATCTCTAGATATAAGTCATTCCTGACCAAGGAAACTCCTTAAGTGTTTAGATCAAAAGTTACAAAAACGATCTCAAGTTATAAGAATAAAAAAAAATATTAAAATTCTTTTTAAAGACCTAATCTTCAAAGTATCTTTTATTAAAGCTTAAATAATATTATTATAATAGAAATTATAATCGTTAGGATCGGTAGATGTAAGTCATTTCTGACAGGAGCATGTTCTTAAGTATTTAGATCAAAATTTACAAAAACTATCTTAAGTTCAAATAATTAAAAAAAAATTAGTTATTCATCAACTGAAATATTTAAATTCTTTTTAAAGACCTAATGTTGAAAAAATCCTTCATGCTAGTTATAATAATATTGCCACAATTTAAATTATATAAAAAAAAATCAAAATAGATGATCTTAACTTCTAAGAATTAACAAAATATTGGTTTATTTATTAACTGAAAAATTTAATTTATTTTAAAAGACCCAATCTTTCAAGAATCCTTTATCCAAGTTGAAATAATATAAATTATATTAAAAAAAAACCAAAATAGATCTTGATTATATTCCAAAAAAACACACAATACAAGTGGAAATCCTCCGAAACCACTAGAATATCGACATTTTCTGCCTTGCCAAGCCCTTACTGCCAAGTCTGCAGTAATGCCAACTTTATTTACGGCTCTGCAGTTCGGCTAAATGGTGCCAAGTGAGTCAACCTTCTGCAGCTCTTCGCATGGAGCAATGGCATGGGTTTTTTCTGCTCAAGCGGCGCCCGTCTGCCGCCTACGGGAATAAGAATTTGCTTAGCAAATACCAGAGACTAAGCGAAAACAAGGGCTAGTTACATATTACAATTGGGGCGATTAGAGATTAGATAAATTCCCGATCATGCCAATGTCAAGTGCAGTGCAAGCGGTTATCTCAAGCCAATGTTTGTCTTGCAGGGGCATCAGTTCGACCGTGAGGCGGTGCATCGAGAAGGAGACGGGCAAGGAGTTCGCCGCCAAGATCATCGACCTGGGCGCCACCACAGAGGCGGGCGAGACGAATCCATATCACATGCTGGAGGCGACCAGACAAGAAATCTCAATACTGCGCCAGGTCATGGGGCATCCGTACATAAGTTAGTCTTGCTAGAGGAGCTACAGTGATAACCATATTAATTTTGTTCAAATCCACAGTTGATCTGCAGGATGTGTTCGAGTCAGATGCATTTGTTTTCCTCGTATTCGAGCTGTGTCCCAAGGGCGAGCTCTTCGACTATCTGACCTCCGTGGTGACGCTCTCCGAGAAGAAGACGCGCACCATTATGCGGCAGATCTTCGAGGGCGTCGAGTACATACACGCCAAGAACATTGTCCATCGCGACCTCAAGCCCGAGAACATCTTGCTCGACGAGAACCACAACGTGAAGATCACGGACTTTGGCTTCGCCAGGCAGCTGCAGGAGGGCGAGAAACTTACAGGTAACTGCTGATGCGCGAATTCTTAAGTAATCAGTTCTTATAGTTCGTATTCTTTCCCTCAACAGATCTGTGCGGAACGCCGGGTTACTTGGCGCCGGAAACGCTCAAGTGCAACATGTTCGAAGGATCCCCCGGCTATTCGCAGGAAGTGGACATGTAAGTATTAATTCTAAAAAAAAATATTACCCAATCGATTAATCAGAATAATTCTGCGTTAAAAAGCTAGCTTCATATTTGTACTGCTTGCAGTAAACATAAAAGAAAATCCCATCGAAATTAGACCCATTTTATTCTTTATAGGCGAATTTTGCTGATAGTTGTTTATGCATTACTTTTGATAGTGTTCTTCGTAAGCGATTTGTTATGATCTTGAAGCGTGCATTTTGATGAATGAGTCACAATAATCTGAAACCCGATCAGTTCCGATACCGTTGTCTATATTTCTTTGGTTCAGCAAAATGTATGGCCTGTTGTTTATTAACCCGCCGAGCGTTTCCCACTGGTATCTGCGTTACCTGGGTTCAGCACTTATTATTTATAATTCCCCTCTTAAAGTTGACACCTTTTTTAACGAAAGTATTTTCTTTTTTTGCAGATGGGCCTGTGGCGTGATTATGTTCACGCTGCTCGTCGGCTGTCCACCCTTCTGGCACCGCAAACAGATGGTCATGCTGCGGAATATCATGGAGGGCAAGTACAGCTTCACCTCGCCCGAGTGGGCTGATATTTCAGGTTGGTATAGATAACCCTACAATATATATGTATGCTGATTTCCCGCTGATTAATTGCAGAGGATCCCAAGGATCTGATACGCAAATGTCTAGTCGTTGATCCTGCGCAACGTATCACCGTCAAGGAAGTATTAAGACATCCATTCTTCAACCAAATGGTAAGTGCCGGAATAGCTGGCAGCCGCCGAGCCCCAACCACCACCACCACCTGTACAAGTGAAAGATCAGTCCAATTAGTCCTTAGTCCTGTTTGGCCGCCAAGAATGAGGTCCACCTTCGAGTCGCAGTCTTTAGATCTCGGGTTTCCGTCCTTGTACATATGCATTAAATACAGCAAATAGATCTCTAGGGGTCCCCTAGGAGGGTATCTTCTACACAACCAACCCACCTAACCAACCTGGCCCTGCAAATGTCTCTAAACACCAAGTACACCCTTAAACAACACACACTCTGATGGAAAGAACACACCACCTGTGACTCACAACCCACTCACTACAGCCTATTAACTGCTTCTTCTTACTGTTACCTCCTAGAATTACGATTATGATTTATGATTTCGATTTGGTTGGGGTAGCGAACCCCTGCCCCCGTAGTTTAGTCCAATTGTCAGATCTATGGCCTGACAGGGTCCCAATTACAATCCCAATTAGCAATCAATCCCCCTTATAAGCAGCACTCCTCGTTCTGTTAATTTGTATTTTTATTTTTACGATTACTATTTATTATACCAAACATTTTCTCTCTTCTTTTCCTTACATATAAACTATATATCAAAAATCGAATACAATTAATTTTAAACGAACCAAAACGAACGATAACGATCACGATCACACACACTATCGATAGCTGTTCGAGCAAAACATTGATGGCCTCAAGCGCAGCCTGTCGACCAAGTCCCGACGAATGAGTCGCATCACTGAGATCGCACTGGTAACGAACTGTTCCCGGACTAACCCAACTAGCCCTCCCTTTTCTGTCTCTCTGTGCTGTGTGTCTCCGTCTCCGTTAATCGGAGCCGCTGTAATCGCTGTAATAACGATGATCTGATCCCGATAATAACGATAGTCCCGATAACCAAACAATCGGGGCCGGCAGACCCAACTCATGACCATATGCAACCCTGCCGGCCCGCAATTCGTGTCTGTGTTCCGTTGCATTCTGTTCTGTTTCGTTCTGTGCCGATCTAATATAACCCATAGTGCATTTGCATATACTATATACTATATAAATATATATTTATAAACCGTTCAGGTCATGTGCCAGCATAATAACTTTAAACCGGCAAAAACTTGATCTGCTTCGTTTTTTTTCCTTGCATCTGATTTGTTTTGCTTGTCGATTGATCGATGCCCCACGATGATAACCAAATCCCCCTCTAATCCCATTCCGTTGTACTCGATGTTGTTGTCGATCTTGTGCTCCCTGTGTGTTTTCTGTACAAATCAACCGATTGCCTCGATAACTAAAAACCGATAACACAAGTCTGCAGCCTCCGCGCTCGCCATTTGAATCATACTCTGTTTTAGTTAATAACTGTGTCTGCATGCCAAAAAATCCAGCAGGGTTCCCTACTTTTCCCAGACCCCCCAAACCCCTCCGAAAAAAGCCCCCCAGTTGCCAATTTTGAGTCACTGCATGTGTACATACGTGCATTAACCATTAGCCAGCGAGAAGAAGGAGAAAAAGGCAGTGAGATATGAGGATGGGGACACCCATACCCTGAAAACTATATATATATTTTATATTATGATATATGATAGCGATTTATCCATTTAAAAAATATTTGAAATATTAATTTTATAAAAATTCATGGTATGGGTGTTCTTGAAATACGAAACCCAATCAAGGTGCATATAATTATGAAGTGTGCAGGAATTAGACCATTAGGAAGTACTATTTAAGACAGTTTATGTGTGTAGAACGTAAGTTTAGACCACTTTAGGTTATCTATCTATCTGTATTTATCCAAGTCACCCCCTTTTGATTTATCCCCTCAAGACTGATAACAAAATTTTAATTTCTTCTGCTGCTGCCACTCTGCCACCCTGCCATTCTGCCAACCAATCATCCCAATCCTCCGCCCTCGTTTTTTGTTTGTCAATCTCGCGGGGATCAGGTGCTAATGGGTGACCGCCGGCATCCGGCCCATCCGCCCACCTCGGCCGCCCACTCGAGCAGCAGGTTCCTCCTGGGGCCCGAAACCTCCTCGTCGTACCGCTTTGGCGCCGGCTACCTGTACTGTGCGCCGCAGAGCTCCTACTCGTCGAACCGAATGCGCGACGGGCCGCTGGACGATGCGGCTGCCTCCTGCCTAGCCATGTCATCATCCACCTCCTCCGCCGCCGCCGCCCTGGCATCAGCATCCTCCCACAAAACGCTCACGGCGACGGTCTACTATCAGCAGCAGCCGCAGAATCAGAATCAGCAGCAGTTGCAACAGCAGCAGTTGCAGTTGCAGCAGCAGCAATCGCAGTATCAGCAGCAACAGACGACGCAACTGCAGTTGCCAGGTGGCGATGGCAAGCAATCGGTGTACACACCTCCTCCAGTGCAGGCAGGTTTTCCTTTGATTTTCTTTGCTTTCCTCCTCCCCATCAAAAAAGGGCCAACGGAAGATGGCAGGAAACGCTGGGGAAACGAAAATTGTATTTCCTTTTGGGATATTCTAAAAATCATTTTATTCGAATATTAAAATAATAATTTCTCAACTTAAATGTTATTTAAAAATATTAATTTTTATTATATTAGAAGCTATCTCAGTTTTGATTTCAATTTTCTTACATTTAACTTAATTAAAAACCCAAAATTAGTATATCACTTTTCGTTTTCTAGCGTTTTTTTGCATTTACCTTGGTTATATTATTTATTTAGATGCCACACGTATTTTTACCGATTAATTTCTAGTGCTTTTAGTTGATTCAATACAGACCACTCCATAGATCATATCATATCATCTCGTCAGAGAAGAGCTGCACCTCCATTGTATCATCCCTCTCACTCACACTCCTGCGCAGCACACCGTTCGGCTGTCTCTCTCTCTCTTGCTCTCTTTGAGATGTTCGAAACGATGGATCGTAATATTACGATATTACCAACCACCTCTACCACTTCCATCCGCCTACTATTTAATTTAAGATCTTGAAAAGTACCTATACCGCATTATACTATTACTATTATTGTATTCTCTTATAGCTGACACTTAGTCATATCGTAGCGAGTAAACACTATGTTTGTATTATATGCACCTTTCTCTAGTACATATCTCTCGGGTGAACTGGATGATATTTACAAGAACTGTATGTAGTTGACTTGCTTCTGCCGTATAAAAACCTCTGTGTAGCCATAGCCCCTAGTACTCGTACATATGTAGTCGTGATCGGTGGATCGTCTGTCACTAATCCTTTGCCACTCATTTGTGTCTGTGTCTTGTGGAGGAAGCCAGGATATTGAATTAGAATAAGCTGTGTATGTAACTTGCATGCTAGTTAACTAACCCATTCCATAGTCTACAATATATACACCCAAAAAGCCTATTAATATTAAATTACGAATGAAAAATATTGGATAGTACAATTATTATTTTCACGGCTAACTGGGATTTAATACTTTTTTTGGGTGCATATTATAAGCCCATTTATAATCGTATCTATTATAAAAATAACGCCAAAATCGATTCACTGACGGATTATTTTGTTTAATTTCTCCTCTGTTGATGATGTTATACACGTTTTGTTTGTGTGTCATGTTCTCTATATTGTCAGAGTCTCAACGCCCTTATAAGATGTGTGTCTATAAGTCGGTGTTGTGGAGACTCCCTTGTGAGTAAACCAAGTCAAACTGAGATAGATTTGCATACAGTATTATGTTATCCATACAACCACGCCCACTCCGCATACCTAAACCAGAACACTCGTCAATGTCCATCAATGTTTATCTGCATAATGCCACCACACATGTGTACTATATATATATATATCTAAATCAAATCGTGCCAGTCGAATGGTAGTCCGTAAATAGCGTCAATGTTGTGGCTCACTCGAAAAAGTTCCTCTGACTGTGATTACTCCGCTAACCCCCACCTAACCGTAACCCTAACCCCGACCTTTGGTTTCTGCTTTCGGTGATGGCTTTCCCGTCCTCTAAACACTCTAAACACCCCTCTAAACTGAAAGATGTGAACCAATGCTAACCGGCTAACGCTTACCCATCGAAACACTGACCCACGAGTTGAATTTCTCTTCACTAACCCGCAAATAACACCGAGAACTAACGCTGGGCACTCGAAACATATCGCTGTCCCCGATCCGATCCGTGTTGTTTTCTATTTTCTTTACTTTGTCCGAAGGAGTAACCGTTAACCATTAACTTTAAACTTAAAAACCACCAACTGCTAACCCGAACTTAACCCATGGCGTGTTGTGCACCTCTAACCAAACACGAAGCCAAAAAAAAGAAAAAAGAAGAAAACATTAAAAAAGATCGATCCGCAATCCGCGAGTCGATGGTCCCACAAGCCAGATGTCCTAATCTCAGATCCTCTTCCCCTCTCTCACGTTTAGCTGCGCAAACAGAGTCGCTTCAACGCGCGCAAAAAGTTCCAATTCGCCATACTAGTGATACGGGCCGTCATCCGGATACGGCGCCTGCGCTTCACCGCCGAGCCGCTGCACGTTGAGGAGGCCATCCGGGATCCGTATCGCGTCAAGGTTCTGCGCAAGGTGAGTTGGGATCTACTTCTTAAGGGATATCAGTAAAGTAATTTACATGTAAAATATGTTCAATCCCTACTTTTAGTTTAACCTGAGCCCGTTTTCTCATCCGCCAGTTAAATTTTTTTCTAGGATTTTAACTATGGCTTTAGCCCTTGAAAACCTATAGAAATTCAGAGTTTGAATTTGAATCTCTATAATTTAGCAATCAAATGTTTCTTTTTTTTAAATGTATTAACAAATATTTTACAAAATATCAATATATCATATTTTAAATAGAAAAACATTTTATTTCTTTAAGATGTTTTTAATTTTAGATGCGATGATATTTTGATATTGTCTTTTTTTTAAATATAGAAAATGTAAAAACCATAAAATTGAATATCAAATCTCACATAATAATGATATTGATTTATAAGATTTCTAAGAAAGACAGAAAGTAGATGGTGTTAAAATTGAACATTTGGGTTATACATTTTTTTCGATTTTTAATTTTTAAAGTACTTCTTTTTCCGGACATGAACTAACTGCCATTTCCCGCCAATTCCAGGTCATCGATGGCTGTGCCTTCCGTGTCTACGGGCACTGGGTCAAGAAGGGCGAGGGCCAGAACCGGGCCGCCCTCTTCGAGAATACTCCGCGCACCGAGCTGCACGCGCTCTACATCAACAATCTCAGCCGATAGAAGGCGGCCGGGCAACGGGGCGTGGTCGCTGAGTAGCTACACAAGCACACACAACAGAACACACAAGAAAAAAGAGCAAGGAAAGCCCAGGCCACCAACAAACAAACGAATTAGCAAAAGTTACTAAGAAAGTTACAGGAAACTGCAATTGCGATTGCGATTGCAAGAGGAGAGACACCAAAAAGGATTCAACCTCAACCGTTCGGCTCGTTGCGGTTCCAAGAACTAGAAAACCTCACCCGCAGGTGTACATAAATGCCTAGTTATATTACCTCTCTGCCTTTTTCGTCCTTGTGATTTTGTTTAAAGCCTTTTATTTGAATTTATATCTATATTTTTTTCCGTATACGCCAGCCATCTAGTGTAATAATCAGTTAGTGTAGAGTTGCGAGGGGCTAGCCAAACAACCCATGTACAGTGATGTATTACCCGGCGCCAGAACGAGCCGAATCGGTTTCAGACAGGTCCTTGCCTCGCTATCCGAACCCAACTACAGCCCCACAAGCAAGCGTACATGCATATGTATTTTCTGTTAATGATTCTATTAAATTATTTAATTGTATTGCTAAGCGTTTACATTTTAATTGTTATGTTGTAGTATACACAATAAATAAAACAAACAAAAAAAAAAAACAAAAAAAAAACGAGAAGATAACCTTCAGTTGGCGGCTGATAGCCTAGATGTGCTTGGAGCAGTCGTAGGATCGCTCGCAGCACTCGGGATAGTTGCGGTTGAGGTTGACGAAGTCGCGCTGCTTGCATCCCTTGGGCGGAGCGACGGCGGCGCAGGTCTGGATGGTCACGAAGCCGTCGTCATGGCACTCGGCCCTCGCGCAGGGCAGATTGGGCGCCTTGCCGCTCTGTCCCGGCGACATGATGGTGTTCGAGTCCAGCACACACTTGCCCGGATGAGCTGGAAACAGGAGCAAATGGGTCACATAAATATAAAGTCTTTAAGAATTATTGCAAAAATGATAACGCGTTTGATTTTATGACTTTATAAAGATTTTGCTTGAAATGTTCTTACTTTTGGAATACTTTAAAATCTATAAAACTGTTTTAAAAAAGTAAATTACTTTTGGAAACATATAATAATAAATTTAACTCTAAATAATATAAAAGATATAAAGTCTTTAAGAATTATTGCAAAAATATACATTTGATTTTATGACTTTATAAAGATTTTGCTTGAAATGTTCTTACTTTTGGAATTCATTGAAATCTATAAAACTGTTTTAAAAAAGTAAATTACTTTTGAAAACATATAATAAATAAATTCAAATTTAATTAATATAAAAGAAATGTTGGTAGATTTTGGGGGCTACAAAAAATCGTAAATCTTTATGTTTGATAAATGGTAATGATCTTGTGTTAAAAAATTACAACAAAAATAAAGAATACATTTGATTTGATGACTTTATAAAAAAATCTTGCTTGAAATGCTCTTACTTTTGGAATACTTTAAAATCCATAAAACAGTTTAAATAAATGTAAATTACTTTTGGAAAAATATAAATAATAAATTTATCTTTAAAAAAAATAAGAAAAATGTTGGTAACTTATGGGCGATATTAATACAAAATATAATTTGATGACTTTATAAAAAATCTTGCTTGAAATGCTCTTACTTTTGGAATACTTAAAAATCCATAAAACAGTTTAAATAAATGTAAATTACTTTTGGAAAAATATAAATAATAAATTTATCTTTAAAAAAAATAAGAAAAATGTTGGTAACTTATGGGCGATATTAATACAAAATATAATTTGATGACTTTATAAAGAATCTTGCTTGAAATCCTCCTACTTTTGGAATACTTTAAAACCATGAATAACATTTTAATAAATGTAAATTACTTTTGGAAAAATGTAAATAATGTAAAAAAAATGTTTGCAACTTTTGAGGGCTATAAAAAATCTTAAATGTGGTCCTATAATAATCCTGGATCCTGGATTAACTTACTGGGATTGGCCAGCTTGACTCGGGCAATGGCCGCCTGGGATCCTTGGCCGCCCAGGATGACGGCGAGGCAGACGAAGAGGGCGGCGGCGACAGCGGCGAAGTGCGACATTCTGTTGAATGGATGTTTTTTGGAGGTGATCTCGGAAAACTCGGGAGTTCGATGCTATCAACTGGGATGCTGGCTGGCAAGTGCTGTTGTCTGAGCCCCGGTCGCAATGTTTTATACCGATTGGTTATCAGAAGCCAAAGCCCCGGAATGAGGCGGCTTATCCGCTTAATTCGGCCTGCCAACAACAGCGACTTGACCTTGTCCAACGATCGCGACGAGCTCCTTTTCCGATTCCCATTCCCAATCCCCCTGGCTGCTTGACCACTTTTTTTTTAGTATTTATTATTTATTTTTTCACTTCCCTGCGGTTCATTGAGTACTTAATTACAATTGCCCACGCACACAGACGCCGTTAATTTATTTATGCCGCGGCACACACACGCGCGTATTTATTTATTATTGTTTTTTACTCTTATTTTTTATTGTCGTTGGGGAAGCTTATCACGTTTTTAGGCGCCCGTTTCGATCTGTTTTTTTGGGAATTTTCTTGTTTTGGTGTTTTGTGGAATTCCTGCGGTTAGCGCGGGGTTAGGGCGGGGTTAGGGCGGGGTTAGGGCGGGGTAAGGCGGCCTGACTCATCCAGATCCAATTTGCACTTTCACCGGCGCCGCAGGGTTCTTGAACCATCGTAAAAAACTGGTACACAGGTATTCAGAATTCATAAATTTAACTCAAAACTGACGAATGTCCGGCCATAACTAGCCCATCCTAAAAGGTCGTCGGCCCTAAAAACCCGTTTAAAATTATAGTTAATAATAAACAACAAGTGTTATCTTTTTAAAACAATACTATTTATTTATTTTACTATTGACGCTTGAATTTAATCAGATTTAGTTTGTTTTCTTGGTTTTTCTTTTCAACTATTTTACAGGTGATAGACTATATTGCGCTTAGTGAACCTACATGCACTCCTATATATAATTTATTTATATATATATATATTTATGTATATCCTTGTCAACATAATTTCTTCGGCTTTAGACTTACAACTTAATAAAAGACTTGTACAAATGCAGAATAAGAATAAGAATCAGATCAGAAAGTGTCAAATATAAAAGAGAAGGAGCGAGATTTCATTTGAGATTCTGGACATTCGATAGATCCAGGCAGGTTCCAGGCGGAATGCGGCCGAAATGCTTCACAGATCAATCAACTAAATGGATTAAACACCCGGATAGAGGGGCAGCTTGGCGGTGTCCACCTTCTCCTCCACCTTGAACGAGGGGAAGAGGCCGCCCTGGTTGGTGCGCGTGTTCTTGCCCTTCGAGTTGCCGTCCCAGTGGTTGCCGGCCACCGAGACGAGATCGCCGACCCGCAGCTGCAGATCCTCGTGCGTGCGCGGCTTGTGGGCGATGACGACGCGCCGATTGTGGGCATTCTGGCCGCCGTAGTAGTAGATGTCGTCCAGCGACTTGAACCGATGCGCCGCATCCGGATACATCGTCTGCATGATCTCGTACGCCACGCGGCACACCTGCGACGAGAAGGTGCACACGAGGTGATCGGACATGGACAGCAGATGGATGTCCAGTATGATTCCGTTGAGCGCCGTGTCCGTGTAACGCGTAGATACGGAGGCCATGCGCGCCACCTCGGGATCGCCGATGATCTGGTACTGCGGGTACTTCCTACGCGCCTCCTCAATCACCTGGGCGTCGTCGGAGGCCAGGAATATGCGACGCGCTACTGTGCTCCCATTAACCTCCAGCGTGCGGTAGTAGTCCTCCACATGGGTCATGTACTCCTCCACGCTGTGGCAGGCCGCCTCCGTGCCCACCTTGTCCGTGCGACGCACATGGACGCTGTAAGCCAAGGGGAATAGATTATTTCGTATTTCATTCAAAACCAGGGTTCGTAAACATCACTCATTTTAAATATCCCTCAAAAACAAACATCACGATACAAACAAATTGTCATCTTTGCTCATTCAAATACATATCGCTCACAGATCGAAAAATACTCATCATGAGTGAGGAAAATAAAATGATGAAAAAGTGAGGAAAAAAATATGATCATTGACAATAAATAAACAATTTACAATGGGCAGAAATAAAGTATTTGATATACAGTCGGTGGAAGACTTAGCAGAAAAGATCTAACCTGCGTTTAAAAACATATAAATTGCTTATTAAAGCCTAAAACTTTTATAAAACTTGGTGTTAGAAGCCTTTTTTTGCTTTTTTTTTATTCATCAGCCCTGCTTGGTTACTCCTCATTTTATTGTGACAAATATCACCGCCCTATGTTGATATTATTATATTAAAACAAAATGACATATTGTGAGGGATATTTTACGAACCCTGTTCAAAACTAATCTATGCAAAGCAGGGACCGTAAATAATTATTATTTGAGATTTTTGTTTTAAAAAGACTACTGTGATATTTTGTTTTAAACGTCAAAAATAACGTTCTTTTTACTCTTGTCCACAAAGTATATGCATTTCAACAAATATGGAAAGCAAATTAACTGTTATTTGTTCATGTCTATAAAGTGCATAAAAGCCAATTATTATTGATTAAAATATGTAAAAACCTCAGTAGGCCTTTTAAAATAAAAAAATCTCAAATAATGATTATTTACGGTCCCTGATGCAAAATAGACCCAAACTCACCCGACAATGGGACGCTCCCAGCCGAGGTTTCGCATGCCGGCGGTGAGGAAGTCCCGCGTCGTCGTCTGCGGGCGCAGCAGATACTTGAGGAACTGGCCCACCCACCAGACAATCGGGTCGCCGTGCAGGCGCTTCAGGCGCGGCGCCAGATCCTCGGGGACGGCGAGCGGCAGGTACGGCGGTCGCGGCATCAGCGAGTCGATGATGGGCAGCACCAGCACCTGGGTGTTCGGCTTGCCCGGCCAGTTGTACGTGTTGGCGGTGCCCGCATCGTGGCAGCTATTGGAAACCGGCTGGAAGACCTCCTCCCAGCCGCCCTTGTGGTAGCGCCAGCCGCGCGACTTCAGGATGAGCGTGCGCTCGGTGGCGTAGGCCACAATGAAGCAGTAGACGACATGGTGCAGCTGGCAGCCGTAGCCGCAGCCCTTGTTGAGCTTGCAGACCAGCTTGCGAGCGTTCTGGCAGTCGCTGGGATTCTGCAGATGGTGCAGGCGCCTTTGCACCAGGTCGCTTAGCTCGCGTGCCTCCTTGTGGCGCCAGGATTCATAGCCATCCGACTGACGCAGTCTCTCCATGTCGCTCAGCAGCGAGCGCTTGTGCTCGGCGCCCTGCAGCAGCACCTGGTTGATGGACTCCTCGAGATCGGCATTGGGATGACCGCCACTGGCCGCCGCCTTGCGCACCTTGCCCAGCTCGCTGCTGAAGAAGTTCCAGATCTCGGCAATGTTCGTCTGGATGCGCCGGCGCGTAAACTCGTACTCCAGACTGGGCTCGAACTCAGCGCCGTGATCCTGGATCTCCAGGAGATCGTTGGGCGGCCCATTCGCCTCGGCCACATTGTTCCAGCCGCGCAGATCGGCGGGCGCCGACTCGAACATGGTTTCTGGTTCCGGGCCGGCGACCTCGGCGGGCAGCTTCGGGTTCAGAGCGTCGTTCTCCAGCCGCTGCACCAGCTTCAGGGCGCTCTGCTTGTCCAGCTGGTCGCTGTGGGGAAAAACCAGAGAGACGGGGGCATGAGTGAGGCGGCTTATCGCTTGTAATTCCGCCGACGTGACATGCATAATTAGCCACGCCGCTGAAAAATCAGCAATGCGAGGGCGAGCACAATGGAATGGCTGGCAATTCAGCATGAGAACATGGCCACTACACGAATTTAGGGGCAGCTCCAGCTGAATTAAGGGATAATCAATGGTTAAGTCTTTAAAATGTATAATAACACAGGTGTTTAAGCCTTCCTTTTGTCAAGTCAAGACTATTGTTAGCCCTCAAGTGCAATGAACTCGCTTCCTGGTGCTCCCACCTACCTCATCAGCTCGTCGATGAGCTGCTTGAGCTCCTCGTTGCGCTGGCGCGTGTGCTCCAGCATCTGGAGCGCCTGCGAGATCCTCCGGGCATTCAGCTCGCTCTCACCGGCGGCCTGCTGGCCCTGCGTGCTGGTCAGCTTGACCACGAACACGTAGACCAGGCCCACCCAGGCCAGGACGAAGATGATGAGGGCGCGGGCCCACGAGTTGGCCGAGGCCCCGAAGAGCTGGCGCACCAGCAGCATGGTGGGTTCTCCTTTACAGGATTCTGGAAGGGGAATCTCAGTCGATCTCTGGCGGGGATCTCGAGGAACGGAGAGGGGGGAGAACTCGCTGTAGCTCCACTAGTCCACCAATTAACTCCGGTCTGGCCAACGACCCAGGCGATCCAGTGACATGGTCGGCGGCTTAAGGATGCGCTTCGATTTCTATATAGTATATGGTATATGGTATATAGTATATATGCGGGCGCTTCGAAAACTCTACGCCGAAGGGAAAACTCTGGCCGGAGGTTGAGGTGGAGGGATAGTGCCGATCGGGCTGGCCAGGTAGTCGTGGCACAGTCAAATTAGGTGCGAAATTATTCTATATGTTATTATTATACATGTGTATATGTATGTTTCTATTATGTTCCCGATGGCGAGTAATCGATACAAATATCGGGAAATCGATAGCCGGTAGCGAAATGTTCTGATTGAACGGTCTCACTGCCGCGGGTGACACGGCTAAGATTTAGCACGTACAGCAACCTATCACCATATAATTACTAATTGCCATCTTTTGACAGCAACGTGAATTCAAATTCAAAACAGTAGCCAAAAATACGTTACCTTTCTTAGAAAATAAATGATCAAGGGGGTCCTTCTAGCGACAATAACGATTTGGAACTCCGTTTCAACATCCTACTAAAAGGTCTTTCGGCGATGGTTTCAGTTTTATGAAGTGTTCTCTTAATATTTCACATTTTATTTGGACTTATGCTACTAATAATAAAAATGATTATAATTTTGAGATGTGTTCCTCTTTTTTATAGTCTCGTCCGATCTGCGGGTTGTGTGGGTCGTGGATGTCGGGGAACCCCCGCTGAACGGCGACCCAAACCGCCCGGAGATCGGGAATTAAGATGCAGTTCTCTTGTGCTCGCTTCCGTTTCTTCCGTGGAAATCAAATGAAAAGTGATTATCGTATAAATTATAAAAAATTCAGTATATGTAAAGTTAAAAAAAAAGTTGTACACATAAAATATAAATTATATTATTATAATTACGACCACAAAAATTTCTTAGTGTTGAAATGAGTTTTGTTTTGTTTCATCCGAGAGTGTGTGTGTGAGTGTGTGTGTGTGCGGCGTGTGTTCAGTGAGAGAGAGAGAGAGCGCGAGTTGCTGCAGGGTCGATGGTCGAGGGGGTGGTGGATGTGGTGGTGGGAGCTTGGTTTATGCGACAAGTTTTGATTTATTATTAAATTTAAATACTTATGTATATAAATTAATTTTCTGTTTTATTATAATTATTGTTTTTTCCATCTTAATCATTTTGTTTTGTTTTGTTTCTTTTTTTTCGTTTTTGTTTTCATTTTTTTCGTTTTTGTTTTTGTATGTAGTGGGCAACTGCGGCATTTGTAAATTTCTTTATATTTAAATGTTCCTTTTGACTGTGTAAAAATATCGATTTTCATCTGATCTTGTTTTATAGTTACTATTCATGTATGCATTTGCTTTTCGTTTCAATTATAATATTACGTTAACGCTGCATTCTGAACTCTCTGTTGCTGCTTGTTCTTCGGATTCTTGATCGGATTCTTCAGATTCATCTGATTCTTCATCTTGGCGCGCTTCCTATGCTATTGAAATGTTGTTTGTGGGTCTGCTTTCTGCTTTCTGGATCGGGATCCTACATTCTTATGTCGGTTTGTGTGGTGTGTGGTGTTTTGTGTGTCGTGTGGTGTTGTGTGTATGAGAGTGGAGTGTGTGTGTTGGGTGTTTGCTTCTCGTTATATGTTGTATATATATATATATAATATATTATATATGTATGTATAATTAGTTGCTTAATAGTAGAATTTCTTGAATGTTGTTGTGGTAAAGTGTAGGTAATGTTGCTCTATGTCTCTATGTCGACTCAACTGCACTACATACATATGTCTTTCCACCAGATACGCGGCGAGCCGAACCGATCCCAGTTTCTGCATCCGCATCCGCATCCGTATCCGCATTTCGTATCCTCACCGCCTCCGCCTCATTCGCTGCGCAGTTTCTTCAGCTCCGGCGACTTCTCCCCCACGCCCACGCCCACTCCGCCGGCATTATTCAGCTCCATCTCGCAGTGCAGGGCCGTGCGCTTCTGTCCAATGGCCGGCGCCGAATCTGCGACTGCGACCGCTACCGGCGCCACCGGCGAAACTGCATCGGTTGCCTTGCTCGCCGCCAGCTGCTGCAGTTTGCTGTCCCTCACAATGCCGTTGCTGCTGTTGCTCTCGTCAGCCTCCAGCTCTGCCTCGTTCTCGTTCTCATCCTCCTCGTCCAGCTCGTCCTCCTCATCGTCCTCCTCCTCGTCGCCCAGGACGCCGTTGCCGTTTCCATTTCCATTGGCGGCTGCTCCTGATCCTCCAGTCGTTTTGCTGGCTGGCTGTGCTTGTGGTGCTGCTGGGGCCGCTGGGGCCGCCTCCTCGGCTGCCGAGGTAGCCACCTGGCCGTTGTTGGTGATCGGGTTGGTAGTTGCTTTGAGCGGCTGGCTCGGCGTCAGAATGGTCAGGTTGTTGGTCTTGGGCGGCGCCTCCTGATTGCTCTCCGAGTCCGAGGCGAGCGGTGTGCCGGCCAAACCGATGCCAATGCCGATGCCAATGCCAATGCCCAGAGCTATGGGCTCGCCGTCCTCCGTGGACGTGGTGGCCGTTGTCTGTGTGGTGCCGTCGTTGTCGTCGATGATCGGCTCCTGGGAGGTGGAATCGTTCGACACAAAGTTGGAGTCGCCGTCCTGCAGGGCGGCGCCCACGGCAGCTGCGCTACTGTTACTGTTCTTGGCCTCGCCCGACTGCAGAGGCGTCAGGGCGGCCGGATTGGTGTTCTCGTTCTCGGTCTCCGATTCTGTAGCAGTGTTGCGGCCGCCTGGGGATAGAAAGTATCGGTTTAAGCATGGGTTCTAACAACTGGGCGAGCTGCGGTGAGAATAGTGGCACAATGGAACCCTGTGTTTGTCATCAGAGGTCTAAATACTCTTGGTGAGGTGCTAACAACTATAAGCTTGTAATAATCTAAGCCTCTAAACTGATATCTATCTATGTTTCAACAACTGTTTATACATCTTTAGTTACTTTAGTGGTTTCTGGTGTCAAGTACTGTGTTTCTATTCTAGCCGCAGCTGCAGGAGCATCTTAGCCCTCCAACTTACCTGCTCCCTGGCTCTCGTCGTCCAGATCCACGGCCACGCCGTCGTTGGTGTCGTCGCCGTCGAGCACCTTGCTGCTGCTGCCGTTTGTGCTGAGTGAGCCGGTGGTGGTGCCGGTGGCGTTGGCGGCTGCGCCGGAGCCCGGCGGCGGCATATCGTCGAGCATCTCGGGACTGAGATCGTTGGCCACGTAGTGCGACCAGAGGGCCAGCTCCACGCGATGCGGCGACCAGTGCGGCGTCTCGCCGCCCACCTCGGCATTGAGGCGCTCCACGGTGGCCTGGATGTGATTGACGAAGTTGAGGTACTCCTTGGTGGTGTAGTCGATGCCCTCGATCTCTGGTATGGCCATCAGGCACTCGTCGGCCATGAACGGAGCCAGATGGGGGGCTGCGGCGGCCAGCAGGGCGCTGGCCATGGTGGTGCCGACGCCCTTGAGGTTCGATAAAGCTGTGATCGCCTGCTCCAGATTGGGCAGCTTGCGGAAGGCCTTCTTCGTCTCCTGGATGACGGCGCGCGGTGTGTTGACCTTGACCAGGTAGGATAGCTGCGGATAGAACTTGCCGCGCGACTGCTTCCACTTCATCGACTGGACGAGCTCGTCGTACACCATGTGCGCGTCCTTGCCGCGCGCCTTGATCAGCTTGGGCAGCTCGTTCTGGTACCACTGGTCCAGGCGGATCAGCTCCTGCGGCTTCTTGCAGCGCTTCTCGGCCTTCAGCTTGAGGACCTGCGGGTACAGCTGGAAGCAGTACTCGAACTGTGTGGTGCTCCCGTTCTCGAAGAACGAGACCGTCGCCTTGCCGTTGGACATCTTCTGTAGGGTTGTCGCCTGCGAATGGTTGCTGGATTGGTGGGTTGCTTGGCTCGGTGTTATCCTTGTACCGTCTTCTTGGGCACCAGGCTGTATATATATATGTGTATTGGTGTGCTATATGCTGTATATACGCCAAATCGAATCAATCTACCGCTTTATCTTTATCCTGCTTATCCTGTCCGTTCCGTTCCGAGCTGCTCCTGTCAATGTACTGCTATTCGTGCGTTGCGTTGAGAGTGGTCCCCGGCGAGGAAGAAGAGAGTCCGTGAGAGAGAGAGAGAGGAGCAAGAAGAAGCAGCAGAAGCAGAAGCACAAGGGAGAGAGGAAGAAACGAGAAGAGGCACAATTAGGTTTACAGTTACGATTACATATGCAAGGGGGATCGGGGGGACTGGGGGATTCGGGGGGATCGGTGGCGCTGCGATTGATTACTGTTAGTGCCGCCTCTGTTGTTTGTTGCATTTACTCAGTCCGATAATCGCTCACTATTTGCCAAAAATCTGCTCGCTTCCTCCGCCGCCGTGTGCACAGCACACAAATCGAATTTTTACAGTGTCGCTCGGTTCGTCGGGTTCTTTTTGGTCCGCCACACAAACACACAGAGACACGCTGACAGGCACAAACACGCAAACACACGCTCTCGCACACCCAAAGAGAGCCAGCCACACACACAGGGAAGCAACAACACACACACACACACACACCTATATACTGAGGCAACAGCAGCAGAAAATTTCTTTTTCATCTAGGTTTTCGAAAAAATACGAACGCGAGCATTAAATAAACGAATGCTTCTTTTCGTTTCGCACACAGCTCTTGTCTTTTTGGCAAACGCTGAGAACAGCTTTTCACTGCACGCACACAGATGAGTGGGTGAACAACAAATACCTTTTAAAAGTTAGTCGCCGCCAGTCTTCCTTTCCGTCCACATCCAAACAACTACTCCAATGAATGCTTTGCTTTTGCTGTTTTTCTGTGTTGCCTCTGCCTGCTTCGCTTCGTGCTGTGCTGTGCCGTGCTGCTTCTTCTTCTTCCTCTGTTTCTGCCTCTGCCTCGCCTCTGCTTCTGCCTGCAGGGGCGTCGCTGCCAGCCGATAGAAAAGGGGTTACGAGCTACTGCCAAGAGCACGCCACCAGAACAGCAGTACAACAGTGAAAAAGGATCGGATGCAGCTGTGCGATGTGCGATATGCGCTCTGCGCTGCTAACTCGTGTGACGGGAATGGGAATGGAGACGAGATGGGAATATGGGAATGAAAACAGGAGTTGTCGCTCTGTCTCGCCCGCACTCGCTGCCCGAATGTATCTGTATCTCTCTGGCACCCCTCAGCGTTCCATTTTGCCGGCGACGTCCGTGCGCGCTGCCGGCGTCGCTGCCGCTGCGTTTATGCGCGGTTTGCCGTTTCACGAAAATGTGTCGATGAACGGGGTTCAGGTATTCGCTAGCTTGCGTAAGCTAAGCAGAACTATTAATCGGTTAAAAAACACGTTTTCAATTTGATTAAGTCCGAGTTATGATAAATATATCGCCCAATGCGATATATCAGATGAAGTATTCCAGTCCGATTTCACGTATTCAAGAATTCGTGATATTCGGAGCGCAAACAGCTTGTCTCTGCTCGCTCGCTGCTTTTGTTGTGCCAGTTGCCAGCGGCAGCGGCGTCGTTGTGCCATTATTCATGAGGGGGTGCGTCAGGTTTGCTGAATGTTTCAGTCTTGTTTGTGCAAAGTGAAATTATTTATGGCTCAGCACGAACGAACGCCGATAGAAATGCATATGTTGTTCGTGGGTCAAAAGCTGCCCGAACGTGCAGTTAAGTGCTTATAATTTCTCTATTTTAATATTAAATATATTCCTCAATCAGCTGTTCCAGAGCTTAAAAATTCACAGAACTCTAAGCTGATAGACGTACGATTTTTTAATAATATTTTTTAAGGAAATAATATAATGGTAACTTTGATTCTCAAAAAACATGTTTTTTAAGCCTTCGCCGAATCGAAAACAGCTGCTTTCTAAGAATTGCCCCTACACATGTGATACAAGTTTAAGCTGAGCGGTCGACCAGCAACTTGATATTTAAAGAACCCTACTTAACAGTCGACTCAAGTTCGATCCCCCCGCAGGTACGCCCCTCAGTTCACCTATCGCTCGCTCGCCTTTGCCGCCATCATTCGCTGTGGCCGTTTTTACCCTATTCGTCGTCGTTGAGCGACGAGCAACTTAGCAGCTGCAATTTAGCTGTTTCTGCCTCTGCCGTGCCTGCCATTCGCTCATTATACCCTTGCAGAGGGTATTCGTACTTTTTTGGATTTTAAATGTGAAATTTTTTTTAATATCTGCTTTAATAACTTATAGGCATTGTAATTATTACAATCTGCATTAACAATAAGTATATCAAATACTTAATTTTTTATAAAATAGGGTATCGAATAGCTGGTTCAACCAAGAACCCTTTTCTCGTTTTGCCCTGCTGCTCTCACGCACACATGCACAGGCGAGCACCGATGCATGTGCGACGCGGCGATATGCGTGCGATATATCGCATCGATACTCGATGCGGATGCCCATCTGTTTCGCGGCGTTTTCCCGCTTTCCCCGTTGGAAAACCCGTTTTTCAAATTACATTTCCCAGTGTATTTCAAAACTGATAATGATTAATTTTCGAAACCCCCGCCGGAGAGCGGCATTCGGACCCAGAGTGACCGAGTTCTCTCTCTGTCATGGCGTATGTATTAATCATTCGGTATACAAGCGACTTTTTCGCACACCCCCCTCCCAAATTAACTACGTCTCTGTGTGTGCGATTCGTTCGTTTTTGTGTTTTGCCATTTTCGCTGTTCACGCACCAATACACCCAAGTGACAGAGCTGCCAGACCAGCGCAGTACCCATGGCCAAAAGGTGTGTGTCCGAGCTAAGCAACAAACGGTCTCGGTATTTTTGGAGTATATAAATACCGGAAAATCCCAGCGAAAAAGCGAGGGCAAAAGGTCCTAAAATTGGCAGTACAGTGTAGTGCATTTTATTTTAGAATACGAATTTTAAATCTCTCCCAGCGTTTCGTGCATCATGTTGGCCAGGTCCTTCTTATCCGTGGCCGTGTGCGGCCTGCTGCTATCGCCCCTCCTGCCCGCCGCCCGTGCGGCCCAGGAGGAGGACTCCTCCGCCGGCAAACAGGCGGAAAAGCAGTTCGCCGTGGAACTGGACCCGGAAACCTTCGACACCGCGATTGCCGGCGGCAATGTCTTCGTCAAGTTCTTTGCGCCTTGGTGAGTTTTTCCCCCTTCCGCTTTTCCCGATCCGCCGCAGAAAAGTGCGTCCCAAATTGGCCAACTTTTGCCGGCGAATCGCAGCGGTCCACATAGGTCGTTTATTTTATGTGACCGAGCCACGCACACATAATTACCAAAGGTGTTTCGGTTTTCACTTTCGCCTGTTTTTTGGGCGAATTCAATTTTTGGCGATTTTTCAGAATGGAAAAGTCATGATTGCTTTTATAGAGCAGTTTTTAAGACTAAAAATTAGATGAAAATTATCTTTAATAAATATAAAAGTTATTACAAAAAATTTAACTTTAATATTTTAATAATAATATTTAATTCCCATAGTTGATGACTTTTTTTTTTTCCAAATTTAGAACCTATAACTCTTGCAAATATCTTCCAAAAATGGTGAAATATATTTATAAATACAATATTATAGACTTTATAATTTTTCAAAAAGTGAAAACCGGAACACAGTTTTATGTTAATGGGTAGACATGGATTTACGTATTTGGCCGGCCGTATTTTTTGTATATTTTTTTTTTGTTGCAAAAATACCTGAAGAAATAGAGTGACATAAATGTGTGACCCCCAATTTGGTAAAAAAAACGGAAGATCCGTGGAACTGAAGATTCGTCATTCGTCTTCAAGACGACAAATCGCACGTTCGGCGATAAGACGATCAAAGGGGCTTTAATCGAGAACCCAGAACCCCCTTGCCGCAGCCCTTGATTGACACACTAAATACTCGAGATTTCGGGCACTACTATAGTTTAGTTTTCGTAGCACCCGGCTCTCAAGTCTTATCAAAAGCCATCGCAGTGTCTATGAGCTAATTTGATTAGGTTCAATTATGTTGCTAGGAAGTGCTCTGCGATTAGTTTGCGGGGAGTTTGAGGAAGCTCGAACTGCGATTCGGCACTAGCAGCAGATGATAAACTCTTTGTTCGGGACAAAGCGCACAGTCTTATCGCGGTTCATTGTTTTGACTTCCTTTGTGCAGGGAAAACGTATTGATTTGACCGATTTGTCGGCTCTCTTATTTCGAAATCTATTTAATCGGTTATTACTAAGGGTTCAGAAGGATTTCGTAAATATGAGTAATAAGTAGGGTAAAAGAAAGACAATCATAAAGGTGTTTTTTGCAAAAAGCCTACCTGAATCCTGATAAAACTCCTACTAACTACAGCTAAATATTGTTCTTTTGTTCTCCAGATATTAAATAAAAAATATCTTTAAGTAAAAATAATAATATTACAAAAAAAGACTTCTAATTCAACCCAAATATTCCAAAAAGCTTAACTGAATCCTTCATAAACCCCTAGTAACTACAGCTATTAAATACAGATAGCTACAGATATTTAATAGAAATATTTTTAAGTAAATATAAAATTCTTACATACAAAGATTTCTAATTCCCCCTGAATGATCCTATAGGTGCGGCCACTGCAAGCGCCTCCAGCCGCTGTGGGAGCAGCTGGCCGAGATCATGAACGTGGATGAGCCCAAGGTGATCATCGCCAAGGTGGACTGCACCAAGCACCAGACATTGTGCGCCGCCCACCAGGTGACCGGCTACCCGACGCTGCGCCTCTTCAAGCAGGGCGAGGAGGAGTCGGTCAAGTTCAAGGGCACCCGCGACCTGCCCGCCATCACGGACTTCATCAACCAGGAGCTGAGCACGCCCGCCGAGGCGGATCTGGGCGAGGCCAAGCGCGCGGATGTGGAGAACCCCAATCTGGGCAAGGTGGTCGACCTCACCGAGGACACCTTCGCCAAGCACGTGTCCAGTGGCAATCACTTTGTCAAGTTCTTCGCCCCCTGGTGCAGTCATTGTCAGGTGAGCAGCGAGCTAAACTATATTTTCGAGCTATATAATATATATAATCATAATCTTACAGCGCTTGGCGCCCACCTGGGAGGAGCTGGCCAAGGAGCTGGTGAAGGAGCCCGCCGTGACCATCTCGAAGATCGACTGCACCCAGTTCCGCTCCATCTGCCAGGACTTCGAGGTCAAGGGCTATCCCACGCTGCTCTGGATCGAGGATGGCAAGAAGATTGAGAAGTACTCGGGTGCCCGCGACCTGTCCACGCTGAAGAGCTACGTGGAGAAGATGGTGGGCGTGCCGCTGGAGAAGACCGAGGGCGAGGAGGCGGCCGCCACCAAGGAGACTGCCGGCGAGGAGGAGGCGGCAGCGGCGGCGGCCAAGAAGCTGACGCCCCAGCAGCTGACCGGCGAGGCCGAGTTCGATGCGGCCATTGCCGAGGGCGTGGCCTTCATCAAGTTCTACGCCCCGTGGTGCGGACACTGCCAGAAGCTGCAGCCCACCTGGGAGCAGCTGGCCACGGAGACGCACCAGGCGCAGAGTGGCGTGAGGATCGCCAAGGTGGACTGCACGGCGCCGGAGAACAAGCAGGTGTGCATCGACCAGCAGGTCGAGGGCTATCCTACGCTATTCCTCTACAAGAACGGGCAGCGCCAGAACGAGTACGAGGGCAGTCGCTCCCTGCCGGAGCTGCAGGCCTACCTCAAGAAGTTCCTCGGCCACGACGAGCTCTAAGTCGGAGGAGCAGGGGATCAGCAGCAGTCGAATGAACAAAAATCGCCCGCCAAACTAATCGTAATCGTAATGTTTTCTCTTCAAAAAACACCGGCATAAACCGACCTCTGTGAGGAGTCCGCATTTAAAGAATATATGAACAACACCCAAAAGACAAAGTGCTAGCCGGAGTCCATGAGTCGTTCTTAGTGTTTCCCCCGCTGTGTTCCCCCCACCCCCTTTTTTATGTTTTTAGTATTTACGGTAATGGGGCACCAGGACTGTGTGCACGAGAAAAGCCATTTAGCAAACATTATTTCCAATTCTAACATCATTTTGTGGTCGTTAGGCTACTTTTAAGTCATTCTTAGGAAAAATTGTCGACACAATACAAATAAATATCAATTGGAAAACATGGGTCTTTGTATCTTCTAAATAAGTTCATATTTAGGTTGGCATAAACGGGGTAGAAGTGGTAATAATAAAACACCTGTTTTTCTTGTTAAATTATTTGCGAAGAACCTTCATCGATTGGCAAACAAGAACCGAAAAGTATTGTTTTTTAAGCAAATAAATTTTTGGTTTTCCCACTTTTTTGATACATTTTAAAGCATATATTTGTGTACTCTAGTTAATTGTAGAGCACCTGTTTAAGTAAACTTGAGAACCATACATTCTTGAAGGAATTTGTGAACTTTACAAATTTCAGCTACAAAAAAATTTCAAATTTAAATTTTTTTCATGATTTTTTTGCGAAAAAGACATTTTAGACATTTTCTTGTTTTAGTGATCGATTGGAAATTAAACAACGAGTTCAAAAAGGTATAACAGTCCATATTTGGATGAAAACTTTCATATTTACGGTCAAAAAATAATTATTTTTTTGTGAAAAATTGAAATCTGGAATTGAATTTTTATGTTTGTTTTTTTGCTGTAACTTGGCCAAAAATGGCCCTACACCAAAAATACATACTGTTTTGAACAGATAACAAAATTTCCAAAAAATCCATAAAACTTTCCGTGTGATTTTGGAAAAATAAAATTTTTGCCAATTTTTAATTTTTTTATAAGGGTACCCCATGATTTTTTGCGAAAAATTAAAAATAAATAAAATGTCAAGGTTTAAATGCCAATCGTTAGGAAATTTAATAACGAGTTCAGAAAGGTATGACAATCCATATTTGAATCAATATTTTCTTTGTTTTAGCGAATAAAACTGTTTTACAAATGGTCAAATAACAATGATTCATGGATTTAAAAAATAAATTTCATAAAATGCCGTTTTAAATTTCGATTACCCGCGCTCTTACCCCACATCGATAGTACCGCCGATAGTTGAGTGCGCCCCGCTCTGCGCCCATCGACTAGTCGATTGGCCACCCAATCGATTTGGCTCCCACCTCTAGTAGCACTGCGATTTTGTTTTCATCCGAAAAAAGAGACTTTTTGCCATGTCTTTGGCTCGCACTGACAGAGCCGTCCAGTAGAGTGTCCTTGAGCGACTTGCCAGCGCTCAGCGAATCCCGAAGCGGGCTCCGGTCGATACCCGATATCCCCGATTCCCGATGAACGCCAGCGGAAACGGCGGAGGTGGAGGAGGAGGAGGAGGTGGAGCAGCGGGAGCGCCCGTCTCAGGAGGAGTGGGTGGTGCAGGAGGTGCAGGTGGTGCAGGTGCTGCTGCTGGTGGCGTGGGAGGCGCAGGCGGTGGAGGAGCTGGTGGCCCTGGCGCAGGCGGAGGGGCGGCTGCAGCGGATCAGGCTGGCGAGGCAGCTGGCGGAGCAGCAGGTGGAGCCGCTGGCGATGGTTCGGTTCCCAATGGAACCAGCGCCGCCAGCACGTCGGACAACCCGGCGAATGGAGCCAGCTCTAGCGAGGATCAGGACGCCAAGCGGCGCAAGTGCCGCGAAACAGAGGAGGGTCAGGATGGAGCCAGCACGGTGGGTATAGCGGCAAACTCTACAGAAATCCACAGATCCATTAGATCCCAGGGAACTATCTTATCTCAATCCTTATATGGCAACTCTATATAATACAAAACTCTGAATTTCCTTACTTGAGTTTGCAATACATCGATCGAAACTAACTATCATAAAATTAAAAATCAATTTAATTGACATAGATATCTATTTTATGTCATCTAGATTTTAATAATCCCTGAATTGTCATAGAAAATCTTTCTAACGGCAAATCCTCCACAGATCCTTTAGATCCCAGGGAATTATCCTTATCTATTTAAACTCTGAATTTCCTTACTAGAGTTTGCAATACATCGATTGAAATTGAATGCCAATAGCTTTTGGCAACTAACTATCAAAAAATTAAAAATCATATCGTTTGACAAGTGTCATAATATCTATCATATGTCATCTAGATTTTAATAATTCCTGAATTTTTCATATTTCACATAAATTTGCGGAAGAAACACTTGTAATATATCCAAGATTCGTGAGGAAAATCCCTTCTGTGTTTCAGTTATGGAAGACTCTTCAATGTGCATTGTAGGATGAGATATATAATTATAGAAAAAACCACAAAAAAGCTAACATCTAATCCTGGCTTAATTCCCTCCCCACCAGATGATCGATGCGAACAGCGTGCTGAACAAGATCGCCAACCTGTACGCCGAGCAGCTGATGTCGGACATCGTGCTGCTGGTGGACGGCAAGGAGTACCCCGCCCACCGCGTCATCCTGTGCGCCAGCAGCGACGTCTTTCAGGTGATGCTCATGAACCCCGAGTGGAACGAGTGCAGCAAGCACGTGATCGAGCTGCACGAGGAGGCCTGCTGCTCGGCGGTCTTCCCGCAGTTCATCAAGTACCTGTACGTGGGCCACATCGAGGTGACGCTGCAGACGGTGATGCCGATGCTGGCGCTGAGCGACAAGTACAATGTGCGCGACCTGATCGATCTCTGCGTGGGCTACATGAACAAGCACGTGGCCAAGGCGGCCACCAGCGGCTATTTGGTCTCCTGGCTGCAGTACACGCTCTCCTTCACGCCCACCCACAACGATCTCACCGAGACGCTCAAGCGCTTCCTCAAGTGGAACCTCGAGATGGTCGCCGAGTCGCGTGACTTTGTGGAAATGGACCCGGCCATATTGCAGCTGCTGCTGCAGCAGAACGACCTGGTCGTCACCAGCGAGTACAAACTGTTCGACATCCTGCAGACGTGGCTGCTGCATCGTCGCGAGCAAATGGAGGCCACCGCGAGCGGCAGCTTCATGGAGCTGATCGAGCAGACCGTCTCGCACATTCGCTTCGGCATGATGACGCCGCGCCAGCTGTCGCATTTGCTGATGGACCCGCTGATCGAGTACCACAAGGAGTTTCTCGTCGAGCGCATCGCCATCGGCATGAGCTACCAGTCGGGGCAGGAGGATCGGGTGCGCGAGGTGCGGGCCACCGAGTCCGGCGAGCTGCAGTTCACGCCGCGGCTCTACTGGAACGACACCTGGAGCGTCGACATCGATGTGCACAACTTCGATGCGATCGAGGACTACAAGAACTATGTGACCTGCTTCTTTTCGCAGCGCCACATCGCTGAGACTGAAGAGGACGGTGAGTAAAGGCTAGCGGAAGCGTCGCTGGGCAGCTGGCATCATCTAACGAAGCTCCTTCATCCACAGATCCCGGCATGACCTGGGAGATAGAGTTTTTCCCGCGCGGCGTTAGGTACAACAAGGCCAAAATGGTCTGGGGCGAGGACGTGCCGGGCTGCTCGTTGAACACAGTGCGCCTACGGGTTACCTGCAAGCATCAAAACATTGGCGAGGAGCGCTTCAAGGTGAGGGATTGCTTTACTGAAGATCTGTGTAGTATTATTAATATTTTTATACATTCCCAGATCGCCGTGCTGATCGTGGGCGTGCAGAACCAGATCATGCACATCCGTACGGTGGTGGAGCGCACCGAGTACTTCTCGGACACCTCGCGAGTGATCAACCTGGACAACCTGCTGCCGTACGACGAGCTGGAGCACACATCCCCCTACTTGAGTCCCCATCTGACGGGCACCGCCCGCAACACACTCACCCTGCACGTGGTCATCACGCCGATGGGCGCCCACACCTGCCGGGACACGCCGCCGTTTCAGTTCTAGGCACTCGGTACTTTCCGGCGTCCTTTCATCCGCAGCCCCACTGTATTTCACTCTTCCATTCAATGTTTGTATGTATGTATAAATGCAATGCGACTGCGACTACCCTTGGGCTCAATCTTGGCGATCCTCTCGATTACATACCACTCCCGCTCCCGCAATATGTTTTGTTATAAGTTTTTGTTTGTCTTTTTTTTTTTTGTCCCATAAGTTAGGCGCACCGAAAGGAGTGAGTTCTTAGGCAGGGCCATATCGTGGATAGTTGGTATTGGCCATAATGGATAGCGTGAGTGCCAACTGCAATGAAAGGAGATTTTCTAATAAACACTGAATTGTAAAGATGAAAACCGAAACCAAAACCAAAACCCCCAACCGACATGGCTGAGAAAGAGAGGGCTATTGCCATCTCATTTGCCAATGCATAGAGCATCAGTTTTAATGTTTTACAGCCGATAGATATGAGTGCCCGCTTGTGTGTGCCCAGATCTAGATCTCTGGATCCCTTTACGAGTGCGTTTACGGCCCGGGATCAAGCTGTCGCGTCTAAGGGGGCGTATCTTTATGTGCTCCGCTGGTAGTGACTTGGCCATAATGCCAAAATACCGGGCCAATTCCCGCGTGCAGACGTTCTGGATAATCTGGATAATCCCAGCCCAGGCAAAAACGAATATATATAAATCCAGGTCCAGGCATATAAGTCATCAATCGAATTGATTTAATCTTGGCGTTAATGTAGTTGTTAAATAAAATGTCTCTTCAAAAATCAGCTATGGTCTATTATTGAAGTTTGCGTTTTCATTAGACTGAACTAAAGAGTAGAATTACTGTCATCTAACGTTATAATTTAGTGATTTCGCTTTTAATTTAATTACTTCCTAAAGTTGTCCAGTCATTTTGTAAAACAACGTCTCGGAAACCTCTAATAAAGGTGTCGAAAAGTATAACTAAATGTTTTTATTACCTCTAATAGTACAAATACGATATGCTTGCCTGAGAATATCAATAAAGTATTTTATTTTACTTCAATCAGACTTATGGTTTTGTAATTTCAAGGGGTTTTGGGGGCAGATACTTTACTAATGCGGTTATTCCACTACATCGTTCGGATCATTCATTAGTACAATTTTTTCTCAGCCCATACGATTTTACGTAGGTGCGAGCAAGATCCGATTTACAGTAGCTCTAATAAATGAGCAAAATTGTACTTTTTAGATTCAATTTTGCTCATACAAAAAAAAATAAAATGGTGGCCTTCGGTTTTTAAAATTTTGCTCATTAATTGCTCATTGCAGCTGACATATATCTGTCTTGCTCGCACCTACGTAGAATCGTATAGGCTGAGAAAAAATTGTTCTAATGAATGAGCCGACCAATGTAGTGGAATAACCGCATAAATAATTAAATAGTTATTAGAAAACTTATATTTAAGTCTACCTACTAGTCGAAACTGTTGCTAAGTTCCAGAAGAGTTCTGTTTTGTCTTTTCAGACATCCAGTCCCCAGACCCCAGGGGTCTGTTCCCTGATCTAACGTGGCTCCATTTACGATTTGTTGGCTTCAGATAGCAAAATAGAGGGGCTGGCTATCTGTCTTATCGCCGATTTTGCATCTTGCTCGCTAAGCCAACGAACGAAGAACTTTTACACCACGATTCTGACTTGCAGATTGGGAAGATGGTGCGGTTATTTAAGATTTACAGCTTTTGTTTTCGTATTTTTGGTGCAGATATCTCTGGCCGGGTTTTACGAGTGTGTTACCGCAGAGAGCTTTACAGAACGCAATAGCGATCGGACTTTGAAGCACGTACCCCTGCGTTCAGATACCCGGACGTACTTTTAAGTCCCCGGCGTCACGGAGCTCCTCAGTTGGCCGTGGACAGTGCCGCCAGTCGCACATATCCTCAACCCATTTCGAATATATAGCCTGCGAAGATCAAGGACACCATGGATAATCCCGCCTATGTGATAGATTGTGAAAATGAGTTCGGTGAGTGAAGAAAAGAAGATTAAATGAGACTGCAAAATGTGGTATTATATGGTATCCTGTCGTAAAAAGTTGTGAAATGCCTAATATAAATCATAGAAAGTGTGTTTTAAACGTGTTCATTACTTTTATTTTTCTTAAGTGATCTAAAAACGAATGATGGTGAAATAAACTGTAATTTCAGTCTAAAATTTTCAGTGAGGATCAGAATTGAATAAAAGACGATAACTTGCTTTTCGTTTGCTATGCTTTATTATTGCCAAAATGACTTTGTTTTTCTTGGTATACATATATAAGATATATGCGGTATATAAGATATATATGCGGTATATGCCCATCAGTTACAGATTCAATTCTATGTCGTATCCATTTCGTTTATACGTATGTTATTATTGATGAATTCAATTCTCGTGTCTTTGGATGCAGATGCAGTTTCTCAATATTTCTCTCTCTGTCTCTACCTCTTTTCTCATCATTCCTCTTACTTTCTTTCCCGCTTTTTCGCTTAGTGTATTTCGTTTTTGATAGGTTTGCATTTAGTGTTTGAGTATGTGAATAGACCGAGCCAATGTCACGTCACCCATCGGTTATATGCCCCATATATATGGCAAATATAGTTGTTCTTAAGTTGAGCACGCCGCTCTTTTATCTCGCTAAGCAAAGTGCCTATAGGTGATACGTCAGCTAATTATTTATGGGCCCGAATCTCTGGTTTAATATTGAAGTTGTGACTAATTGTTTTCTAAAGATTTTACATATCTCCTGAAAGAGGTTCTAAATATATTATCTCAAGATTTCTGATATTATATGAAATTTTGTTGAAACTTTTGATCGCTTTTTGGGAACAGATGTCGCTATATATATAGATAACCGATTTTTGACAGTGACACAGGCCTTTTTTGCGTGAGTGTGATTCATTCTGATGCTGAATTATAGTGACATTTATCCGCTTCCCCGTGTTGAGGGGGTATAATCCGTGGATGGGTTACTGGTAATTGGTTACTGGTAAACTGGTAAACTGGTTACTCTAGGTTTAGGGTTGGCTAATTATTGTAGTTGGTGTAGCGTTCGCTAGCTGCCTGGAAGCAGTGTCCTAGGTGGGGTGAGTTTGCTGCTGAGCTTGGTGAGGTGAGCCGCCTGTGTGATCCGTAATCCGTGATTCGTGATCCGTGATCCGTGATCGCTGATATCGAGTGACTTTCTACTGAAGTGGGTCCCGTATTATGCGTGTGTGTCCCTTTCGAGTGTGTGTGGTGGAGTGGTTGTGGTTGTGTGGTGGTTGGTACATCGACTATAGTTTAGCTATGGTTTCAACTATCCTTTTCAAGTACGTAACATTTATTAACCTCTATATGTGGCCGGGCCTGGCTCTGTTTATATAGACCAAATTGCGGCTCAGCACTGGCACAAGTTGATTCTATGTTAACATCATAACCGATAACTCTCATTTTTCTAAAGTTCTCTCTATAAATCTTAAGATCTGTTTAATTTCAAACATATTCTACGTATAAAATGAGATGTGTGTATATATATAACTGTAAATTTCAATATGAAATGCTTAGTACCGCTTTTGATTTGGAAACTATATCCGTATAACCAAGTTCCTTGAAATATATCGCCTTTTTCGCCCATGCCAGTACTGAGCCCATCCGAATTATTGCGAGTAGTGCTGCCCTTCTAAGGAGTTCTCCACTGATATAGGTATGATCAGGTATGGAAGGTATGGCCGAATCGCTATACCATTTTGTTCAGTGAGCTAATCTCCACACTCCGATCTTGGCTGTTGTGTTGTAAATCCCTCTAAGTGGCTTACAAAAGAGAAAAAAAAAAGAGTACATTAACCGCGGGCTGCGATCCCTTACTTCTCGAAGATCAGCTCGCCGGTGAGGAACGGATTGAGGTAGGTCTGGGCCTCGTAGCCGGACACCGAGGCCGTCGTGGTCCTTCGTCGTCCGCCCGCCTGCGTTCCGCCCCGCCGCTCGCCGTGCGCATGGCCGTGGGCGTGGTGCGAGGGACGCTTCTCCTCGCTGGGACTCAGGATCAGCGGAATGGGCATCGAGGTGTAGAGCTGCAGCTGCGGTGGCTGCACAATCGTTCCGGCCGCCGGGTTCAGTGGGGTGTCCATGTAGCCGTGCGGCAAAGTGGGCGCCGTGGCCAGGGCATCTCCTCCAGCTCCTCCTCCTCCGCTGGTGGTGCTCGGCGTGGAACTGGCCATCGAGTTGGCAATGGACAGCTTCTTTTGGCTGCCAGTCCGAGCCCTGTGGTGCTTGTAGTGACCCCGATGCGTCTTTCGTTTCAGGTGACCCATTCCGTTGACCTCGGCCGGCGGTGAGGTGTCCAGCAGGAGGGGCAAGTGAGCCGGCTCCGGATCCGTGTCACCTCCCGGCTGATCGTGATGATGGCTCACATTGCCCGGGGTGTTCGGGATGCCCGGGGTGTACGGACCCAGGAGCGGCTTCTTCGGCGGCTCGCGGGGATGCGGATGGGGATGCGGATGCGCCTGGATTATGGTGGCCGTGGCGAAGACCTCCTGGAAGCGATTGTTCGCCTCCAGCTGCTGCAGCTGCAGATGTTGGCGCTGCAGGATCTGCTGGCGCTGCTGCTGCATGTGGCTGAGGATGCGGTACTGCTCGAGGATGTGCTTGTAGAACTGCTCCGCGGTCACTTCCGATGAGTTTAGGAGGCGAATGGCTATTTTTTCGGGTATCACAATTTTATCTGCAAAAAATGAAGTGTTTGTTTGTTTAGCAAAAAAGTATAAATTGCGGTTTTTAAATATTCAAATTGAAATTATATTGAACAATTTTCTTATACTATTATTAAATTAAATCAAGCATTTTAAAATTAAAAATTACCCTACTTCATTTCAAATTCAATTAAAATATTAAATACCAGATTTTGAATTCAATATAAAGTATTTTTTTTGCTATTCCATTTTTGTTTTAGTGTATTTGTAAACTTTAAAAACTTAAGAAAAAATGAAAACATTATATATTTTAATATATTTTTTACCCAGCAGTGTTTAAAAATGATTAAATTCATTTTTTCATGAGAGCCTTGGCTAAAAATTAATAATAAACTACAAACTGCTACCACAGTTATTTTTAAATTAAAATAAAATCATTTACATACATACATACATATATAATTTATAAAACCCGCCACAGTTTGCTATCATAAAGTGAGTTAAATCAATGCCTTAAATATTTATAAGTTTTCCCCTACATTTCCTACAATTTCATCCGCCCTCGACCGCTTATGTTTTATTTCTTGCAGTTTTTCGCAATTTTAGTCGCCCTTGTAGGCATTTGTGCCTTCCAATGCAGGCAGCTAGTCAAATTTTAAATAAAGGCATTGAAAGCGGACACTAAGCATATTTCCTTACATCTTGCTCCCTGGCAAAGTGCATTCTCGCTGTCATAAATTCCAATTTGTTTGCCTTTCTGCCGTATAACTTTCATTAAGCTCCCAGATTCTGCATTTAATTGCATCAAATTAGATTTATTGAACTGCAAACTGCAAACGAATGGAAAGTACAGCGAGGAAAACTGCACCCTATCGTGTTTTTGGGGAGGTGGGTGGCTAGGCGAATCGAATGGATGGGGTGGCTTGGGTGTAGTCGTGTGCATGACACCCCATTGACCTAATTTCGAGTTGATTTACAAAAACTGAACAAAAAGCCAAGAATCAGAGAAAGGATGGAGGCGGAACGAGCTGAAGCCGAAGCTAGTGGAACAATGTGGGCGGCTTTTTCACCTCCTTCCTGAGAAAGTGTTGCCAATTCAGATATATAGTCAAGAAATTTGGGTGCTTTTGCTATAAAGCTGACTTTGGTTTTTATATAATATGTAGTGATGTGATTTAGCCTGAAGTCGTTCTTAAAAGTATGCAATATTTTTGTTTTAATTTAGAACATATTTTTTGATAGGGGAGTGTAGGGTAATTTGACGAGTAGGGTAATGTGACGAACTCGTCGAATCTTATATATGACGTCACGACAAAAATTCCAAATAAATGTAGTCGTCTCCCCTTATCGTGTCGACAATGTATTTACAGTAATATTAATAAGAAGTCCCGTAATTTGTTCGTGAGGTAATTTTCGCTAAAAATGTGGTGCGCAAACTAGCAAACCCATTCAATTTACTTGTGTTTCAGCAGTGCCAGAGCAAAGATGAGTGGAAAATAAAATCAGGCAAATATATGCACGTATACATGAGATCTTTATCAACAGTTTTTGGTACCTCGCGTTTTTTTCTTTTGCGCCGTTTGAGAGTGACACCGTTTTTGCTCCAAGTCTACCTTGTAGGGTATCGTGACGAACTTTTTGTAGGGTATTGTGACGAACTTTTTTTATTCAAGAATTTTAACTGTTATCGTTGATTATTTGTAAAAAAAATATAATAATACCAGATAACATTTACTGCTGCAGTTTTATTGTTGTTTTTAATAGTGACGTCAGTTTAATTTAATTTTAAAAAAATTTGCACTTTGACCATTTTTTTTTTGTAAGTTTGGGTATTATCTTATTACTTTTTTCTTTTCCGTATCGAAAAAACCCTTTCCGTAAATAATATATAAAAAAATGTATTTTTTTTTTGTAAAAAGGATGGTTTACACCAAACGCTGTGGGATTTGGCTACGTTGAAATTTCGAATCCAAATTTTTTTAGAAATATGCTCAGTAAATGTAAGCAACTTTCTGCTTTTACACTTTTAAAAAATATTGATTTTTGGAGAAGTTACATTAAAGAACAAATCGTTCGTCACATTACCCTACAACTTTTGAAAGTGCAAAAAAAGTAGGGTTCACGCCAAACGCTGTGGGATTTAGCTGCATTGGAATTTCGAATTTCGAATTTTACAGGGATATGCTCAGTAGATGTAAGCAACTTTCTGCGTTTACACTTTTAAAAAATATTGATTGTTACAAAAGTTACATTCAAAAAACGAATCGTTCGTCACCTTACCCTACACTCCCCTACCTTTTTTGAGATTGGAAATAAATAAATGGATAATAAATAATAACCTATAAGCAGGACTTTTGTACTGAAATGCCTTTTTATCAGTAATGTAATTCTTTTCTTTTAAATGTTTTGAATTTGTATTTTTTTAAGCATAATGTTGATTAAACTAATCTGTACGCTCAGTGTGCACTCTACGTTGAAAGCACTTTATTTTGCATCTAAAAGAAGGGTCAACGCTGTCCTGCCAGCCATCCAAGCCCATCGGTAATGGGCAGCGGGTAGGCTAATGGGTAGCCCAACCCCAATCCCAACCCCATTCCCATCCCCAAGCTCTTAACTCCTGTAGCCTAGATTCGGGCTTTGTCCCAGATTGACCGCTGACCGCAAATTGTCCGCCCCGTGATTGGTTTTTGGTCACTGGTTTTTGGTTACTGCTTACTGGTCATCGGTCACCAGTTTCTGATGGAGTAGTTAACCCCCGGATGAGTAGTGCAGTGCAGTGTGGTGTGGTATGTGATTACCGGGTAACTGATTACCAGCCGCCTTACCGCAGTGCGTGGCCTTGGTGACGAAGGGGCGGATGGTGGGGTCCCAGATGAAGATGTAGTACAGGGAGAGCATGATGGCCGCCAGCGAAACGCAAAGGACATAGACGGCGACGGTCAGGATGCGGATGACCTTGCGGTTGCTCTGCTGCGGCTGGTAGCAGCGGCTTATTGTCTCCGTGGGCGGCAGTTTCACTTTCTCCTCCAGCGAACTGTGTTTCGAGTTCATTTTTGAGTTTTTGATTCGATCCTGATTCCGATATCTGTTTTGATTGTTTCGATATGTTCAGAGGTGCCTCTTCTTGATTTTGTTTGCTTTCCTTTCTTTATGGTTTTTTTTGTTATTTTATTTTATTTTTTTTGGCAGTGTCCCGTTATAGTCTAGTTATTAATTTTGTTTGGTAAATGCAAAGTTCTTTTCGGTCGTTAGCTTGCCACCTTCATTCACGTTAACTTGCGTTTTATACATTAATAATAATATTTTTTAATAAATTTATTTTTATTATTGTTTATGCGTGGCGAGCTTAAAAGTACAAAAAAAGAGCGCGCAAAAATTTGACTGCCAACCGACGCGTCGAACGTGTGCAAGCGAAATGAGAGCAGAGAGAGATTCTGGCAGGAGTTTGTACCGTAGTACCGTTTTTCGCCTTCGTGCCTTTGCATTCCTCCTTCGTGCGAGAGCGACTCTCTGCCGCCCCCTCGTTGGCCCCACCCTTCGTGGCAACTTCGGCTTGGGGAGTTTACCGTTGCATTAGCGATCTTCGCTTTTAATTTCATTCATAAAATCCACCTCTCTCGCTCGCGCTCATTTGCATTTTCGGCTGCCCACGCTGCCTGTTGTGTGTGTGTTTTTTTTTATGGAATTCCTTGAAGGCGAAATAACAACAAAAAGGCAGCTGAAACAAAAACAAACCGCACGTCGGCACGTTGCCGCTCTTTGTGTGTCAAGTGCAGTTTCCACTCCCCGCTCCCTTAACACCCTAAAGCCCCGCGAGCATATGCAACTGACTCACATGCGGAAATTAAAATGCGCGCTTGGATTAATTTTGCATTATTTCAATAATTTCAATGCCAATCAAATGTTTTGGCAATCGAGGCAGTATTTCGAAACGAAATACAAATATTGTGCACTTTTCGTGGGGGTGTTGCAGGACGGGCGTGGCGGGGCGGGGCGGGGAACTGCTGGCTTTGACAGCAACCTTCGCAGGTGTCGCGAAGGACGTCCAAACTTTCGCTGCCCCGCCCCATTCCACAGCCGTTCCACCTTTAACCCGCCGCGCACGCCGCACACCTTCGTTTTCCGTTGCCTTCGGGGGGTTAACAAACTGCAACTGGGTCACTAGGACAAGCCGAGAGAGCGAAAGGAGAGCGCTCGAAAAAGTACGGAGAGCGAGAGGGAGAGCGTAACGAGTGCAGCGCTCGGCGAATCAAAATGCAGGCGTGCGAGTGAGAGGTCCGAACGGTATTGCAATGTTGGCCATTGATTTTGTTGTATAAGCTCCACACACACACACACACACCCCGCTGAGAAAAGAGATAGCCAGTCACACACCCACATGCATGTGGACACAGGTGAACTTCGGAAACAGGGACAAAGGATTCACGTCCCGAAAGTATGCTAAGAATAAATATATTAATAAATAAATCAAGGATGTCACTAAAATCACTAGTTTTAAAATATACAATTAAAATTATCTAAAAGAAAGCATAACGTTATTTTAACATATTCTAAGATTTTCCTTGAAATATATTTTAAATCCTTTTAAAAAGTTTGTAAGCAAATCAAGTTAGAAGGAAAGTTCCAGAAAATTCTACCTGGCCAAGTTGCAGTTGCCCACGCTCCACTGTACTTGCACTTAAACGCATATTCATCATCTGGGCCAGGATGTAGGCCACACTCCCACCAGCGCACATGCATTTTCCGAGCAGTATTGTTGCAAAGTTTCCTTCGAGGAGTTTAATTCGCCAACGTGGCCAGGTGAGGCCCTCCCTCTCCCTGTCCCTCTCCCCGACTCTGCTGGCCTCGAAAATGTTTTGGGCCCTGCCTATGGCATTTCCCATTTCCCATTTCCGTTTTCCCTCCAGCCATTTCCCCCCGGCCTTCCCAAGTTTAAGGATGGTTTATCCATCTGCTTACTTATGTGCAGACGAAGCTGATTAAGCAGTTCGGGCAGCCGGAACGGGGGGATAACTTGAGGATAGGGGGTCTGTGGCCAACGAACAAGGCGAAAACTTATTCCCCCTACATACATGATACATAGTTGGATACACATAATTAAACTTAAACTTTGGTTGGGCGAAAGGAAAACTTTTCGAGCAAGAATAAAAAAAGAAATGGTCGAGGAGGAGGTATGCATATCAACTTAATAAGAACTAATGGCATGACTTTGGCAAATATGTGTCCTGCCAAGATATTGGCTTCAAAGTTATAACTAAGTAATAACAAGCAATTTCCATTCACTGCACAATTTCAATTAATATTTGGTTGTGGTTCTACTGACTATTTAATTATGCATTATTAACTGTGAGTGGAAATGCAATACCAATTGGAACATGTGCTTCTATAAAGTGGGATATCTGTTTGCATTTAGTTCGCAATTAAATCATTTTAATTGGTTTTAAGGCTTTCAAACAAATTTAAACTGTAAATTGATTGCAAATAAAATGCATTGCATACACTGCGTATGAGTGATAAAAAAGCATGCTCCTCTAATATAACTCATACGCCACGTACGCCAGAAATGTATTTATGAGTTGTATTAGAGGAAGAAAAATACTGAATTTATGAAGGATTAAATTCAGTTTTTACTTTAGAGAGTGAGTTCCCTGGTGCATTTCCTTACCAAAAATGAACATAATATTCTCTTAGCTGGGTGTTACTTTGTTTTTTTAAGCGGACTAGCCAAAGGCAGGTCCCTTCTTTTGGCCCTTGTAGACGGGCGGCATGCGTGAGTCCCAGAAGAAGATGTGGTAGATGGACAGGAAGAAGCCCAGGCAGCAGAGGCCGCACAGGTAGATCACGATCACAAAGTATCGGGCGAAGCGTTCGGTGCACGTCGGCGGTGCAATCACGATCTCCTCCAGCTGCGGCGACTTGGGCACATACGATGTGGCACAGGCACTTCTGCGCGGAGCACTGCTGCTGGCCAGGCGAACGCTTCGGCTGCTGCTGCTGCCACTTCCGGTTCCGGTTTCGGTCGATCCCCTGGCCGTCTCCTCACAGGAATCCCCCTCCGCCTCCTCCGTGCGCACATTCGACTCGATCAGATTGACGATCTTGGCCAGATTCGCCATGCTGGCCGCATTGCCCAGACCCACTCTTGCTGATTCCGCCGGAACGGACATTACGGACATTTAATAAATCCCCAGTCGTGCCTGTTCACTTCGCGATGTGCCAACAACTGATTTGATGTCGCCACCACAATTAAATCAAAATCACTCGAATGACGCCATTTCGCCCCAGGGTGTGTGATGGTTTCGAATACCATGGCTAGTTGTACGTAGATGCAGTGGAAAGTGGGCAAGTGGGTGGTTGCAACTCTGCGATTTGGTGGCACGTAGCAAAGCGGATTAGTTTTGTGCCTGGCTGTCAACTTTTGATATCGGCCACGGGGGCTAATTAAGCCACTAAAGCGAACCCACAACAGTGTTGACAGCTCTTGTGAATCTCATAAGCCACAAAAATAATATTACAACAAAATTATGGTTTTCTGTAAAAGGGATTAAAGTGTTTTTCGCAAACATAGGTGCACATAAGAAATGAAAATGTGGTTTTAATTTGTGAAAAAAAGGTAAAATCACATGTGAAAAAAAACATAGCATACTTTTTAGCGCTTTAATAGAAGATTTTAAATCTCTTTCAATTTTTTTTGGATAAACTAGGCAATTAAAGTAGAGCTTAAACAAATTTTACTATTTCTCGATATTAAATTTGTGTTTTCTCTTCCAAAAATCTATATTATCGATTCGATATTGTCAAAATATCGAAAATATCGATAATTTGAAGCACCTATAATATGATAATTCCGATTAGCTGGGGTGACAACCCTGGCACAAACGGAAAGGCCCTTAAATCTGTGCTCTGCGTTGCCGTGGTCAGTTTCGCGTGGCCACTCACCCGAATCTGGTCACTGATGTCGATGGGAGAACAATATGGCTGGCTGGTTGCTTTTGATCCTAGCCCCCCGATCCTAGCCAATTGGATGCGTGTGCTTGAACACGGGCAGCGGCGGCATGCGCGAGTCCCAGATGAACAGGTAGTAGACAGCCAGGGTGAGACCCATGCCGCTCACGCCGCCCATGTAGAGGATGAGGGTCAGCAGGCGGAAGGTCTTCGACTCGAAGAAGTCGTTCGACTTGGGCATCTGGATCTCCTCGTCCTTGGCCTCCTTGACCACCTCAGCCAGGTTGGCCATCAGCCCCGGTGTACCGCTCATTGTCGTTTTTACTCTCTCGGAAGTAACGAAATAATATATATTTTATATTAAAATATTATCCAACCGCTACCGTCGCTTCGAACGAACTGAACACAATTGACCGATTGCTCCGACTGTCCGGGGATCTGGTCTTTGGTTCCATTTCTTTTTCTGCTCTTGTGTTGCTCGGCTTTCGCATTCCGCTCGACTGTTTTTTGCGGTTTCTTTGCGGGGGTGCACAATGGAGGGGTGGAGGGTGGCATCGTCTTGGGGGCCACGCTAATAAGATTCGCCAGTACCAGACCCAACCAGATCCCCCATCACGTGCTGCGTTCTTCCACGACCACTTGACCCGGTTTGATTTCCCGCCAACGTCGTCGTCGTCGTCACTCCTCCAATCCCGATTCCAGCCCAATTTATCTCGGTCCTTTTCGTTCTGTTCTGTTATATGTCGTATGTAGATTCTATATTCATGTTTGGTCAAGGAAATGAAAGTGACGATGGTGATGGAATGAGTGGCTAAGGAAAGGGTAAGTGTAAGGTCTTTAGAGTTTATTAGATCATATACCAATTTCCGAAATTTAAAGGATCTTACTTGATTTTTGAATATTATGGATTGCTCTCACTTTGTTATATGATTTTTTATGCTTTTTATTAGGGTAAATATTTTAAGCAACGAATTAATTTACATCGTCAGTAAATTATGATATATAATTTTTGTTTACATTTTTTTGTACTAGGGAATTTACTAGTCGAGTGCTCCACTAGCACATTCTTTCCACGCCTTTGCTAGCATTCCCAAATCCAATTAGCCGCAGTCTGCCTACCATCCCCTTTCTATATACTTACCACCTGGATGGGTCAAGTGGTCAAATGGTCACTGGTACTCGTGCACCTTCTGCACTGGATGGCCGCCAATGGAGACGGGGAACTTGAGGTGGATGTCCGGCATGCTGGAGTCGAAGAAGATGAGGTAGTACAGGGCCAGCACCATGCCCAGGCCACTGATCCCGCCCAGATACAGGAATATCGAGATCAGGCGGAAGGCCTTCGTTTCGAAGAAGGGCGAAGGAGGCTGCTCCTGGGGCAGGCGAACGTCGTCCTGCGAACCCTCCGACTTTTCACCCAAATTCAAAGCGGCTGAGGCCATAATTAAATGGCAACTGAACTCGATTCGATTGCCTTACGAACTATTTAAGGGAATCTTGATTTATTCCATAAACTCTAGGGCTTCGCATTAAATGACAGTGATTGACCTATCCGCTTTAATGGGTTGATTGAGAAAAAATACTATTCATAAAATCGAATCCACTGCCTCGATTATCAGCTACCAGTTACTCTGTATACCAAATTGAAAATAATTACTTTCTGTCTGATTTAGGAAAAATACAATTTTCGTAAATTTTAAATATGTTTTTCATAATTTTTTGAGAAAATTAAAAAAAATAAAATGTCCAGTTTTAAATGCAAATCGATTGAAAATTGAATAACGAGTTCAGAAAAGTATGACAATCCATATTTGGATCAGTATTTGCTTTGTTTTTGTTTTTTTTTGGAAATTCGCGATTTCAGTTTTTGACAAAAATTGGAATTTCAGTTTTTGACAAAAATTGGAATTTTTTCTTTTGGTTTTTTTGCTGTAACTTGGCCAAAAATCCTACTCCAAGTCCTACAATAAAGTCCTACACCAAAAATTCATACTGTTTTGAACAGATAACAAAATTTGCTATAAATCCATAAAACTTTCCGTGTAATTTTGGAAAAATAAAATTTTCGCCAATTTTTAATTATTTTATAAGGGGGTACCCCATGATTTTTTGCGAAAAATTAAAAATGAATAAATTGTCAAGGTTTAAATGCCAATCGTTAGGAAATTTAATAACGAGTTCAGAAAGGTATGACAATCCATACTTTGAATCAGTATTTGCTTTGTTATAGCGAAAAAACTGCAACGTTTTAGCGAAAAAACGGGTTTTGTTTTTTTTTTGGAAATTCGCGATTTCAGTTTTTGACAAAAATTGGAATTTTTTCTTTTGGTTTTTTTGCTGTAACTTGGCCAAAAATGGTCCTACACCAAAAATTCATACTGTTTTGAACAGATAACAAAATTTGCTATAAGTCCATAAAACTTTCCGTGTAATTTTGGAAAAATAAAATTTTCGCCAATTTTTAATTTTTTTATAAGGGGGTACCCCATGAATGAATGAATAAATGAATAAAAATGAATAAATTGTCAAGGTTTAAATGCCAATCGTTAGGAAATTTAATAACGAGTTCAGAAAGGTATGACAATCCATACTTTGAATCAGTATTTGCTTTGTTATAGCGAAAAAACTGCAACGTTTTAGCGAAAAAACGGGTTTGGTTTTTGTTTGGAAATTCGCGATTTCAGTTTTTGACAAAAATTGGAATTTTTTCTTTTGGTTTTTTTGCTGTAACTTGGCCAAAAATGGTCCTTCACCAAAAATTCATACTGTTTTGAACAGATATCAAAATTTGCTATAAATCCATAAAACTTTCCGTGTAATTTTGGAAAAATAAAATTTTCGCCAATTTTTAATTATTTTATAAGGGGGGTACCCCATGATTTTTTGCGAAAAATTAAAAATGAATAAATTGTCAAGGTTTAAATGCCAATCGTTAGGAAATTTAATAACGAGTTCAGAAAGGTATGACAATCCATACTTTGAATCAGTATTTGCTTTGTTATAGCGAAAAAACTGCAACGTTTTAGCGAAAAAACGGGTTTTGTTTTTTTTTGGAAATTCGCGATTTCAGTTTTTGACAAAAATTGGAATTTTTTCTTTTGGTTTTTTTGCTGTAACTTGGCCAAAAATGGTCCTACACCAAAAATTCATACTGTTTTGAACAGATAACAAAATCCATAAAACTTTCCGTGTAATTTTGGAAAAATAAAATTTTCGCCAATTTTTAATTATTTTATAAGGGCGTACCCCATGATTTTTTGCGAAAAATTAAAAATGAATAAATTGTCAAGGTTTAAATGCCAATCGTTAGGAAATTTAATAACGAGTTCAGAAAGGTATGACAATCCATACTTTGAATCAGTATTTGCTTTGTTATAGCAAAAAAACTGCAACGTTTTAGCGAAAAAACGGGTTTTGTTTTTTTTTGGAAATTCGCGATTTCAGTTTTTGACAAAAATTGGAATTTTTTCTTTTGGTTTTTTTGCTGTAACTTGGCCAAAAATGGTCCTTCACCAAAAATTCATACTGTTTTGAACAGATATCAAAATTTGCTATAAATCCATAAAACTTTCCGTGTAATTTTGGAAAAATAAAATTTTCGCCAATTTTTAATTATTTTATAAGGGGGTACCCCATGATTTTTTGCGAAAAATTAAAAATGAATAAATTGTCAAGGTTTAAATGCCAATCGTTAGGAAATTTAATAACGAGTTCAGAAAGGTATGACAATCCATACTTTGAATCAGTATTTGCTTTGTTATAGCGAAAAAACTGCAACGTTTTAGCGAAAAAACGGGTTTTGTTTTTTTTTGGAAATTCGCGATTTCAGTTTTTGACAAAAATTGGAATTTTTTCTTTTGGTTTTTTTGCTGTAACTTGGCCAAAAATGGTCCTACACAAAAAATTCATACTGTTTTGAACAGATAACAAAATCCATAAAACTTTCCGTGTAATTTTGGAAAAATAAAATTTTCGCCAATTTTTAATTATTTTATAAGGGCGTACCCCATGATTTTTTGCGAAAAATTAAAAATGAATAAATTGTCAAGGTTTAAATGCCAATCGTTAGGAAATTTAATAACGAGTTCAGAAAGGTATGACAATCCATACTTTGAATCAGTATTTGCTTTGTTATAGCAAAAAAACTGCAACGTTTTAGCGAAAAAACGGGTTTTGTTTTTTTTGGAAATTCGCGATTTCAGTTTTTGACAAAAATTGGAATTTTTTCTTTTGGTTTTTTTGCTGTACGTTGGCCAAAAATGGTCCTACACCAAAAATTCATACTGTTTTGAACAGATAACAAAATTTGCTATAAATCCATAAAACTTTCCGTGTAATTTTGGAAAAATAAAATTTTCGCCAATTTTTAATTATTTTATAAGGGGGTACCCCATGATTTTTTGCGAAAAATTAAAAATGAATAAATTGTCAAGGTTTAAATGCCAATCGTTAGGAAATTTAATAACGAGTTCAGAAAGGTATGACAATCCATACTTTGAATCAGTATTTGCTTTGTTATAGCGAAAAAACTGCAACGTTTTAGCGAAAAAACGGGTTTTGTTTTTTTTTTGGAAATTTGCGATTTCAGTTTTTGACAAAAATTGGAATTTTTTCTTTTGGTTTTTTTGCTGTAACTTGGCCAAAAATGGTCCTACACCAAAAATTCATACTGTTTTGAACAGATAACAAAATTTGCTATAAGTCCATAAAACTTTCCGTGTAATTTTGGAAAAATAAAATTTTCGCCAATTTTTAATTTTTTTATAAGGGGGTACCCCATGATTTTTTGCGAAAAATTAAAAATGAATAAATTGTCAAGGTTTATATGCCAATCGTTAGGAAATTTAATAACGAGTTCAGAAAGGTATGACAATCCATACTTTGAATCAGTATTTGCTTTGTTATAGCGAAAAAACTGCAACGTTTTAGCGAAAAAACGGGTTTTGTTTTTTTTGGAAATTCGCGATTTCAGTTTTTGACAAAAATTGGAATTTTTTCTTTTGGTTTTTTTGCTGTACGTTGGCCAAAAATGGTCCTACACCAAAAATTCATACTGTTTTGAACAGATAACAAAATTTGCTATAAATCCATAAAACTTTCCGTGTAATTTTGGAAAAATAAAATTTTCGCCAATTTTTAATTTTTTTATAAGGGGGTACCCCATGATTTTTTGCGAAAAATTAAAAATGAATAAATTGTCAAGGTTTAAATGCCAATCGTTAGGAAATTTAATAACGAGTTCAGAAAGGTATGACAATCCATACTTTGAATCAGTATTTGCTTTGTTATAGCAAAAAAACTGCAACGTTTTAGCGAAAAAACGGGTTTTGTTTTTTTTTGGAAATTCGCGATTTCAGTTTTTGACAAAAATTGGAATTTTTTCTTTTGGTTTTTTTGCTGTACGTTGGCCAAAAATGGTCCTACACCAAAAATTCATACTGTTTTGAACAGATAACAAAATTTGCTATAAATCCATAAAACTTTCCGTGTAATTTTGGAAAAATAAAATTTTCGCCAATTTTTAATTTTTTTATAAGGGGGTACCCCATGATTTTTTGCGAAAAATTAAAAATGAATAAATTGTCAAGGTTTAAATGCCAATCGTTAGGAAATTTAATAACGAGTTCAGAAAGGTATGACAATCCACACTTTGAATCAGTATTTGCTTTGTTATAGCAAAAAAACTGCAACGTTTTAGCGAAAAAACGGGTTTTGTTTTTTTTTGGAAATTCGCGATTTCAGTTTTTGACAAAAATTGGAATTTTTTCTTTTGGTTTTTTTGCTGTACGTTGGCCAAAAATGGTCCTACACCAAAAATTCATACTGTTTTGAACAGATAACAAAATTTGCTATAAGTCCATAAAACTTTCCGTGTAATTTTGGAAAAATAAAATTTTCGCCAATTTTTAATTTTTTTATAAGGGGGTACCCCATGATTTTTTGCGAAAAATTAAAAATGAATAAATTGTCAAGGTTTATATGCCAATCGTTAGGAAATTTAATAACGAGTTCAGAAAGGTATGACAATCCATACTTTGAATCAGTATTTGCTTTGTTATAGCGAAAAAACTGCAACGTTTTAGCGAAAAAACGGGTTTTGTTTTTTTTTGGAAATTCGCGATTTCAGTTTTTGACAAAAATTGGAATTTTTTCTTTTGGTTTTTTTGCTGTACGTTGGCCAAAAATGGTCCTACACCAAAAATTCATACTGTTTTGAACAGATAACAAAATTTGCTATAAATCCATAAAACTTTCCGTGTAATTTTGGAAAAATAAAATTTTCGCCAATTTTTAATTTTTTTATAAGGGGGGTACCCCATGATTTTTTGCGAAAAATTAAAAATGAATAAATTGTCAAGGTTTAAATGCCAATCGTTAGGAAATTTAATAACGAGTTCAGAAAGGTATGACAATCCATACTTTGAATCAGTATTTGCTTTGTTATAGCGAAAAAACTGCAACGTTTTAGCGAAAAAACGGGTTTTGTTTTTTTTTTGGAAATTTGCGATTTCAGTTTTTGACAAAAATTGGAATTTTTTCTTTTGGTTTTTTTGCTGTAACTTGGCCAAAAATGGTCCTACACCAAAAATTCATACTGTTTTGAACAGATATCAAAATTTGCTATAAATCCATAAAACTAATTATTTTATAAGGGGGTACCCCATGATATTTTGCGAAAAATTAAAAATGAATAAATTGTCAAGGTTTAAATGCCAATCGTTAGGAAATTTAATAACGAGTTCAGAAAGGTATGACAATCCATACTTTGAATCAGTATTTGCTTTGTTATAGCGAAAAAACTGCAACGTTTTAGCGAAAAAACGGGTTTTGTTTTTTTTTTGAAATTTGCGATTTCAGTTTTTGACAAAAATTGGAATTTTTTCTTTTGGTTTTTTTGCTGTAACTTGGCCAAAAATGGTCCTACACCAAAAATTCATACTGTTATGAACAGATATCAAAATTTGCTATAAATCCATAAAACTAATTATTTTATAAGGGGGTACCCCATGATATTTTGCGAAAAATTAAAAATGAATAAATTGTCAAGGTTTAAATGCCAATCGTTAGGAAATTTAATAACGAGTTCAGAAAGGTATGACAATCCATACTTTGAATCAGTATTTGCTTTGTTATAGCGAAAAAACTGCAACGTTTTAGCGAAAAAACGGGTTTTGTTTTTTTTTTGAAATTCGCGATTTCAGTTTTTGACAAAAATTGGAATTTTTTCTTTTGGTTTTTTTGCTGTAACTTGGCCAAAAATGGTCCTACACCAAAAATTCATACTGTTTTGAACAGATAACAAAATTTGCTATAAATCCATAAAACTTTCCGTGTAATTTTGGAAAAATAAAATTTTCGCCAATTTTTAATTATTTTATAAGGGGGTACCCCATGACTTTTTGCGAAAAATTAAAAATGAATAAATTGTCAAGGTTTAAATGCCAATCGTTAGGAAATTTAATAACGAGTTCAGAAAGGTATGACAATCCATACTTTGAATCAGTATTTGCTTTGTTATAGCGAAAAAACTGCAACGTTTTAGCGAAAAAACGGGTTTTGTTTTTTTTTTGGAAATTCGCGATTTCAGTTTTTGACAAAAATTGGAATTTTTTTCTTTTGGTTTTTTTGCTGTAACTTGGCCAAAAATGGTCCTACACCAAAAATTCATACTGTTTTGAACAGATAACAAAATTTGCTATAAGTCCATAAAACTTTCCGTGTAATTTTGGAAAAATAAAATTTTCGCCAATTTTTAATTTTTTTATAAGGGGGTACCCCATGATTTTTTGCGAAAAATTAAAAATGAATAAATTGTCAAGGTTTATATGCCAATCGTTAGGAAATTTAATAACGAGTTCAGAAAGGTATGACAATCCATACTTTGAATCAGTATTTGCTTTGTTATAGCGAAAAAACTGCAACGTTTTAGCGAAAAAACGGGTTTTGTTTTTTTTTGGAAATTCGCGATTTCAGTTTTTGACAAAAATTGGAATTTTTTCTTTTGGTTTTTTTGCTGTACGTTGGCCAAAAATGGTCCTACACCAAAAATTCATACTGTTTTGAACAGATAACAAAATTTGCTATAAATCCATAAAACTTTCCGTGTAATTTTGGAAAAATAAAATTTTCGCCAATTTTTAATTATTTTATAAGGGGGTACCCCATGATTTTTTGCAAAAAATTAAAAATGAATAAATTGTCAAGGTTTAAATGCCAATCGTTAGGAAATTTAATAACGAGTTCAGAAAGGTATGACAATCCATACTTTGCATCAGTATTTGCTTTGTTTTAGCGAAAAACCTGTGAAAATAATGATTTTTGCTAAAAACATGAATTTTTCGCCTTTCTAAATAGCCATCGCTGGGGAACGCGAGGAGAAGCTCTCGGAGAAGCCGCGGCCCCACACCTTTGAGGAGGCCATCACGCTGACGGGAGTGGGCCGCTTCCACTACCAGCTGCTGCTCATCTGCGGCCTCTGTTTCATGGCCGTGATGGTGGAGATAATGGGCGTCAGCCTAATCATGAACCAGATGAAGTGCGACCTCCAGCCGACGCTCGATGAGCAGGGCATCCTGGCGTCGGCCGGCTTCCTGGGCGTCGTCCTGAGCTCCCATGCCATGGGTTTCCTGGCGGACACCTGGGGCCGGGCCACCACCCTCAAGTACGCCCTGTGCCTCAGCTCCGTGTGCTCGATCGTCTCCGGCTTCTCGGTGAACATCTGGATGCTGATTGTCTTCCGCTTCCTCACGGGCTTCTTCATTTCCGGCGGCCAGGCGTGCGTCTTCAGCCTGTGCGGCGAGTTCCATGGCAATGGCTCGAGGGTTCGGCACGTGACGCTGCTCTCCGGCTTCCTCTGCATGGCCATGATCTTTGCTCCAGGTGAGTAAATATATATATTTTTATACATATATTTTTATACCCTTGCAGAGGGTATTATGATTTCAGTCAGAAGTTTGCAACGCAGTGAAGGAGACGTTTCCGACCCCATAAAGTATATATATTCTTGATCAGCATCACAAGACGAGTCGATCTAGCCATGTCCGTCTGTCCGTCTGTCCGTCTGTCCGTCTGTCCGTCTGTCCGTCTGTCCGTCTGTCCGTCTGTCTGTTTCTACGCAAACTAGTCTCTCAGTTTTTGAGCTATCGGGACAAAACTTTCGCAAAAGTCTTCTTTCTATTGCAGGTAGTATATATGTCGGAGCCGACCGGATCGGACAACTATATCTTATAGCTCCCATAGGAACAATCGGAAAAAAAAACTTTAAAAAATTCTAGCTTCGGTGTTTTTTGAAATATTACCTTCTACTTTTGGGGATGTTATTTTTTAAATATTTCTGAATTTCGAATAAATTTTTTAAAAAATCGGACTACTATATCATATAGCTGCCATAGGAACGATCGGAAAATTAATGGAAAAGTAATAGGAAATAAATTCAAGCTTCTTTGGTTTTTATTGTATTATCTTCTACTCTAGGATATGACTCTTTTTAAATATTTCCGAATTTCAATTTTAATTTAATCAAAATCGGACGACTATATCATATAGCTGCCATAGGAACGCTCGGAAAATTAATGGAAAAGTAATAGGAAATAAATTCTAGCTTCTTTGGTTTTTATTGTATTATCTTCTACTCTAGGATATGACTCTTTTTAAATATTTCCGAATTTCAATTTTAATTTGATCAAAATCGGACGACTATATCATATAGCTGCCATAGGAACGATCGGAAAATTAATGAGAAATATTAGAAAATTGAACATTTTTGCGATTTGTTAATTAATAGGAATGATCTGCAAGGGTATATAAGCTTCGGCTGGCCGAAGCTAGCTTCCTTTCTTGTTTTCAAATATTTTTTGCAGCCATGGCAATTGGCATTTTGCCCCTGCGCATCGAGACCATTGTGCTGGGCATGCGCTTCTCGTCCTGGCGCGTTTTGCTCCTGGCCAACGTCTCGGTTTCGCTGCTGGCCCTCGTGGGGATCAGCACTCTGCCCGAGACACCCAAGTATCTGCTGGTCCAGGGACGTGGCGATCAGTCGCTGGACATCCTGCGCACCATCTTTGCCAAGAATTCCGGCAGAAGTGCCTCGGAATATCCGGTTAAGGAGGTGGCTCTGGAGAGCGGAGGCGCCAGTTTGTCCGATGTGCATGGCTTCGTGGATGCAGTGCGTCTCGTCTGGCACCAGACAGTGCCGCTCTTCCACCGCGAGCGACTGTGGCACACGCTGAACATCTGCAGCATCCAGTTCCTCATCTACTTCCTGGCCCAGGGCATCTTCATGTGGTTCCCCACCATCCTGGATGAGCTGGGCACACGCAATGGCGAGGACATACTGCTCTGCACTGTCCTCCAGGACTTCAATGTGGATCTGGGGGGCTCGCAGGAGGAAGCGGCAGCAAGCTGCTCCGTGGCTGTGGACACCTCCACGTACCAGGTGATGATCATCATTGGAGCCTGCTTTGTGATGATTTATCTGCTCTTTGCCTACATCATCGATTATATAGGCAAGAAGAATCTGCTGAGTAAGTAGCCATTTTCATCTTTAATATCGCTTTATATTCAAAAACTAAATTGAGGGAAATTTCGCCTTGATTTCAAGAACATTTCTTTTTGAATTTTCCAATTGAGAACATTTGATCTTGGCTTTGTTTTTGCTCTCAATTTGTTTATTGTTCTTTTCTGAGTATAGCCTCTTCATTTCAGTGGCCTGGATGGTACTGACCATGATTTGCCTGGTGGCCCTGCACTATGTGGAGCAGTTCGCCCTGGTGGTGGTCGCCCTGACCGTTGTGATGGCCATTGGCAATTGCGGCGGTCTGGTCAGCACCATTGCCATGGAGTTCTATCCGACGCACATCAATGCCATGGGCATGTGCTTCATCATGATGGTGGGTCGCTTGGGCGCCGTCGTGGGCAGCAATCTCCTCGGGCGCCTGCTCTTCGCCAGCTGCGATCCCATCTTCTGGGCCCTTCTGGCTCTCGTGGTGCTCCTCTGCTCCCTGGGCTACTTCCTGCCGGAGAAACCGCCCGCCAAACGGACGAAGGAGCCATCGGCCACAGCGAAGGCAATCGTGGCTGCCACCACGAGTCCCATATTCGCTATTAACTCCAAGTAGGATTAGCTTAAGCCATTAACTGTAGCTCGATTTTTCGATTCGATTGTTTCCCACTAATTTTATTAGCAGCTTACAGTTTATGCCTGTAGATATTAGAAATACTTTTGTTATTGCATTTTTTTTGTAAATTTAGGTATGTAATATTCTCAACGGATTTTAAAAAAGTAATAAGATTGCTTTCTTCTTTGGGATTGTGATGTTATAAGAAATGATTTAATAAAATATCCCTTAAATGAAAAGCTCAAAAAGCTCATGTATTAAATAAAGTGTTACTTTTCAAGTGTCCTTGGTAAAAGTTAATATTTTAATACTTCTTTCAACCATAGATGTTTGTATATTTATGAGTGGTGAAGCAGGAAAAACAAACCCATCCGAGTTACACCCAAATGGGTAAGGAATCGAGAACGGGAACGAGAGCAGCCGCCTTGGAAATGGGAAATGGATTAGGTAAATGTTTGTGCCCATTCCTCCGCCAGTGGCGATGGATGTTGTCACCGAGGCAACAGGCACAAGTAGAAGTAGCTGCATTAACATTCCACGCATTCGTCGCTGGGCGGAGGGGGTGGTGCCAGGGGCAGGGGGGTGGGTTGTAGTTGGCCGAGGAGGGGTTAGGAGGTTCAGAGGGTCGGGGGATACTAAACGCATTCCAAGTGCCGTCGCATCACCAACTTCAACTGCTACTCAAGGTAGAGGGTATTCCTGGAGTTCGTGGGGTACATTAGTGACTTGTCCGTGGGAACATTCTTCCATTTCGATTAATAGTGAACTAATTTCAAACTGAGAGTGACTTAATTTAGTTAGATAAAGTTTGTGGGGTGTGGAATAAAAATATGTTATGCCTTTCAATAGTTGTAAAACCTTCATTTTTCAGGATTGTCCGTTAAGTTGTCCGCTCAAGAGAATATTTCGAACTATTTTGTCTTATCTCTTATATATTTATTTTTACAGGGTAAAAAATAGTCGAGTTCTCCCATCGAGTTCTAGCCCACTTGTTGGCCAGTGTTTTTGTGCGTCTTTTTATTTTGTTTGTATTTATTCAGCAAAACGGTATTTGCTCCGCCGGCTGGTCACAGTCTGCGCCTGCGTCTGTGGCGGCACCTCCAACCCGCCGATCAGGTAGGAAATGGGCAACCGAGCAAGTGAACAGGTAACCAGGTAAGCAGCCAAAGAGTCAAGCAAGCTGGCCAAGCAACAAACCGTTGCCAATCATAACACACACGTTGCCACAAAGCAACCGAGCTAGAGACACTGAGACACTGAGACAGTGTCATTGCGGATTCCTAACGCCGATTCCAACTGCAAGTCGGACTCCAAGTCCAATTGCGATTACCTCCGCCACGATCCCTGGGCCCAAGAAACGATCGCCGGATTGCCGGATCGCCGTCCATTGATTGCCTAACTGCGCATTTCTCGACTTATATGGCATTGGCCAGATAACCACCTAACAACTGCTAGTCTCCAGTGTCCAGTCTTCAGTTCTCAGTTCTCTAGTTCTTCAGTCTCTGTTTCGGCCTCGGTGTCCACCGTCTGAGTGTCAGTCTCGTCTTCGTTCTGGTCCCAATGCCAGTTCCATTAGCCAACGGCATTGCCATTGCCATCTCGACATCACCGATGAGCCATCTGTGGGGGCTGGCTGGGAATCCAGTCCAGAGTCCACAGGCCAGCCAACCCACATCAACATTGGCTACCGCCCAACTATGGAGGCGGCTCGGGGTCACCAGATCTCGATTTGCATGCTGACAAATTAACCAATGTTGATTGGCTGAACGGTTTTCGATAGCCCTTCAACTTGTGGGATAATATTATCCTGTATTACCTTATTTAACAGAAATTAATTTAAATTCGGGGTCACCAGCTCGCTTTATACCTGGTAACTAGTAATATAATAAGCCATGTAGAATAGCTATGATCCTAACCAGCTCTCATAAAAATGTTTACCTTGCAAAGGATCACTTGGCTCTAATTAAACTTTAATGCACTCTTCTCGATTCGGGGTCACCAGCAAAGCCGGGTGACAAATGAGCCGAAGAAACGCATGCGTTGACAGGCGACCATCCATCTTGATGGGGCCCAGGCCCATCGACCGGCCCACTAACCCATAATGCCGGCAAATTAGCATCGACATTAGCTCGGTGGCGGAATCGCCTCCTCCGGCCACAAAAGCCAGTGGTAATAACAACGAACACTTGCCACGATGGCTGCTAATGTCGGTAGTAATGGCGATGACAATGGAAGAGTCTGTCTGCGGAGACAGCTTCATTTGCTTCTGGGTCACGATGCTCGCCGGGTGTCGAATGACTAGGGCCATAATTCGAGTCTCGGGTGCTGGGCACAAGTCAATCGACCAGGTGGGCCAACTGGGCGACAACGTGCCGTGAAACAGAAACGCAGATAAACGTCGCAAACGCCCAAATGGAGCAGCATCTGACGGCGAATGACAAAAATAGTTAAATAGCCGACTTAGCCAAATTGGCACTCGGCGACCAAGGAGGCAAAGATTGTGGAAAGAATATAGTAAAGTATATTGAAAGAAACTCAACCATATTATACATTTATTACCTATCATATTCATTTAATTAAAATAGTTAATAATCTTCAATTGACAATTTTTCAAAGTATTAAAAAAAAAACGTATTTTTAAAAATGAAATATATTAGTAAATAAAAATATTAAAATGTAAGATTGTGTTTATAAAGTGATTCTTTCCGGGAAGAATTACTCATTCTTCTCAGTGTCTCCAAAGACAGCGGCAATAAGAAGCACAGCCGGAGAAGAGATGGATTTGGAGACAGCGTTAGAAGTGCGTTGAGGAATTACAATGATGATAGCAAAAGGAGCAGGCTAGGGGGCTTCGGACCAGGTGAGGGGGCGGAGGAGGCGCGGGGCGGACAAAGTGTGCCGATGCCTGTCTTAGAAACTGGCGATGGCGATAGTTAACACGCCAAGTGGGAAGAAAGAACGAGCGACTGAGACGAAGACAGAGAAGGAGATGGAGATGGAGACAGACGCCAAATTCAAAAGTGGACTGCGCATGCGTGGAATGGGAATGAGAACGAGAACGCGAATGGAGAATCAGAGAATCGGGGAATCGGAGAATCGCAGTTGAAGTAGTTGGAACAGATACAACATTGTTGCTCTGGCTAATGGATGCTTTATATAGAAATACTCTATTTCCAATTTGTATCTGAAAAGAAATGCTAAAATATAAATAAGTATTGAAACATTAAAAAGGTTTTTAGAAAAGTATAAACAAATATTAAGAACAAGTGCGGTTCTAAAATACTTGTATTGTATTGTACAAAAGTGGGACAATATAGGAAAAGTAGAATCGTACGAGAACAAAGGTATTGCTGTATTGTTGGAGCGGCCAGGAGGACGCCCGCCAAGTCAAACGTTATTTAATCACAATCGCAATGGCCTCAGTGCAAACAAGCACACCAAGTCTGCTCTGGGAGAAGCAGCAACGACAGGTGCTGCTGCTGCAGCGGTACAGAATCCCGAGGAATGCATCAAGGCACAAGCAAAAAAAGAAACACCAGTCCAAAAGCTCTAGGCTCGTATTACAAACTAGAAAATACCCATCACTACTGCTTTTGTATTTAAATTTGGCATATAGATTACAAATCTGATAATTCGTGGTGTAATGTCTAAATTACCATAATACCTATTTATTTAGGATTATACGAGGGTTATTATAAAATCAAAAAAGTATGCTGTAAAATTTTAACACATGAAACTATAACCATTCTTCTGTGATTCTTCCCCTTTCTTCGGCTGCAGATATCATACTCCAGGTACTGCAGACACTAGAGGGTATTAAATAAAAACCCGATGTGGCAGCCGAGACCGCGGAAGAGGCAGTCGCAGTGGCGTGTGGAGTGGAGTATGCAGGCGCGACGGCCAATCAATTCTCAGAAATGAAAACGCCGTCTTCGGTGGGTATTACCGTTGCTGTTGTTCTGCTTCTGCCGGCTCTTCTGATTCTTCTGCTGGCTCTTCTCATTTCTCCGCCTTGTTGTTGGCACAATTGTGCGATGCAACACAGCAACACAGGCACATAAACAGAAAAGAATGCGAAGAAATGCAAAATGCAAACACCACGAACCACAACACAACCACTTTCCAAATGCATTCATGATGTTTACCGTTTAAATGCGCCCAGTCTACAAAGAGAGAGAAAGAGAGATGAAGAGAAAGAGAGGAGCAGCCTCTCAAACACTAACAACAAATGAGGAGAAAAGCAGCTGCCAAGTAGTAGTGGTAGTAGAAGTGGCAGAAGAAGGAGGAGGAGGGCCAGCATGGAAACCGTTGCACATTCTACATGTGTGTGCGTGTGCGATGGCAAGCTTGCCAATTCCGATGTGTGCGAAGGAGACGGAAGAAGCGAGCGATCGCGAGAGGAAACGGAATTTTTTTTTGTTTATTGCTCAAATCAGCTTTGATCAACTTCTGTTCCCATCTTGATTAGTTGTCAACGACGGGCGAAAACTGTTTAACCGTTATGAGCCGGCAGATCGGTTCCCAGCCCCAAAAAAGCCAGCCAGATGAATTATTCACCCAGCCCACCTGAAAAGCTGGCTACATCTTTTGCAATTTTGCAATTTGGGGAATGGATATTGCATTGGCCACAAGCTCTTCATTACAAAAACATCATATTTTAAGTCAGTTTTCTTTTATTTTAGATTGAAATACTTTAACATCTTAAAAGCACAGATTAAATACCTAAGCTTAAATTTGTTTCTTACTAGTTCCAAATTTTAGTAACACCATAAATGTTTATCTTTTTAAGATTAAAGAGAATCGAATAGGGTATCCATCGGCTTGCCAGTTTCGGGCACTCGAAATGATCGCGCTGAAAGTTCAAGTTCAAGTGCGACGTCGTTCGGTTGGCGGTGTTGCCATCATCATTTCCATGGATCAATTCTTCGGCAGGAGAATTGAAATCTCCCGATCCCGATCTCCTGCCGATTGAGGGGGCGTCCGAATGCATTTTTATTGGACTGTCTAATTGGCAGGCGATTCTATGTCATTAGGCCGCTTGATTAGCGGCGCCGCAGCAGCGCCACAAACAACAACAAGTTCTGGCTTTCTGGCCGAGCTGTGCTCATTTGCGCAGCTGCCAACGCAGGTGTAAAAAGCTCGTCGCGCAGTCGCAGTTGGCGCGGGCAGAGCTTTTACCTGTGTGTGTGTGTGTGTGTCTTCGCCTGCTTCTTTCTCTCCCTCTCTCTTCTTGCTGCTGTTGCTTCTTCTGCTTCTTCTTGCTGCTGCGGCTGCTGCTGCTGCTTCTTCTGCTTCTTCTTGCTGCTGCTGTTCCCGACAGTTACATTACGAGGCCAAAGAAAGTATCGCCTGGCTGGCTCGCGTATTTCGCGTTCGTCGCTCGCCGAGTCCACACGTGCTGCTGCTCCCGGTCGTGATCCGATCCGTGATCGTGATCCGTGATCCCCGATCCCCAGTGTGCCTGCCAAACACATAAAAAAAAAAAGAAAAGAATTTAATATACAAATTTCCAAATAAATATATCAGAATAAGAAAAACATCCAAAGTGCCGACCAGTGTTAGTGCATATTCTTTTTTTTATTGTTGTTGTTATTGTCGCTGCCTGTTACCGTTACCTTGCCTAAGAGCAAGACACCAAGAAAGAGAAAGAACGAGAAGAGAGTAGAGAAGACACGTTCCCGTGAAGTGAGTGTTTCTTCCACCAAAAAACAACAAATTGATTTGGTTTTTTGTTCTTTTTTTTTTTTATTTTCAATTTTGAATTGCGTGAAACATCCCGGATTTGCCATTCTTCCAGAATCTTGTCATCTTTCTTCTACCAAATATCCAGTCTTTGTTCTCCTCCTTCTTCTCCTGCTTCCAACGAAGACTTTACCATAGCTGTGTGAAATATTCAGGATTTGCCATTTTAGCCAGCACCTTAATCTCTTCCCTCTTCCAGTCGGAGCCAATCGCATTTTGAGCTCTGTGAAACATCCAATCTTTGCCTTGCCAGCATCTCCTGCCTCGTCTTCTTGCGCTCGCCAGTGGAGCCGATTAACCAGCTAGACAGCAAATGCAGCCGAGCATTTCATGCTTTCTAATTTTCCCAATTAGCACAAATGCGGCTGGCTTGTTGCCTCCGCTACTTGCTTCTTGCTTCTTGCTTCTCGAGCGCACCTCTTCTTCTTTAACTGAATTCTTCTGCAGAGCGTCTTCTCAGCCTGGCCAGAATCGAAATCAAAATCAAAGGTGTTGCATGCACTGCCTTCTGGCGGCTGACGGCTGATGGCTGGTGGCTGGCACTTTCCAAAGTTTTTCCCGTGTAGAAAATATAACAATCATACATAATAATAATCATAACAATCACACGTACCGCTGTATAGAGAGAGCCACAAAAAGTGGCAACGTCATCTGGCGGATCATATTCCCAGACGCCCCAACAGGTGCACTATTTATTGACCGACCCCCTGAAGCCCCCTCCCATTCAACTCGCATACACCTGTCAAATGGCAACTAATCATCAATCAGTCGCCATGAGCACGGACTTCTCTCGGCCTGCGACTCGAACCCAAACTCAAACCCAAACCGATGATGATTCTTCTTTATTTGCGTTACGTGTTAGGCGGTCCGGTTCAGTTCGGTCCAGTCCGTTCTGTTCCGATTTCACTTCTGTCCTCCTCAGCTCTGTACATATTTATACCTCACTCTTTTTTTTGTTTTTTTGTGCGCCCCATTCACTCACATTTTAATGCATTTGCCAAACGCAGAGCCGGGATTTCACAAAAGCACGGAAATACAAGGAGTCCACTGCAGCCGCAATAGATCACGTATCCAAGACAGCTGTGTCTTGACCATCGGAAAGATTACTCTTTATCGGTAAGTTGGATGTATTTCTAGGCCAAGTAGTAGTTAAGATCGTATAAGTTTAAGAACTGATTATATTGGTAGTACAGACCATTTGGATAGTTAAGATAGTATAGTATAGATGTTGGATACCAATCAGATCTTGGTCTTAAGATGAACCCTTCTTATTTTTAAAACAGTCCAATTAAGATCTCAGCTCAGCGAAGGATTGCAAAGACCCCCAGCCCACCTGACTTATCGACTTATTAATTAAACCATCCAGATGATGGTCGATACAAGGCAGACACATAGCACGGGGATAAGAGCCCCGAAAACGGGTTTATTAACATACTGTTTTGCCACCTCTCCTGACCACATTCCCACCATTAAGACGTGTGGCAAGGCAAGTTCTGTTCCGTTCTGTTTGCAGATTAAATGTTATGACAACTTTCGTCAACGCACTTGGTTCATTAGTCTGCCAATGTCCGAGGAGAACAGACACAGATACAGATACAGAAAGAGATACAGATACAGATAAATAGAACAGATCTGCGCACAGATACAAGAAGTGAGCGGTGCTAATGCATTTGATCCGTTTTGGAGCGCATTAAATGCACCGTTAACTACTTCGAATTCTAATTAAGCTGATGCGACAATCCAAAGCACGCCGCTGTGGCACAATAAACTCAATTCCAGGAGGCCAGATTGGCAGTGGCAGTGGCAGTGGCAAACAAACACGCGACTTGGCCATAAATGCAATGCGGTATTGGCATCGCTATTGGTATCAGACAACGGCAACTACTATTCCACTATCTCTTTGTTTGGCCTCAAATGATTTGCTTTAGCCATTATTGGTGGGACCCTAAGCCGATCTTTACCTTCTTCCTTCCTCCGAAGACTCTTTCATTGTTTCGAATCGACTCTCGATGACGCATAATTTACGATCGACCCAGTAAATTCTATTCCCAGTGCTGCCTATCCACATTTGCGGATATATCTCGGAGAGTACAGTAAATACAGCTACAGATACAGATACCAAGACGTGTACAATATGCAGATGCGGATACAAGATAAAGCCCCGTCGACAAGTCTTCTCTTTCACAGAATGTTAATTTCTATTCAGCCATCATCAAAGATCTTCGGACACTGGTCAACTTGTAGATGCTTATGGGAGGGGGTTCGATGTCGGCGTCTCGTCGTCTAACTGTTCTTCGCCTTTCTACAAACATTCCATAATGAAATGGAAACTTTTCGTGGCACATTTCGGCCTTTAGTGCATCTTTGCCCCAACCAACCGGAGTTTGGGCTACGAAAAAGTGAGAGTACTGTTTGACCCAATCGTCAAGTTGAGATCTCTTCGAAAACTTTGGAATGTGCGGTGAAGCTGTTCTTGAGATGAAAGATATGCTAAGAACTTGTAAATAAAAGTTTATTTTGAGGTCTGTAGTACTTTAATCTTGAGTACCATAATTGGAACTTGTAATTGTACCTTGAAAGTATATTTTGTTCTATCCTAAACATTGTAAAAGATAGTTTTTCAATAAAGTTTAGGGTTTGTATAGCATTAATGAATATGGCATGTGTAGTTAGCTTTTATAACTGTAACAAATTAAAATGGGTAACAAATTTAGGACTCAAACTTAGGGCTTTCTAGCTTAAAGCCTTAAAGCCAACGCCACAAGAGTCTGTAACTTAAAGCCCCAAAGTCTTCTTCTCACCAAGAGTGGCCAAGTGACCCGGGGGCATAGCATTTCGAGCATCTCTTGAACATAAACAAGCCCAATAAAGTTGTTAAGTTTTCGTTGGCTCGACTTGGTCTGTGCATCCGATGATAAGCAGCTGGCAGCGAGACAACATCTCCATTCGGCATTCAACATCCAGCATTATCCATTCCCGAATCCAACCCAGCATTGTTTGCACTTGACTCTGGTGGGAGTGGATGGTAAAAAGAGGATGGTGGATGGAGGATGAGGCTCTCAGTTGGCAGTTGTCATGTTGACAACAGACTGCCAAACAAAAGCTTCGCTACAGCGGCTTTTTCGGTCTATGCAGTGGGCTATATGATTCCCAGGCTCTGCGCTGGCCCAAATTTGAATGGAAGGAGGTTCGGAATGGAGTCAGGGGCCATTTGACACGTTCTCGGTCTTTGCCAGCGCCATTTGAAGCTACAGCTACAATGGCTGTTGACAACTGCTGCGCTGCAAGTGCTGCAACTGGGAAACGATGTCATCTTTACTGCCACTCAGCCGCTCACTCCTTACTCAGCCCCACTTCGTCGCTGCATGAGATTTAGTGGCAAATTGTTGCCTCCTCCTTGTGCTGCAGTGGCTGCAAATTTAATATTCTGAGGCTATTAAGTCGCGCCACTGGGACAACCAGACTGTTCACAGCTTGTTGCTAAATTTTCGAAGTTCGCTAATGGATCTATGCATCTCGGCTGGTTGGTTGGCTGGTTGGCTGGAAATTTTAATTGCTGCGCCGGTTCGTACCAGGCTAATTACACCGAATAAAATTGCATTTGGCGATTGTCCGCAGAATGCGCCCCCGAAATACAAAAAAAAAAAAAAAATAGTAGCAACGAAACAAAACAAAACGCTGGCCAAAAGTGGACAAACTTGCTCCAAAAAGGTGGCTAACTTGGTTGGTTTGCTGGAACCAGTTTAATTAAAAGAAAGTGAACCATTTAAAAATGTATTTTGATTTCGGCTTTGCTTTTCCCATAGCCAAAGCATCATTATCATTATCGTGATTATTGCGCTTTTCACTGGATCGGAGCTCGAACAGTAGCTAAAAATACGAGTATATTGTATATCTCATCAAAAAAAGCACAAAAAAAAACCAAAGAAAATATATATAGACAGAAATGAAGCATGGGCAGGTGATTTACCGTTTGCTTTTTGCACAGACCGTTATTCGATTCGAAAGTGGTCGGCGCCATCGGCATTTCCAACTCGGATCCAACTCCACATTTCCATTTCCACTTCCATTTCCACTGGCATTTCCATTTCCACAAGAAAAGTGAAAAGCATCGCAGCCGTAAAACCGTAAGCAAAGTTCGGCATTGATCGCCTTTTGATGCGACAATTTCTTTTCGATTTCGTTTTGATTCGCTTTTGATTCGATTCGTTTTGAGTTGATTCGAATCGATTTGGATGCATAGTTAATGAGTCAATGAATGGATTTGATTCTTTTTTCGGGTATACGGTTAATGATTTGTAGTTTATACTTTATAGGGGAGAGAGGAGGGAAGGAGGGCCTGTCTTGCGGAGCGTGTCGAGTTAACTTCTACTTTTCCGCTCTTCCGCTCTTCTTTTTCCCGCCGCTGCAAGTGCGGTACTGTTAATTGCAGCGCCAGAAGGAGAAGAAGAAGCAGCAGCATCGGCGGCGTCATTAATTAAGCGCCACTAGAGCGTGCAACACGCGGCCAAAGAGCTCCGTCGCACTTTCTTTGGCTTAGTTAGTTAGTTAGTCAGTCAGTCGGAGGCCAACTGTCGCCGTCTCCAAGCAAATCCCAGCGATGGGAAAGGTGCTACTTTTCTCTGCCAGGTACGAGTATACATATGCCGAAAATATATAGAGATATATATCAAAAGGAAGGCCCAGTTGAGATAAAGTTAACTTAATGCAAAAGGGGGTTAGATTAAAGTTTACTCCAAAAAACATTTCGATTTTCTTTAGGCAATAACAGATAAATAAATAAATTAATGGGGCTATAAAAACAAAACTTTAATAGTTATTTGTAATTCTTAATTGCCTATGTTTGGTAAATGGTACTTGGAATAAATAAATATAGTAAGCTTTATGTTGAGGTCTTGAGAAAGATACAAGAAATACTATTAAAAGTTTAAGCTAATTGCGGTAATTACAGATACTTTAACTTGTACGAGTGTTCTTAAATCGAAATAGAAAAAGAAACTTTAAATTCTTTATAACCCAAGTTCGCTTGGGAGATAAATCTTAGCCAAAACCTAGTTGGGAAATTTATTACTACTTAAAAAAAGTACTGTAAATCAACCCGAAGATAGATGGTTATGCGAACCATCAAGATACCACCCATCACCCATCACCCATCAGTGCCCCCGGGGCAAGCTCCTAATTGGACGCCCTCTGTCGGCGCACATGCAAATCAGCACCTGACTTACAGTTAGTCTAGCCGCAGTCTAGATCTGCTTACATATCAATTTCGGGCTCGTATCCAACCAGTTTTCACTCTTAACTCGCTAGATCAGAGACCAAAAAAGGCGAAAAAAGTGAACAAGAGAAATTAATTGCCTCCGAATTAAAGACAAATAAGCATATCGGCTGTTTACCGTTTACCGTTGCGTCTTGTCCATTTTTAGTTTCTTAGTTTTTTTCTTCGCATTTACAGTTCTGCGAGAGATTCTCCACTGACCGCATTTTTTCGCTCCATTCGGAGGCTTGTCCATCATCTTTTCGTGCATTCGAATCTCACATCTCAAATCACGAATCTCGAATCTTGAATCCACAAATTCGAATTCGCTTTGTTTCCGATTTCATTTTCACCTGTTTTATGGCCGCGCACCTGGGTAAAAGTGGGCATACAAATCGGACAATGAAAAGGAGACAAGAAATGAGATTTTATTATTATTGCTCTATGGCACAGAGCACTGTGGGCTTGACCGACTGGCTAACTGACTAACTGATTGATTGATTGATTGCCGGCGTCTCTTTAATTGCTGGTCGATCTGGGGAACAGGGAAAGTGCCCGTGCCGACCGACGAAAAGCAGCAGCCAACGCACAATCGACCGGGTAAATATTTATCCCATTTATTCGGACTCGAGTGCGAAAGAATTGAACAAATTGGAAAGTTTACAGTGAAATTGCTTGGTTCTGATTTGCTATTTTTATCCCTGGCTTTTAAGAATCTTCACTTGAAAAACTGCTTACAAGACGTTTTAACACTAATTAATGATCTATTTAAAGAAGGATTTACAAATAATAATTTACTCTATAAAGCAAGGTACTTACTTATATATTTATCTATATCTAGAATTCCATCTCTTTGCTTTTGATCTCTCAATTAATTAGAAAATCGATGAATTTGGTCACACCGATTTTCCCCCGATGACTCACGATCAGTAGAGTTGCCTCCATCTTCATCTTCACCTCCACCTCTGCCACCCATTTCCACCTCCACCTCCATTTCCATCGACATCGATCTCAGGCACCTCAATTTGCAACGTTGAATTGGCGCCCCCGGGGGGTCCCGTGATCGAATGGATCAGAGTCGATGTTTCGATGTTTCGATGGCGATCGGCAGGTTCCTTGGGTCCAAGTTCGGGTTCGAGGATCAGGTCCAGGGAAATTGGCCGCCCGGCCGTTTATTAAATTTCAATTTGTTTATGGCTTCTTTTCGTGGTCGCCTCACATTTGCGGCCATTTCACGTAGTCGGGCAATTTTCGTCCGATCTTTTGGTCCATTGGTCCACTGGTCCACTGGCCGGGGGGCGTCAGGTTAAGTGCGATCTGGCCCCAGATACGAGCAGCGCGCTAATGACGAGCATCGACATCTTTATTACCCCAACGGGCCTCGACGTTCGACGAGAGCCCAAAAAAATCAAAAAAATCATACCTACATGTACTGGCCACAACGAGCGAGGGTAAGAGCCTTTAACAATTGATATTTAACATACGAATTGGTCGGAGGACGACAACGATGATGATGATGACGATGTGACCGCGCCCACTCTGTGTTCTTGTGCCGCCCCTACACCAAAAAAAAAAAAACAGGGGTAGCTATTAGGGAGAGGGGGATGCCCAGAAGAAAGGAAAGGAATTTGGGTTAAGAATTCGCTGGGAAGAGTTCCCGCAACTACATAGGCTGTATAATAAAGTCATGTGGAATTACTTGATGGCACTACAAGTTTCGTTTAATCGGATGTTGAAGAAAAAGTGTTCTCAATAACACAAAGCTTTCAAGATGATTTGTTATTTAGGTTCTATCTTGATATATAGTCTGAGCAATTAACATCGCCTAATCTTCGACATTTAAAGCACCACTAAAGTAAAGCTTAAGTACAACTGACATTCGCTCCTAAAATACGTTAATGATCTAGCTTGGACCACAACTATCTAGTTTTTCGTTGCCTCCAGCCATCGATTAACGATGGCAGTCATCGAGAAAATCGATTGCAATGGGATCGGGAGATCAGTCAATCGTTCAGCAATTGCTGAGGCTCCGTTTACTGCGGATCACGACTTTCGCTCCTTCAACCTGCGGTGCCAAGCGAAATCGTGCCTTTAAATTGATATCGCACTTCCTCGTTCTGGTGATTTTCGAATGTCCAACCATCACTCGTAGTTGCAAATCGAACAGTAAGAGCTGAGTTTATTTTAATTGGTTCATTTCTTGGGTTTATTGTACACATTAGATCAATTAATGGGTTGCAATTAATTGAATGCATAGTATATAAAGTGACGATTGGCTTGAATGGACGTAGAATAACACGAGTGAAAGCGTTCAAATTAGTGATGTTGATTGGGGGAAAAACAGTTGGTTTCTACTTTCCTCAATTAGGTACAATTTAAATTGTATGGAAATCTAGTGAGCCATGTACTATACCAAAAACATTGTTGGAATTGTTAGCTTCTGTGTTGCCCAATGACGCAGCAAAAAGCGATGGAGAGAGAGAGAAAACCAGATTAGAGCCCTAGGGTTAATTCATTGAGGTAGTCCCAGAACTAAAAGCAAACTAACTCTATATCTCTTTTTCTTCCATTCCACTTGCAGATCCGATCGCCACGCCCACAGCGCCATCATGTGGAGCCCACAAAAAGGCCCTACACGACTGTGGGACCTTAGGTTTAGTAGCTGTATATTTATCTTACACTTAATGGTAAGTAAGGGGAATCGATTTCAGTGTGAACCAAATGAAACAAATGAACCATAAACAGAAACCAGTGTAACCTGTATCTTATCTACCGGAGTCTTATCACTTGTTTGATAAACAAATGTTTCGATTGGAAGCCACAAATCCAATGACCTTGTCAACATTTGTGTTTTGCTGATATTACAAGACGGACTATCTATTTATTTGCTATGAATCTATGTGTATTATGTGTTTATATAAAATAAAATTGATAATCATTATCTGAAATGAACTAGCTTATAGAAAAGAGAAGGGATAAGATTAGAATATAACCTTTCAACAGAATTATGGAGGATTAAAATATGGAAATTCTTTAACCTAACAGATAAGACAACCCCCAGTTAAAAGACAGCTCATTTTAACAGATCACTTGAATATAACTAGCTTATAGAAAAGAGAAGGGATAAGATTATAATAGAACCTTTCAACAGATTTATGGAGGATTAAAATATGGATATTCTTTAACCTAGCAGATAAGACAACCCCCAGTTAAAAGACATATCATTTTAACAGATCACTTGCATATAATTACGGGTGGGAGGGGAGTACCTAAAGCTACATGGACAGTCTAGATGGTCTCGCCCACGGGCTTGATGATCAGCTCGTGGATCTGGACATTGGGCGGGGTCTGGATGCAGTAGCTGACGGCATCGGCGACGTCCTCGGAGCGCAGCAGTGGCAGGTCGGGGAAGTGGACGAGGGCGGCCTTGTCGATGATCTCGGTGTCCACGGCACCGGGACTGATGCTCTGTAATTGAATGGATTAGATTATAATGTGATATAGAATAGATATCTCCCCTACTAACCGTGATCTTGGTCTGGGTCTTGCTGTTCTGGAACTCCTGGCGCAGGACCTCCGTCAAGGCGGTGATGGCGTGCTTCGAGGGCGAGTACATGCCCATGGTGAAGCCCGGAATGTTGGGCACCCGATGCCCGGCCACACTGTTGACGATCAGCACATGGCCGTCGTTGACATTGCGTCGCTGCAGCGACTTGAAGATCTCGCGCGTGCACCACGAGACTCCCAGGACATTGGTATCCAGAATGGCGCGCAGATCGTCGCCATTGCCCTCCTTGGTGATGCCCACGCCGGCCCGCACAATTCCGGCGTTATTCACCAGCACATCGGCGCCACCCAGAGTGGCGTCGATCCAGGCGAAGGTGTCGATCACCTCCTGCTCCTTGCTCACGTCGCACTTGCGGCCGTGGAAGCGAGCGGCCTGGTCCGCCGGCAGCGAGTCCTTCAGCTCCTTCAGACGCTCCTCGCGACGGGCCAGACCCACGACCACGAGGCCCTTGGCCACCAGATCCTTGCAGCAGGCAGCTCCGATTCCCGAACTGGCTCCCGTGACGACAGCAACGCGATTTAGCCAACGATCCATGGTTGTTTTTCTTTGTATTTTTCGATGTTTATCCGGTGGAATATTATGATAGAACTGCTCTTTCGCACTGCCGACCCACTTGCTTTTATAAGCAAACCGAATAGCCGACCAGTTCCGAATAATTCCGAATACGTAGATCCGAGATTCGAGAGACTATTTCACCATTCCACTCGATTCTATGCCATTTGACCGAACCCCAAACGTTCTCGCCGCCAGCCGGCGTTTCGGTTCGGGATTGTAGCGTAATCGTGAGTCTGCATAAAGCCATTGCCTCGATCAATTCATTCTAGAATGATAATACATAATATAGTCTCTCTGAGAATGCGAATGGGAATGAGCGGGCGAGTGAGTGGAATTCATTGTGGGTCAGCACATTTGTTTGAAGTATTTCCAAATCACAATTAAAATGCTTGTTTTTGTATTTTTAGCACTTTTCGGGGGGAGAGATATGGCAAAAGACTTTAATTAAACTTAGTCATTTAGAAAGAAAACATTGTTTCTTATAAAAGGGAATTAAATAAGCCACTTTATGGATTATAATGAAAATATTTATGTTTGATTATTATGTATACGCCGTGTTGTCCATTCTAATCATCTTGTGAATTATTTGCAATTATAATGCCATTAGAAAATGTGTTAAAAAGTGTTTTTGCCCTATGAATTAGCCAGCCATAATCGCTCAGACGTCGTGTTGCCCTTCATTAGAAACCTTATATTTTTTTCGTATATAATTAAAGCCGGAAAAAGGTGATGTAAAGCGTTGAGATAACTCACAATTCAAACAGCAGCACTATTAGATTGTGAGAATAATTACTGGCAAATGGTGTTACATGAAAAGCCAATAAGGCAATGAGGCAAAGCTATATTCCTCTGCTTGATCAAGATGTAAAACAATTACATGCGATTTGCATAGACTAATTTATTCAGTTGGCCAACTGGAAGATCTGGCCATTCGCTCCTTCATTTCCATTCTCGTCCGTTGGCGGCGACGGCAAAGACGCCAGACAATGTGGCACCAGCGATCGGATGCTATATACCCGATATATATACCCGATAAATATACAAATCCCGTCCAGCTGGGCAACTTTTACTGGGCCTGCAACTCGATCCTATGATTTCTGAGATGCTGAGATCCTCGATCTATGCGGCATGCGGCATGTGGCAAGGCAGTTTGGGGCAGGTATCGGTATGCAAATGGGCAAATGTCAGGTGCAACTACCTCCCGATTGCCTCCACAAGCCAGTGCTGCGCAAACGGATGCAGGCCAAGTGGAATTCGCTTTCCCATTTCGATTGGCCTTCATTCGGGGGGCCCGAAGACTGAAGACTGGAGACTGAAGACTGGAGAGACTGGATTGCCGTTTCGTTTTTATTGGCAACACGTTTGTCAGGTGCCAGTGGAACCGTTAGGAGCCCACCCACAAGGATGCTTTTTTAGATCTATAAAAAAAAATGATAGAACTGCTTGTTCCAAAACTACAAAGGTTTCTTCTATGGTTCAATACATTCTTGTTCTTTCGAACCCACTGATTCCCAATTCCAATATTATTCTCATTTCGATTGCAGTTTAGTTTAGTCATAGCTGGTAATGAACTTTGGCCCATGGAGCGGCCAGATGGGATGCCCAATATCGTTTCGCTGGAGGTGATGTGCGGCAAGGATCACATGGATGTCCACCTCACCTTTTCGCATCCCTTCGAGGGCATTGTCAGCTCCAAAGGTGCGTTGATATTTACCTAATTAACTAGGAAATTAATTTTTTATTTATTATTTACCCCCAAAGGACAACACAGCGATCCGCGCTGCGTTTACGTGCCGCCTTCGACGGGCAAAACGTTCTTCTCCTTCCGCATCTCGTACTCCCGCTGCGGCACCAAGCCGGATCTCAACGGGCAGTTCTACGAGAACACGGTTAGTGGTCAACCCCCTCTCTATAAGGAGAAATATTCATATTCATATTCTCTCTTTGAAAACAGGTGGTGGTCCAATACGACAAGGATCTGCTGGAGGTCTGGGACGAGGCCAAGCGATTGCGCTGCGAGTGGTTCAACGACTACGAGAAGACGGCCTCCAAGCCGCCAATGGTCATTGCCGATCTCGATGTCATCCAGCTAGATTTCCGGGGTGAGTACTCCTGAGGATTGGATTAATTTTAAAGAAAATATTGTGTGAAATTGTGTGTAGTTACATTACAAATATTATTCTTATCAACTTGACATTATTCATTGTTTTTCTAGTTGATATAGCTAATAATAATTTGATATTTTCGCTCTCTTTCTGACTGATTGTTATAAAAATTATTTATGAATGTCAAATTGAGATTTTTTAGTATCAAAAATTGGTATTGCATTGTATTATATAACATGAAAATATCAAATTGATATTAATTTTACTATTTATAGAATTTGTTTAATATTATATCATCATTACTTGATTTTCATAAATCGGATATACTTTCAAATTGATATGAAACGTATCCTTTTGACATTACTCACTGATATAATCAAATATTTGATACCAGGTGACAACGTGGACTGTTGGATGGAGATTCAGCATGGCAAGGGACCCTGGGCGCCGCCAGTCAGTGGCATTGTGCCACTGGGCTCCACTCTGACCCTGGTGGTGGCCATCAACGATTACCGAGGTGAGCATATCATGGCATATCATATGCATATCAGATAGTAAAAATACCCTAATCCTTCAAATCCAGGCGAATTCGACATGCGCGTCAAGTCCTGCGTGGCCTCCGATGGATCCGGGCATGTGATCAACCTCTCCGACGAGTTCGGCTGCGTGCTGCGACCCAAGATGATCTCGCGCTTCCTGAAGGCCCGTGCCCCCGACGAGAGGGCCACCGTGATCACCTACGCCTTCTTCCACGCCTTCAAGTTCCCCGACGCCCTGAGTGTGCACATCAAGTGCAAGGTGGAGATCTGTCGTCACGGCTGCCTCGATCATTGCCAGAACTCGGGAGTGGGTGGAGGTGGCTCATCCGGAGAGACCCTGGGCCTCGGGCTCGGCCTGACCAATGCCAACGAGCGCAAGGATGTCCACATGTCCGATGCGTTGGGCAGCAGCAGCAACGATCTGCTCAGGGATCTCGCCCTGCCGCCCGGAGGTCAACATGGCATGGGCATGGGCTTGGGCATGGGAATGGGACCGGATCACGATATCTTCTACGAGGACATCATCCACGATCACAAACAGACGCTGGGCGCTGGCGGTGGACAGCCTGGCGGGGATTATGGCCACGAGAAGAGCGTCAATCTGCAGCCACGCCCAGTGCACGAGGAGCAGGAGGAGGCGGATCTGTCCGATCTGTTTGGCGACGAGGATCTGGCCGATCTGGACATGGAGGGCGGCGAGGGAGAGCGTTACTTGGGCCTGAAGAAGAGCGGCAAGTTCCCGCACGGACCCAGGCAGCTGGAGGCCCAGAAGAGGATGGGTGTTCCGATGGCGGGGCCGCGTTCCCTGGAGCCACATGACCGAAATGAGGATGGGGATGGGGATGAGGAGGAGGTGCCCAGACCCGTTTACAGGCCACAGGCGGAGGCCCTGAAGAAGCCACGCGAGGATCACATTGATTTGGACAAGGAGGAGGGGGAGAAGGATCAAGAGAAGGACCAAAAGCTGGAAGAGGGAGCCACTGCCTCCCCGAAGAGCCTGCGCCGGCGCCGTCGATCCCTAGTGATTTCCGATCGCAAGGTGCGCAGCGCCGACGTCGGCGTCAGCGGCCTCTACGACGTCATCTCCGAGGCCGACCTGGCCTTCTCGCCGGACTCCAAGCAGGAGGCGGTGACCGTCTTCCAGGGCAAGATCAGCGAGGAGGTGGTCTACGGCATCTGCATGCCCGTTCCCGGCTTCAGCATCCTCTTCATCGTCGTCATCTCGGCGACGATCGTCTCCGCTTTGGTGGCCGGTTCGCTGTTATATCGCTATCAGCTGCAGAAGGAGGCGCTCGATAAGCAGGCGCCGATGCCGCCCGTCACCGGAACACTGGCCTCCTGGATGACCTTGCGGCTCTTCCGCCTGCGACACTTGCAACAGCAACAGCAACAGCAGCAGCAGCAACAAGTGAGGCAGCCGAGTTCAGGACACGAAACAGTCCAGTGAAAAATGGAAATCAAAATAGTAATCGAAATTGCAATCGGAATAGTAATCGAAATCTTTAGCAAAATCAAATCATGTTGCCCACACATCGTCGTCGTCGTCGTCTATGCCTTCCATTATTATTTATTTATTATGATTATTGTTTTTTTTTTTGAAGATATTATTGGGTTGTTTGTTCAGGATCCTGATCCAGACAAAGAGATATGGTGCAGATATCAGATATCAGAGATCGGGCAACAAGGCAATACTCGAGAACTGCTCGTTTCGGTGCTGAAAATGAAAAAATGAAAATGTTTTACAAATTTTAATGTAATTCCTTGTAATTGTTTTTTTTTTGTATTTTGTTGTTTTTTTGGGTGCATTTAGTCGTAAAATTGCATGGAAAAGGAGAAGAGAGATGAATAGAGAATTGGAAAAGTACACAAAGAGAGAGATACACAAATACAATGAAGACTCCGGACAGGTGCTCCAGGTTTAAGGAGTTACGGATGTTATCGCACATCCGCTAGGCGTAAGGGAACTTATTTATTTATACATATATCGATAAATTATACATACGAGATTTAGCTGTAAGCCGAGCGGTATGGAAATTTAAATTAAATTCTTTTTCGGATCGATTTTCTTTTTTTTTTTTTGATGTGTGCTCTTTTCGGCATCCAAAAACTTGTTAAGGGGAAAATTTAGTTAAATTATTCTATAGCTAATGCAATCGTTTAGAATCAATCTCATACTCACACACAAGCAAACACAGACTCACAGACTCACTCACGCACACATACAAACCAACTACCATTTTCCATTGAAAAACACAAACAATCGACAAATAAAAGTGCAATTTCTTGCATGCATATTACAAATTAAGTGAAAATTTTGTAACTGAGAAATTGACAATTGAATAAAGTATAGTTAAGTTGAAAATAATGAAAACAGAATGTTTATGGTATCATTTGGTTTTTTCGTTTTTTTCGTTAAAACAAAGCAAATACTGATGCAAAGTATGGATTGTCATACCTTTCTGAACTCGTTATTAAATTTCCTAACGATTGGCATTTAAACCTTGACAATTTATTCATTTTTAATTTTTCACAAAAAATCATGGGGTACCCCCTTATAAAAAAATTAAAAATTGGCGAAAATTTTATTTTTCCAAAATTACACGGAAAGTTTTATGGATTTATAGCAAATTTTGTTATCTGTTCAAAACAGTATGAATTTTTGGTGTAGGACCATTTTTGGCAAAAAAACCAAAAGAAAGAATTCCAATTTTTGTCAAAAACTGAAATCGCGAATTTCCAAAACAAAACCAACCCCGTTTTTTCGCTAAAACGTTGTAGTTTTTTCGCTATAACAAAGCAAATACTGATTCAAAGTATGGATTGTCATACCTTTCTGAACTCGTTATTAAATTTCCTAACGATTGGCATTTAAACCTTGACAATTTATTCATTTTTAATTTTTCACAAAAAATCATGGGGTACCCCCTTATAAAAAAATTAAAAATTGGCGAAAATTTTATTTTTCCAAAATTACACGGAAAGTTTTATGGATTTATAGCAAATTTTGTTATCTGTTCAAAACAGTATGAATTTTTGGTGTAGGACCATTTTTGGCAAAAAAACCAAAAGAAAGAATTCCAATTTTTGTCAAAAACTGAAATCGCGAATTTCCAAAACAAAACCAACCCCGTTTTTTCGCTAAAACGTTGTAGTTTTTTCGCTATAACAAAGCAAATACTGATTCAAAGTATGGATTGTCATACCTTTCTGAACTCGTTATTAAATTTCCTAACGATTGGCATTTAAACCTTGACAATTTATTCATTTTTAATTTTTCGCAAAAAATCATGGGGTACCCCCTTATAAAAAAATTAAAAATTGGCGAAAATTTTATTTTTCCAAAATTACACGGAAAGTTTTATGGATTTATAGCAAATTTTGTTATCTGTTCAAAACAGTATGAATTTTTGGTGTAGGACCATTTTTGGCCAAGTTACAGCAAAAAAACCAAAAGAAAGAATTCCAATTTTTGTCAAAAACTGAAATTGCGAATTTCCAAAAAAAAACAAAACCCGTTTTTTCGCTAAAACGTTGCAGTTTTTTCGCTATAACAAAGCAAATACTGATTCAAAGTATGGATTGTCATACCTTTCTGAACTCGTTATTAAATTTCCTAACGATTGGCATTTAAACCTTGACAATTTATTCATTTTTAATTTTTCGCAAAAAATCATGGGGTACCCCCTTATAAAAAAATTAAAAATTGGCGAAAATTTTATTTTTCCAAAATTACACGGAAAGTTTTATGGATTTATAGCAAATTTTGTTATCTGTTCAAAACAGTATGAAGTTACAAGTTACAGCAAAAAAACCAAAAGAAAGAATTCCAATTTTTGTCAAAAACTGAAATCGCGAATTTCCAAAAAAAAACCAACCCCGTTTTTTCGCTAAAACGTTGTAGTTTTTTCGCTATAACAAAGCAAATACTGATTCAAAGTATGGATTGTCATACCTTTCTGAACTCGTTATTAAATTTCCTAACGATTGGCATTTAAACCTTGACAATTTATTCATTTTTAATTTTTCGCAAAAAATCATGGGGTACCCCCTTATAAAAAAATTAAAAATTGGCGAAAATTTTATTTTTCCAAAATTACACGGAAAGTTTTATGGATTTATAGCAAATTTTGTTATCTGTTCAAAACAGTATGAATTTTTGGTGTAGGACCATTTTTGGCCAAGTTACAGCAAAAAAACCAAAAGAAAGAATTCCAATTTTTGTCAAAAACTGAAATTGCGAATTTCCAAAAAAAACAAAACCCGTTTTTTCGCTAAAACGTTGCAGTTTTTTCGCTATAACAAAGCAAATACTGATTCAAAGTATGGATTGTCATACCTTTCTGAACTCGTTATTAAATTTCCTAACGATTGGCATTTAAACCTTGACAATTTATTCATTTTTAATTTTTCGCAAAAAATCATGGGGTACCCCCTTATAAAAAAATTAAAAATTGGCGAAAATTTTATTTTTCCAAAATTACACGGATTTTTGTCAAAAACTGAAATCGCGAATTTCCAAAAAAAAACCAACCCCGTTTTTTCGCTAAAACGTTGTAGTTTTTTCGCTATAACAAAGCAAATACTGATTCAAAGTATGGATTGTCATACCTTTCTGAACTCGTTATTAAATTTCCTAACGATTGGCATTTAAACCTTGACAATTTATTCATTTTTAATTTTTCGCAAAAAATCATGGGGTACTCCCTTATAAAAAAATTAAAAATTGGCGAAAATTTTATTTTTCCAAAATTACACGGAAAGTTTTATGGATTTATAGCAAATTTTGTTATCTGTTCAAAACAGTATGAATTTTTGGTGTAGGACCATTTTTGGCCAAGTTACAGCAAAAAAACCAAAAGAAAGAATTCCAATTTTTGTCAAAAACTGAAATTGCGAATTTCCAAAAAAAACAAAACCCGTTTTTTCGCTAAAACGTTGCAGTTTTTTCGCTATAACAAAGCAAATACTGATTCAAAGTATGGATTGTCATACCTTTCTGAACTCGTTATTAAATTTCCTAACGATTGGCATTTAAACCTTGACAATTTATTCATTTTTAATTTTTCGCAAAAAATCATGGGGTACCCCCTTATAAAAAAATTAAAAATTGGCGAAAATTTTATTTTTCCAAAATTACACGGAAAGTTTTATGGATTTATAGCAAATTTTGTTATCTGTTCAAAACAGTATGAATTTTTGGTGTAGGACCATTTTTGGCCAAGTTACAGCAAAAAAACCAAAAGAAAGAATTCCAATTTTTGTCAAAAACTGAAATCGCGAATTTCCAAAAAAAAACAAAACCCGTTTTTTCGCTAAAACGTTGTAGTTTTTTCGCTATAACAAAGCAAATACTGATTCAAAGTATGGATTGTCATACCTTTCTGAACTCGTTATTAAATTTCCTAACGATTGGCATTTAAACCTTGACAATTTATTCATTTTTAATTTTTCGTAAAAAATCATGGGGTACCCCCTTATAAAAAAATTAAAAATTGGCGAAAATTTTATTTTTTCAAAATTACACGGAAAGTTTTATGGATTTATAGCAAATTTTGTTATCTGTTCAAAACAGTATGAATTTTTGGTGTAGGACCATTTTTGGCCAAGTTACAGCAAAAAAACCAAAAGAAAGAATTCCAATTTTTGTCAAAAACTGAAATCGCGAATTTCCAAAAAAAAACCAACCCCGTTTTTTCGCTAAAACGTTGTAGTTTTTTCGCTATAACAAAGCAAATACTGATTCAAAGTATGGATTGTCATACCTTTCTGAACTCGTTATTAAATTTCCTAACGATTGGCATTTAAACCTTGACAATTTATTCATTTTTAATTTTTCGCAAAAAATCATGGGGTACCCCCTTATAAAAAAATTAAAAATTGGCGAAAATTTTATTTTTCCAAAATTACACGGAAAGTTTTATGGATTTATAGCAAATTTTGTTATCTGTTCAAAACAGTATGAATTTTTGGTGTAGGACCATTTTTGGCCAAGTTACAGCAAAAAAACCAAAAGAAAGAATTCCAATTTTTGTCAAAAACTGAAATTGCGAATTTCCTAAAAAAAACAAAACCCGTTTTTTCGCTAAAACGTTGCAGTTTTTTCGCTATAACAAAGCAAATACTGATTCAAAGTATGGATTGTCATACCTTTCTGAACTCGTTATTAAATTTCCTAACGATTGGCATTTAAACCTTGACAATTTATTCATTTTTAATTTTTCGCAAAAAATCATGGGGTACCCCCTTATAAAAAAATTAAAAATTGGCGAAAATTTTATTTTTCCAAAATTACACGGAAAGTTTTATGGATTTATAGCAAATTTTGTTTTCTGTTCAAAACAGTATGAATTTTTGGTGTAGGACCATTTTTGGCCAAGTTACAGCAAAAAAACCAAAAGAAAGAATTCCAATTTTTGTCAAAAACTGAAATCGCGAATTTCCAAAAAAAAACAAAACCCGTTTTTTCGCTAAAACGTTGCAGTTTTTTCGCTATAACAAAGCAAATACTGATTCAAAGTATGGATTGTCATACCTTTCTGAACTCGTTATTAAATTTCCTAACGATTGGCATTTAAACCTTGACAATTTATTCATTTTTAATTTTTCGCAAAAAATCATGGGGTACCCCCTTATAAAAAAATTAAAAATTGGCGAAAATTTTATTTTTCCAAAATTACACGGAAAGTTTTATGGATTTATAGCAAATTTTGTTTTCTGTTCAAAACAGTATGAATTTT